GATTCTTTTAGATTTATACTATACCATAAGGGATAATGAGACTAACGTTTAATTATTTTAGGTACAAATATATCAATTATTTCATAAATGACACTGTAAAATAGATTGACAGCTTCATTTATACTAGAACCTGTAAATAGTTTATTCCAATCTAACGATACTAAACTAAAAGTTTTATCTGCGTAATTAGAATTAAAAATATTATACATACATTGTATTCAATCGGTTCAATTTTAGTTACAGGGAAAGTAATAATTAGGCCCGGATGAACTATCACATGGAACAAGAGGATTCATAATTTTTTTTACAACTAAATTATTTATGTCAGTGAGAACTTAATCTAATATCGAACCCATACAATTTATAACATTATTAAATTGAAATAAATTTAAAAAAAAAAGATTTGATAAGAATTCTGATTCAACATTATTTAAATCTAATAAGTTAGGAGATAAAACAATAAAGCTGTGACGCTACTGAAATTTTGGAAGATTATAGTTACTGACCATAAATACATTTTTAACAAACGGGAAACTTAATAGTAAATTGTTAATAATGTCAAAATGCTTATTATAATTTGAGATATCAGTCAGAGGTGGAAAATAAACATTGCCAATTATAAAGTAACTGTGATTAATTTTAATAATCACAAAAATATGTTCAATTGGACTGACAGGTGTTGTGACCGGGTTGGTACGGTAGGCAAAACGAAGAGATAATGCATTTGATAATTAATTGCTATTTATTATATTTAAAAATATATTTACACTTATAATTGATTTTACGACTTTAATGAGTTGATACTTAATTAATATAAAAGATTCAGTGAACAAATTAGCATAATAGATTCAGTGAAAGTGATTCAGTGGAGAGTCGTCCAGGTTCGACCCTATGAACTATATGACTCTTGAACGAGTAGCTGACTACTACTGGCGCGTCGCCTCATATATATTGAATAGGGCTGAGCAAGCATCGAATGTTCTAGAAGGACTAGATTTTTGCCTGGTTAATACTTTATATACAAGAGAAAATGGGCTTCCATTCCCATGATTAATATATATACTATTAAATTACACAATTATAATTAGGCAGCAAAAAGCCAGTTCACAACACAGGTACTGGTAATAAGCGCGAATGAAATTTATTTTTGACCGCTATTAAAACACCTCTTCCTCTAAAATTATTGCTCGTAGTCCGGCTACGGTGACAGCGATAAGTGGTATAGTTGATTAAACCCAGTTTCGACGTAATTACATTTGAAGATAACCAGATTTCAGATAAACAAATGATGTCGAAAACAGATACATTCCGCATTAAAACATTTAATTTAGTATTTAGTCCACGAACATTTTGGTAGTAAAATTTTAAATTAAAGTGGACAGACCCATTATTTAGTTTTTTGAGATGGTCAGTATGCCTTTAACAAACTTCATAACTAAGTTTGAAACACCGGCAGCTTTCCGTTCTTCAATGTTTGTAATGATATCACGAATTTGATTTCGTTGCATTAATGTACGATCAAGAGAGATACGGATAGAGTTATTGGTAGGAGATAAACGCAGCTTGTGCTCATTTTTTATACAATAAATATATCAGGCGGCTCATGTCAAGTAACTTTTAGTGGACGAGGTTTGTTAGATTTTTGACCTAGTCTGGAGACTAAAGCTTGATCAATGTTAGGAGTTATATCGTGTAATACAGATTTAATTATCGATATATCGTTCACGTTATTTACATGAGGTTCCGGAACATTAAAAATAATTAAATTACGTGACCTTGACTGTGTATCAATTATAAAAATAGTCTCTTCTGAGGATAAGTTTGAGGATTTGTTGTTCGATTAATGATTTTCCGAAATGTTTACTCTGTTTTCAAGCACTTAAGTTCGACTGCCCAAATCACGCAGTTGGTTTGAAACTACATCTAATTTGTTGTTTAATTCGGAAAAGGATAAATCATGTTTAGAAACCAATTTTTTTATATCATTTACAGCCAATAGAATGCTTTTAATTTTAGATGTGTAATTAGTATCTAAGTGATCTGCAATTGATTTAGGGGTAGGAGATTTCCTGTTTCTAAGTCTTGCACACTCACAATTAGAACACAGCCACGAAGCACTACGCGTTTTAAGATTTTTGTCAGTTAGACCTGAGATATTCGAGCAAGCAATGTGAAATGGATTAGAACATCTGGAGCATTTAATACAATCAGAGCCGGTCAATGTAACACTTCACTTTGAACAATTCATATTATATTTTGTTACCTTTTTTGATTTTCTTTAAATTCTTTTTATATTATACTATATTTTTACTAATAATATTTTTGATGAATTCCCTATAGACGATATCGATATTCTTAAATTTTACTCTGAACTTGTCAAAATATAATTATAAGAATATGTCTATCTATATTCAAAATATAATTGACAAGACTGTGGTGGCACAGCGTTTCTCAGCGTAAAGCCTTGGCTGGCGCGGACACAGTTAACCTCGTTAATATATATTAAATATTATTTCAATACACCTTTTGCTATCCTTTATGCCAACTGCCTACACGTTACCGAGAGGTAATTGGTATAGTCCTTTGTGGCTGGCGGGTAGACATGCAGAGGATATTTCCAAGATGTCGTTTCCTACCTTACGAACTATACAATTTATAATGAACTCTGCTCGGACTACTAGCTCTAGAATTGGCTTGTCGACGGATATAGCGCACTTCAAAAATATTCTCTTTATAAATTTAGTACTACTCTGTACCTCAACTGCCTACACGTTACCGGAAGGTAATTGGCATAGTCCCTTATGTAATGAATCAAAATAGAAGTTTCGAGACTATCCGAGAAACTTCTAGAATAATCTTTACACAAATAATTATCAATTTTAAATACTTTTCTGACCGACTATTATTTTATTACTTTTTACAAATACATCGTTCATTTGGAGCGATGTTTACATTAATGTCCATCTTTTTAATTACCATAAGCGTATCTGTGGCGCCGAACAGACGGCAAGATTAAATAGTTAAATTTTTAAGAAAAACTAGCCTCCCTTCATTACCTTACCAACTAATTTAATATAAAAGGGCTAGTAAAATTAGCACAGACACTCTCTTTCCATTTTATCTCTCTCGCATACTCTCACTTTCATTTTCACTTATTATTCCCCCATAATCTTACACTTTCATATTAAAAGTTAATAATGTAAAATTCACGTTACTTTTGTTAATTTTAATTATAAGACTTATATATATTTGTCAAAATAATTAATACAAGTTATAGAAATAAACTCAGTATGTTGCCCCTCATATCTGTATTTTTATTTATTTAAATTAACTTAAAATATCGACATCAACAAGGAACATCACAATTCACCATCTATCTACGAATCCATTTGGACATCAAGGTAAGTGTAGTCTTAAGACATGCACTATATTCATGTAATATTAAGAAATAGGACAGAGTGGATAAGAGGTAGGATTAAGATGATATGAATGAATCTAATACAATTCAAATAACTTATAATCCCTTTCCTACTATCTCTATCTTATCGCCTCCCCCCTTTTTTATTTTTATTACACTTATGACTAGCGAGTAAACTGGCAAAGGATATTACTACTAAGACTAATTAATTCTAATTACAAATTACGCTTCTTCACTCTTTTCAGTACATTGAAGACTGTCCAGAAATGAAGGGCACAATAATATTTAAAATTTACATAAAATAAAAACTATATTTATTTCTTATAAGGACATTATGCAACAGTAAAAATAAATAAAACTTATTTGTAGTTAAAATATTGATAAATCATCTAAAACAATGTTCACCATTCAGGATGTTATATAAAAAAAAACTGTCGTAGGGACAAAATATTTACTTATACTGACGTAGATTCCATGTAAAAGGATATTGAACATGAGCTGCCAGCGTCGTCAGAGAGGGTTGAGAGAGAGATGATAGAGAGCCCCCGATTTTACGAGAAAAATGGCTTTTTATATGCCGGATGAAGTAAGCCAGCGATCACTATTGAAATTCCTGAGATGTTGGATAATTATTTGTGATTGGTTAATTGTGATAGAAACCCTGATGTAAGCGTACTTAATGAATTGTAGGAGACTAGTTTGAAACAGGTGTTAACAAAATGGTTATTTTGTTTACCCTAAAATGGAAACATTCCTTAGATTATTTTTGCTTTATTCATATATATGTGATATTTAGTACATGTGTTAATAATTACACTCACCTCTCTCACGATAGTTTAACGTTGGCGCGTGATTCTCTGCCGGCGTTTTTTGATAAGAAACAACACTTTCATTGAAGATCGATTTGAATTGAATCGATCCTATCGAAGCGAACGTACTGCATCAGAAGTGAGTACGTGTGTGCCCCACAGTTAAAAGCAGAGGCAGGTAATTGGTGGGATACCATATGCTGCTTGAACCCCACAGTGCTCAGCAAGGCAAGCGACAATCCCTATGGGAGTTTGTAATGTGGAAGAGCCAGCTAGCCCGTTGACTCGACTCAAGGCTCACAAAGTTCGAGTTGGTTGACCTAATCATAGGGCTTATGTGCAGTGACTACCGGGTTCACGCAAGAGTGAGCGCCTGAGGTCAATGGAAGATCTGCTAGAAGTGGTTAGCGACTTGGACGTAGAGAATTTTGCTCTGGAACGGTGGCCCGAAGAAAATAAGTATTCCACGGAAGAGAATAACTTCAAATGGGCAAATAAGAAACAGCCACCGGAGAAAGAAAAAATTTAATATAATATTATAGTTATATATAATCATGTTTTTAAGTTTATTTACATTTTGACTACAATTTACTATAACTTATGTAAAATAATAATTTCGAAGATTGTAATTTTAATCACTACTATCAATTTTTACATACATTTTTCTTGTTCACATTACAAATAAATATTTTTAATTTTGATTAATATTTTTAGTTTCTATGTTTTTCAACTTTTTTTTACTTATAAATATAATAATGAAACTATTTTTATTAATTTATAAATCATTTTGCAATTTTTATTAACCCATTTTATTGAACAATAATCACAATTATTAATTAATTTAGAAAGTTTTACATAACACAAAATAATAAAATATTAAAATTTTAAATTATCTTCTTGAAACCAAAATGTAAAAAAAATTTTTCAATCATAATTATTTTTCTTCCTTGAAAAATCGTATCTCTGTAATTTAATTTTATATTATCAATATTTTTGTGTATTACAGGTTCAGTGAAAATTCAACTTTTTTAAAATCTAAATAATAATGTTTAAAAATAAAAAATAATGGATTGAAATCAATCTCAACTTTATTATCTAAATTTTTTTTTTTAATTATTTTAAAATTTATATAGATTAATTTATCTAAAGTATTTAAATTAAAGCTGATTAAAATTGTTATTGACAACTCAACGTATTTAATAAAATTGTTGATATTAATAAAAAGCTATATTTATTTCAAAGTTTATTAGTTACATAAAATCTCACATAAATAGATGTTTTTAAGAGGTAAATAAAGAGAAAGTTGGCTCTAGATTTGTTAAAACTGTCATGGATTATTGTATTATTTATAATATTAACAGATATGACCATGTCTTTCGTTTAGTGCTCACTTTTCGAACTCTTTTCTATATAATTACAACTTCAAAGATAAAAACATGGATATATCTAGGGATGTATCTTTTCATAAAATAAAATTTTTGAAAATGTATTATTTTTCTTGAAATTTATAGGGTACTTAAAACTCTAAATTCTGAAACAGTCCTCCATTTATTATTAAAACAACGTAACAAATATTTTATTTTCAAAAGTTTTAATTCGTCGAATTTTATCTAATTCGGATTGTTAGAATTGGATCAATTACTATTTAAGTGTTAAAATTTATTTTACTCCTTTGAAAATAATTATTTTTAATAATGGGTATCAAATAAAATATCTAATAAAATTAGAATAACTAAATTGATGCAAAAATATGAATTTGCTACCAAATTTTTTCTTAAAATCAATTAAAAAAATTGGCATTCCTGATTTTTTTTTTTATATTTTTAGTAAATTTAAAACAAAAACATTTTTTTAATAAATGAAAAAAAATATTTCTGATAATTTTCTCATAGTCCTAAAGTGTATTAAGGTATAATAATTATACACTATCATTATTTAAAAAAGACAACCCAAAGTATTTATTAGATTAGAAGTTATTAAAATAGAACTAATTTCTATTACAATGGATTATAATAAATTTTATCAGTATTCTTTAATTTTATTGCTAATAACACTGCGCCTTAATATATACCCAGTCTATATGTTAAAATACTTTTAACAAACATAAAAATATTCTGTGTTTTTTTAATACCTTATTTTTCACCAGCATCAGACTAAAATTAAAAATTATGATCACATTATTTTATAAAAAATAAATTTTGATTTTGGATATTAAAAAAGTACTATTACAATGTACAACACGTGTAAAAAATATTATTCCGAATAACAACATTAATTCGTTTTATAGGATTTTTACCTCATCTGAAGACGTGTCGTGAACCTAGGAAAATATTTTAAGACTTTATAAATTGAATTACATAAAATACAAAGGTTTTCAATAACTAGGTTAATTACTGTATTATACAATTTAATAGGCCGGATATAGAAATCTTAGGCCACCTACATTTTATCGATCAATTAACTGGTAAAAACTAATATCTTTGTATATTGAATCATGAGCTATAGATAATTTATTGATTTTAGTTAATTTTAATTGTTCTTCTAAAAATAAATTATTTTGATAGCTTAAAATTTTTTTTATCAACCCCAATTCATAGCGTCTCATCATGATAATATCGGTTTCTAAGCGGTGCAATCTGAGCCTGATTATATGTATTCATTATAATAAAACTGTTTAGTTTTGATTTTATGATTTATATAATCAAAGTTTAGTTTACAAAACAATAATTTTTTTGTCTTTTAAAAAATCTTTACAATCAATTAATTAGTTTTATAAATGAAGATGCACTATAATATGAAAAGAAATTTTCACTGATAAGTTCATTATCAGATTAAGGCCATCATTTCAAATCGGGGGGCCTAGCTATTGGCTTACAAAGGAATAATCTTTATTATTATATAGATATTTAAAATTTCTTGTTTACTTCATAGAACACTAATTTTTTTAATAATTTAAAAAAATTTGTATGTATAAAAATAAATTATATAATGTGTTACTGAACCTTACTAATATGACAAGTTTGTTTAACTAGACGGAGGATAATATAATATAACAGTATGTTGCAATCAAATTCAAACATTTATTACTCATCGTAAGAATTTTAACTTATTTATAAAAATGTTATTATTTTACTTATTTATTAAAAAAGTCATTAAACTAATGACAGCAATCTTTATCAATCCTTCACCCTCCAAATGATACTAAAATGGATGCTATTAAGTAGTTTTGTAAGAACTAATAAAGGTAACCAGAATAAGCAATTTTAATCATTTTAATTGGTCATAATAAAAATAAAATAAAATTTATAATAAAGCTTACATTCTTTTTAGAAGATTTAGAAATCTGAAATTTAAATAAAATGTTAAATTAAAATACACATACTTATTGGAAATAAAACTACAGTGATTGATAATATCTACATGTATAATATAACTTAAATAAAGAAATAATATACAGGTAGTGCATATGATGTTGTCTTATCAATAGATAATTGATCAAAAAGTACTAAACATTATTAAGCAATAATTGAATAGCGGTTTATCAAGTATATGTATAATTTATTTATTTATTTATTATAATTTCAAACGGGCGATGCCCAATAACAATTTTACATAGCCTACAGATAAGCACAATGATTTGGTATTATGAGTATAGTACAATAAATTAGCGTAATAAATTATTTAAGTATACATTAAAAGAGATAACAGAATTACAAATAAAAATATCAATATTATGAGTATTTACAAGTCGCATACATCTTATTAAAGGGGAATTATTATTATGTATAGTTCGCCGAAACGGAGTATAAAAAGATCCGTTTGTCTGGTTGTATGGCTGGGGACTACAAACATTAATCTAGACAATAAAGTTGGACAATCAATAAAATCATTTATTAATTTAAAAATAAAGTTTATATCAAATTTAACCCTTCTATCTTTTAAGGAGTCAAGCTTAAATTGTAATAGTATTGGTAGATATGATGAATGGGTAGGACGTAAAATATTGCATTTATGGCATAGTATTCTTAAAAAACGATTTTGGATAGATTCAATAGATTTAATAGGGCCATTAGTATAAGAAGACCATACTACAGAGTTGTAATCAAACACAGGTTGAACAAATGCACAGTATAGAGATTTAAGAGCAAGTGGGTTATCAAAATCTTTTCAGCTACGCATTAAAAATCCTAACATTGAGGAAGCCTTATTTTGCATATAAACATAATGTTCGTGAAAAGAGAGAGTGGGATCAAAATTAACTCCTAAATCTTTGACATGATCAACACGGGCTAACTCAATACCGTTAAGATAATATTTATGAAGTAATGAAGATCGTTTTCTAGAGAAAGTAATAACTTTACATTTTGACACATTTAAAGGTAATTTGTTTAAGTTGCACCAATTATTAAAATTATTAAGATCATCTTAAAGAAGATTAGCATCTTCTGGAGACCGAATAATACGAAATAATTTAATATCATCAGCAAAAAGTAGAACGTTTGAATTGATAGGGCGAAAATCATTAACAAAGATATTAAAAAGAAGGGGAGCCAAGTGAGAACCTTGAGGCACACCAGAAGTAACATCATATAAAAAAGAATTTAAATTTTTAAATTTTACATCCTGTTTTTTATCGGATAGAAAAGATATAAGCCAAGAGTAAAAAGGATTAAGTAGCCCTACATGGTATAATTTGGTAGCAAGTATGCTATGATCAACTTTTTCAAAAGCTTTTGAATAATCAGTATATATGACATCAACTTGAGAATTTAAATTAAATGCATCCATTATATACTGTTGAAAAATTAGGAGATTGGTAGTAGTAGTCCTACCAGACATAAATCCATGTTGTTCCTCATTTATTGCACACTTTAATATTGGAAATACTTTTTTATATACAATGCTTTCAAAGATTTTTGGAATGATAGATGTAATTGAAATGGGACGATAGTTATTTACAATGTTTGAATCCCCATTTTTAAAAACAGGAGAAATATAAGAAGTTTTCCAGTAGTTAGGAAAAATGCCATCAGCTAAGGATTTATTGTATAGATACAATACAGGAACGGACAAAACAAATTTGCATTACGTAAAAAATATATTTGAAATGTTATCAGGACCGGAACAAGTTTTTTTATTTATTTTACAAAGTGCAGTATAAACATCACTAAGTGTCAGTATACACGTATTTAGATCAATAGAGGGTGTACTATGAGTTTCTAACATGATATGTGAGTTTGATGAACGATTAAAGTTATCTGAAAAATATTTAGCGAAACAATTTGTTAAATCTTCACCACCAGAAATAATTTTATCATTATACAACATAGAGCTGGGGAGTGAGTGATTAGATCGTTTATTTTTAATAAATTTCCAAAATAGTTCAGGGTTACTAGTAACTGAGTTTTGTGTTTTTATTATATAATTTGTATAATTTGTATAATCAGTATTGTTTTGTAATTTACATTGAGCGCGCAAATTAGAAAATTTATTATTATTTATCTGAGTTGGGAATTGTTTATAAATTTTATGAGCAATTTTTTTGTTATATATTAATTTTTTTAAGTTATTACTAAACCACAGAGGGTGTTTACTTGAATGTATAGTTTTAAGTGGACAGAATTTATTAATTATTATGAATATATTATAAAAAACTTTGACTGCTTCATTTATATTAAGACTATTAAATATGCCATTCCAGTCTTACGAAGCAATACTGGACCTGATATTATCATAGTTGCAATTAAAAAAATCATAAATTTGTTCAGAGTAAGATAAACATTCTACAGGAGAAATAGCTAATTCAATTTTCAAAGTAGGGTGGTACATGGAATCAAGTGGTAGAAGTGGACATAGTTCGGATTTTACATTAACATTATAAATATTAGAAAAAACAAGATCAAGTAGTGATCCAGAACGGTTATAAATTAAATTATATTGCATTAAGTTTAGATAAGATAAGCTAGCTAAGATATTAGATTCAAGATCACTCAAGTGTGATAAGCTGGGAACAATGGTGCCATTAATCGACTGCCAATTTATTCTAGAAAGATTGTAGTCTCCCAAAATAAAATATTTACAATTATTATTGTTAGTTAATAAAAGATCAAGAGTATTAGTATGAATATTATAAACATTAATATCAGATGTGGGAGGTATATAAACTCCTCCAAGAATCAAAGAAAATGACTTAAAATTAATATTTACATATAATTGCTCAATAGAGTTATTCAAGAGAGATATTCTATGACATGAAACTAGTTTTTGACTGCTATTAGAACGCCACAACCTCTCATCATAGCACCACGGGTACTACAGTGGTCACATCAAAAAATAGAATATCGTGTACAAAGTCCAAGTTCGGCATCAGCAACATCATTAGAAAGCCAGGTTTCGGTTAATACAATAACATCATAATCACAGAGAGCAACATTGCGGATAAACAAATCTAATTTAGTATTAATACCGCGAATTTTCTGGTAGTAGATAGATAATTCCGCTAAAGTCGTCGATTTGCCTGACCGTTTTTTGAAATAGTCGGACAATTTTTAACAAATTTTATGAACAAATCAGTCTCACCAGCGGCTTTACGTAATTTCAATTCGGCATTTACTGAAGAATATTGTTTACGTTGTTGGAGAGTTTGATCCGATGAAAACCGAATATTTTTTAATTTTTCTAGATTACTCAGCTCACGTTTAGTTTTCAAAATTTGAAAAACATCGGAAGGTGAAGGTAAAATTAATCTGATAGGACGAGGCTTATTCGAGATCTTTCCCAAGCGGTGAGCAGATATAGGTTTAATTGAGACATTCATATTGACAACACATTTCCTCAATGTAGTCATTATGATTTTGTTGATCGGAGACAGATGTAGAAACTTCAGGTACATTAAATAATATAATGTTTCGAGCCCTATACTGCCGATCCATGAACTCAGAAAACAAGTTTTCTTGATTTGAAGAGGTCTGAGTACATTCAGAAGAAAGTTTTGTTTCAAGTAACTGAACTCTCTCTTTTAATAAATTATTTTCTTCTGTTAAAGAAATTAGCTTATTGCTTAACAAGACAATTTTAGTTTCTAAAGAAAGAAAATTAGTGCCTTGAGATTTAATAGTTTCCTGACATGCATTTACAGATTTTATAATTTGATTTTGAGAGTGTTTAAGTTCATTAAACATCTCAATAAGTTGATTAAGTTTTTCAGTAGTTCCACCATTAATAGTAATCGAAGACGACGTTGGTGATTTTTTCATATTTTGTTTATTGTATAGAGATTTAAAATAATAACTATAAGAAAGTGTATATATTTATAACATGAATAAGTTATTATGAAACACAAGTCTAATCACTATGAATGACTGTACTATACTACATAATACCTCTGATATTATGAAAACCAAATTAATGTATAATTTTTACTTGGAATCAAAACGTAATCGATGATCGAATATAAAATATTATATGAATAAAATTGTTTGAAATTATTTTTTCTATCGCATTATCAAACTAACATTAGTTTTTTTTTTTTGTGGCTCTATCTAACCAATTTTTTTTAATTCAAATAGGTTTTTTCACTATGAAGAATTGAAAAATAAACTTTTATCTATACTGTATGTTATTTTAGAGTTATTTTAATCAAATAATTTTTCCTTTAATGAAAATTTAAAATATTCAATAGTTTCCAAGATCACCACTATAAAAATTGATTTCTAAATATAAAGTAGTGTAGTTAAATTATATTTCTTACCTTTTTCAATAATTCCAGAACTCGTTTCTAAAAAAGTTATTATAATAATATTATTTTAGAATAAATTACTAATTTATACATAGAGCTCATTATTTTGACATATAAATGTACTAGATGTATTTACTGATACATTTCATTATTATTATAATATGTTTATATGACTTGTACGTACTACAATATCTGAACTTATTATGAATGAAAATAAATAATGTTTTAGGATAAAATTAAATTTGTTTGCAATTATGGTTTTGTGTCTCAGTTTTGAGAAATTATCGACTTTAGAAAAGAGGTTTAAGGCTTTGGTGCTTAGAAATATAATACATGAATATTAATGATTTAATTAAATAAATAAATAATTTATTATCTTATTTTGTCTAACTATTATTTGATATATTTTTTTAAATTAAACTAATATTGTTTAACCTTCTCTCTAGAAGCTATGATTTATGCAAGTGAGAACAGAAATGCCTACATAATTTAATCAACGTATACATAAAATATCAAGCTCCAATTAAAACTTAAATTAATATTAAAATAAAAATGACACATACTTTACCAATTAAGCTCTAAATCAAATAATTCATAAAATAATATAATATTTCAAATTAAAGTTATAATTTAAAAATTTTATTTAGATAATAATGAAATAACGGTATATAAAAGCCGTCTACTAGGAATAATGATTCATAAATGTTATTTTTGCATAAATGTGAATAAAGAGTACAATTTTAACTCAGTGAAAGTTTTATAATGTAGATATATTAGCTTATGAGAGTCTTACGAAAAATTAACTTGTTTTAACTAGTATACAGATTGATTAAAATTTAGTAGGACACTCATTTTCTTAAAGAACATTTTTTTATTTTTGTAAATGGCAAATATATAAAGTTTAAAAACTCGATAATTATATGTAATTAAATAATTTTTTTTTATCTTTTAAAGAATAAAAATTCTTAAATATTATTTACTTAAATAGGAATTCCAATTTTTAACTTGATAATATGATAGGAAAAAAAATTATAAACAATTTTATTCTTACAATTTTTTATTATATTATAATTTTACTAATTATAATATTTTCAAGAAAAAAATTAAGGTTCTGGTTTAAGAAAAATTAATTTAAGATTTTTTAACCCTGAAAGAATGAAAAAAACGTTTTACCACATCTAATTATTGAGATTCAAAAACCAAAAAATTTTAAATGTTCATTAATTAATGAAAATAAGTGTCTAACCACATTTTGATGACTCTGTCTACTTCGTATTTATTCACTTGTAAACATTTTATTTTTTTTTAGTTTTTTCACTATTCTTACCAATAGGTGATATAGAATTCGTAATAGATAAATCTGAAGTATTATGGATAATCTCCAAAATATGTAAAATTGTACCAAATAACTCCTAATCTATTTTAATGACACATTTTTACTTAATAATAAATATAGTTTAAAAAAACACGCTTTTAAAGTACATTGAACTAAAAAGTTAAAAATAAGCTTAAAACAATAATGAACGAAAAATACTAGTATTATTGTGATAAAAGCATCGGGCGCTCAATATACAAAAAATATGACACAAAGCACCCACGCTTTTATCACAATAATACTAGTATTTTTCGTTCATTATTGTTTTAAGCTTATTTTAAAAATTATTTTTAATTTTTTAGTTCGATGTACTTTAAAAGGGTGTTATTTTAGTTTTTTTAAACTATATTTATTTTTCACTTTTTAGTTTCATGTTATGATAGTAGTTACTATCAATATCATGGTTGTAATGGGTAACGGGAAATCAGGGTTCGATTCCGGGGAGGTAGCTGAGAAACGGCTCCCACATCCAAAGAAAGCAGCACCGTTCAGGTTAGCGTAACTATTGAGCTTTGGCCCCATACTGAAATATTTATTTGGAAAAAACTCGCGTAATTGTGCATCATTACTTTGTTTCCCAAAAATAACTGCTTATTAGTTGGGACACCAAAAATGTGGGTAAAAATGTTCATAACCAATATGTCAACAGAATTTATTAAACTTCTAAAAACCTTGGTGCTTTAAATAAACACAAAAATGTTTAAATACAAAACTCAAAACGCAGTTATATAGAACTTAATTTTTTTATATTAGTTGTTCTTATTTGTACAATAGAATTGTAGTAAAAACAAATATTCATTAATATGAATTATTTAGAAATTAATTCGATTTTATAGATTATTTTATTCGTATGTTAATATATTGAAGAAATTAAAAAGAAAATTATAACGCTATATATTTATATATTTTATACGAATTGGACAAAATTAAAATAATCTTCGTATATCGCGGCACTTTCGTAGGCGGTTTCCGGCAAGATTCTCGGGTGTCGAAAAGTTAGCAGCGTTAATGGCGACGGTACGCGGATGCGGATCGGTTCGGTCGTGCGGCACGCCAGGAGCCGGTGGCGTACATCATCGACGTTGACACTTTGACACCGGGAAGAAGATTCAACGTATCATTTGCGGCGGGTCATCGTCGGCCGTGCGGCACTTGCTGGACTTTACAACGTGGCGTATGGTCACTTATACTATTAGTAGGGCGACGGCTGATAAAGGTAGTACGAGTGACGGGGCCGTGTCTCAATAAAAATTTATTTACATATATATATATAATTGATGACGCGGGTTGGAAAATATTATTTTCGATGACTGTAGAGCGGGGTGGGGTGAATGCGTTACGACAGTCTAGTCTTGTGCGCGTGGAAAGTTACAAACATCCCACAACTCACAACAAACATACAAGTGAAACTAATATAAGCGTGTTAAAAAGATGAATTTTAATTTACATATTTAAAACTTAGACAATATGAATTTTATGAATGTGTTAATATGAATGCTTTCATGGATTGTCTTGTTGCTTGAAGTGCTTGAGGATATATCCATGTTTTCAGTTGGTTTCTGACGTTTCGGACTCATTGCAGAGGCCATCTTCAGAGTGATGGATTCTGCAATGAGTCCGAAACGTCAGAAACCAACTGAAAACATGGATATATCCTCAAGCACTTCAAGCAATATGAATTTTATTTTGCTTGAAGAAATTTCTAATATGTGAAAAATGTTTGTTTTACATTATGAAAATAGTTTTTAAAAATATTTAAATATAATTTAGCTTTTGGACTTTTTAATACATTTTTTTCAATTAGGTTTAAGTTTATTTGTTTTTAATATATTATTAGTTTTAAACTATACATACCGAATCTTTGAGACACTAAAATAAAAAAATTCGAGAATTATATGTGGGAACAACTAAGGATAATACTATTTTGAAAATTACAATTTTATATTTATATTGTTATTTACTTATTAAACTATAATTAATTCATTATTGTAATTAATGATTTTAAATATATTTATAATATTTAAAATATTTTGTCAATATGAAACTTAACCCATTCATGCATAAAGATTTGATCAAGCAGAACGCCTCACTTTTTACACTTAAACATTGACAAGATAATACCAATTTAAGTGATAATAACAATTAATAATATTTTTAATTTAGTTATATACTATAAGCCAACAAACTCACAAGATCTAATAGAGTCTACAATAAAACAAAAGGATTTTATTAATAGAATAAAAATAAAATATACAATTAATGTTAAAAAAAAATAAAAATAAATACGAATTATTTTTAAAGTGGATTTTGATATTTAATGCTTTTACATTGATAATTCATAATTTATTTAATTGTTAGTATACATAAAAATGTATCTTATTAACTATTAAAGTGTTTCAAACCTTTTCTAAGTGCGTCATTTCACTTGGCTAAATAAAAGTTACAAGTAAATTATTATATTTTTTAATAAATAACATTTGTCATTATACAACATTAATCATTAGTGAATTAGGTAAATCATTGGTAATAATGAAATGTTATTGCATTAAAACTCCTTTATTGCTTAAAATATATTATGTTATAATAAAATGTGAAAGATTTTTTTTTTTGAGATACTTTTTTGATATAGGCTTTATTTTAGATCAATTAATGTAATGTAAGAAATTTATATATTTGATGATCATGAAATTGTGTTGCAAATGTGTTAAAATAAAAAGATCAGCACATAAATTAATTAATGTTAGTTTCAGTGCTTAATATCTTAACAAGATGTATTTTTTGATCTTTTGACTTATCGTTGGACAATAATATTCCAGATATGAACAGACACAAACAAAAGTCACATCATAGTAAAACTAATACCTTCCTAGTTAGTTCAGTTGGTGGCGTTCATCTCCGACGTTGTCACTGTGACAACGGGAAGGAGACTCAACGTATCATTTGCGGGGAGTCGACCGTGCAGCACTTGTTGGACTTTGCGCTGTGGCATAGGCACGCGGTGCGAGTCAGTAAAACTACCAAGTACCCATAGTATGGCGACAGCCAAAAAGGTGATGCGGATCTCAGTGTACTGTGTACCACGAATCGACGCAGGGTCGTGTCAAATACCCCGTCAAGAAACAGGTCTACTTGAAGGCTAGTTGGATAAACGCGCAGAGCGGATAGAATATAGGTCATGTTTAATTATTATAACCGCGTATTGGAGTGAAAGTCGTAAAACTTACGCTGTTCGATAAGTGTTCTAGGGGTTGAGTACGTGTATTCCAATTCCATTGGTTCCTCTGCTGTTTCATTGCTACTAATTTGGATGATGTTGCCTTACTGTGTTATTATTTCTGCTGTTAATGTCGAAGGCGATGTCTCCTCCACGTTTGATGGGAGGGGTGGTGGTGTCGTCTCTGTTGGCACCAGTAAAGTGGGTGAGTAGTCGGTACGTGCTTTGCGGTTGGGTGTTAATATAATGAGTGTTCGATAAGCGGTGTGCATCCCACTGTACCAATAAAAAAAAAAAGAAACGCAGCGTAGTTTTTCACTATCTGTGCTAATAATTCACGCGTATGTGGGTCGCCTGCTACATCTAATTTTGCCAGATCTATTGTGGGGAGTGTGAATCGCGCTTGCTTTCCAGTTAGTACGATGGTTTGCGCCCAGATGAATTGTACATGCAGCATAATCCCAAGTAACTTTCTGATCCATCAGGAAGTCATGCCCTGGAAGTACGTCATAGTACAGATTATCGAAGATCTCGGTCACAAAATTAATTGTCAGATCTGCGATGTTCGCGGTAAAAGTAGCGGTGCTGGCGGTGGGTGTTGTGTGGACGTCTGCTAGTCCAACCACGTGTGTGAGTCCAATGTGCACAATTCAATATTTATGGGCTATTGTAAAGGTGTATATTACTTTTGCGCTTGTGAGTCAAGTAATGGCGTCACAAAGCCGTCGTTAAAATTAAGTTACACGTCGGGAGTTGTGAATTTATCTATTGTGTGTAATAAAAGTTAGTTGTTCGTGCTCCTCTACATAATAACTATATCCTTAATAGTGTTAATATTATTGTAAAATAAATATTTTTTTACTTTTGTACTTGTTTGAATTTTTTAATTAGTTGTATAATTAAATAGCACGAAACATTAAAAAAAATAATAATAAATAATACAATTTCTTTTTTATTTTAAAAATAAAATAAACACGAACCGTTTATATAGATTACAAAGATATAGATTATATATGTAGATCATATTAATTTTTTAATTTTAATTACTATACGTACCCCATCTGTTGATATTTTATGATTCTGAAAAAAAAAATTTTGTAAGCAATAATTATTTAAATTTTAATTGTAAATAACTAAACATCTGATAAATCGTCATTGATTAATTTTCAACTTTTAATTAGACAAGAGTAATTATAAAAATTCAGGAAATTTAATTGTTATTGCGTTAAGAATTGTATTCTTTAAAAATAAATTTTTTCAAATTTCAAAATTACAGAATATCAGTATATTTTGTTATACTTGAAATTTTACAAATTTTTGCTTAAAAAAAATTATAAAAATTGTTCATCATGCTTACTTCTTTTAGAGATATTTCAATAGCCTTAAATCAAAACATTTAATTAAAAAGTGAATGAATGAAATTAAAAAATGGAACTTAGGGTCTAAAACAATTAGGCGGCGTTATCTGAGATCATTAGAATAATCGTATATTATTAATAATTATAAAGTAATCAGAGAATTACTCTACATGGAATTCATGGTTTATAATTATTTTACCGAGACCAGGATTGTTACGTTTTATACATTGAGTGTTAGAGACATTAAAAATTTCTAAATTTACATTGGTCTTATGGGACGCTTTAAAACTCTTTACTTGAGTTTTGCAGCGACTAACGTCGTAGAACACAAAAAAAATCAAGTATGACCCGGGTTTTTCTTGTTTACGACAAAGTAGCGTGAAGCCGTATATTGGTTCTCTTTAGAAAAATAGTCACAAACAAAAAAAAAGAATAAGATGACAATATATTTAATATGTATTTAAAAAAATCGACAGCGATTCGGTAAGGCGCAATAATCGACGACACGGAGGTGCGAAGATGACTTACTTATTGCGGTGGGTATTCGACTCTTGGCATTTATTGGACTTTAAACCACGACAATAACGCGTGTGTGTAACGGTCCGGTTTATAGTTGAGCGGTGGCTGAGGAGGAGCGGACACGACCGCGGGGTGTCAAACGGTTGGCAACGCCGTGGCCGTGTCAGTTTTAAAGAGGATTTTTTTTAACATATATTAATAACACTGTTATGCTGTGGATTAGAAGTCTTTGAGGTCCAAACAGGATTGTTTTAACTGTTTGTTTGTATTATAATATTAAAGTTTTCATAAATTAACAACGAATTATTTATAAAATATTTAGAAATATGGTTTTTTTATTTGACTAAATATCTTCATAGCAATTCAATCGTTAGTTATTTTTTTCTTTTTGTCTCTTTCTGTGTTATAAAAGTTGTGAACTAAAGGTATATTTTCTCTTACGATTAAATGAGATTACACTGGTGTCAACTACATTTTTTAATCCGTAGATCTAATCTTATATATTCTACAAAACCTCCGACGAAGCATACGATTCCGTCACACAGGTTTTTATAAAAAACAAATTACAAGAAACATACTATGAATGATGAAATAAACAAAATACACTAATGATAGGGAAAAAAATGTGTTAATATACGTGATGCCTTCGAACGTAAAACGTGTGCTAAAAACTAAAATAATATCATTTTTTGACAATTAAAACAACAATTAAAAATCAACTATCAAATATATTCCATAAACGATATAGACGCATTGTAGAAATTTTAATTTGATTGAATGAAGAACTCAGTACGTTATTGAATCATAAAGTCCCGGTATGTCTCACACACGAATAAATAATTGTCTATTAATAAGGCACTATGCTTGTTTTATATTTTAAGGGGCTTAGCACTTAGAACATTTTCCTAGAATTATGCATTACATAAAATTAATATATTAATTTTAAATTCCATAAATCGAATGCTGTATCAGCTAAATATTATATTAGATAAAATAAAATCACTGAAACTGATACTTAGTAACTAAAGTTGTGTTAAAATTAAGAAAATTAAAGACACTAAAAATTTTAAGAAAATAAATATTTTAACAAATTGATAGTGTTTGAAAATGTTCAAAAAAAAAACAAAAAAATCTAACGTGAATTATTAAAATTTTTAATTTAGTATGAGTGATTTGATATTATTTTGCAATTATAACTTTGTTATAATCATATTATAATTTAAAGTTTTATCGGTACATACCTCATTTAATTTATTCTAAAATAATTAAAATAAACAAAAAAATTATATATAATAATATTTATTAAGACTGTTACTATATTGTTATAATATACTATACTATACTATTATATACTTTTACTATATTTATCAAAACCCACTCAGTTAAAAATAATTTCACTAATAAAAGAATCCACCATGTCACAATAATTTTTTTTTTTACATATATTTCTTGAGTATTTTTTCGATTCATCCTTTATATCTTATAGAGTGACAGCTATAATTTTATAAATTATAAAATGTGTATTTATCTAGAATATAAAATAACTGTTTAAGAAAAGAAATTTTTGATACCAATTTTTGGACTAGTACTCATAAATTCTTAAGAGTTATTATTATTTTAAAGTATAGAATGAAGTATGTGCTTTTTTAACATTAAACATTTCTCAGTCAGAATCTCCCTTCCAACTAAGTGCAAAAATATAAATAACCAGTTGATAAGTTATTTTCTATTTTATATGCTAGTTAATTTGTATGTATCTATTGGTTAATCTTTGTTGAAAAATCAATTATTAATTGCTTTCAATAGGAGACATATTATTATTTTCTAAGAAATGCGTTTTACTTTTTAAAGTAGGCAATTTCATGTCCACTTTTATATATTCAAGTGATTTTTTTAGTATAATTCGTAATTGTGATGTGGAGAGGCCAAATAATTCAAAAAAATTATTAATCATTACACATTAAAAATATTGTTAATGGAAAATTAAAAAAAAAACTTCTGATAAATAAATATGTATTATATATAAAAAGTCAATTTTTTTTATTTATTAATTTTGTAATAATTAATCATTATTTATTTAAAATTTAATTGATTCTACATAGAAAAATATTTTATTAACTATTTATTATAGGTTGAAAAAAAGTAAACTTTTAACGATTGTCTTATTTGTCGATAACAGAATAAATTAATTAAAATTGATGTGTTAATTAATAAATTAAATTGTTAAATTTATTTATGTATTAATATAGTTTTGTCAAAATGTTATTTAATTTGTTTAATTAAATTGATTTATTAATGTTTAACGTCCTCTAAGCCATTACTTATGCCAAAAGGAACAGAAAAATCTACAATATTAAGTGCAATGGATTAATGTATCAGATAATATATTAATTAAAATATTAATTATATATCAAATAGCAATCTATTGTAAAATTTTGTATAAAAATAAAAATGACACATACTTTACCATCCTGACTCTGAAACAAATAATATAATAAAACAATATTTTAATGTCAAACATAAGTTATAATTTAAAACTTAAATCAAAGTAAGAATGAATTATCATCAAAAATTATTTTTTATTTTTAATTACTTCACCAATATAGGAAAGTAAACTTTAGTCAGAAAATTTTAACTAATGTAGTTATAGAAGTTTGAACAAAAGAGTCTTACAAAAAATTAATTGAGGTTTTTGATTTGTAACTGATAAATCTGAAGTATTAAGTAAGTAGAATAATTCTAAAAAAATTTAGCAACTCATTATGTTAAATGGCGTCTAATCTATTAAAATTACTCGGATTTATTGATTATAAAGACGAGAAATATACAATTCTTTAAATAATTTTTTTAAACCATCTTAGAATTTATCTGTCAGATTTTTTACCAATTGTGCATGTGTTTATTTATTTTTAATTGCTTTCAAATAATACTTACCAACTCTGTGAGACACTAAAACAATTTAAAAATTAAATCGAAGAACAACGTAGGATAATTTTAATTCCAATATTATCACACTAACTAATATTAAAGAATTAAAAGTACCTCTAGTTATTTAGTTTATATTGTGTTATCCTTTAATTTTATAATGTCAATATACCAAATGTTTCCATTATAGTATAGTTGTTAATCATAGAATTAAAATAATTAGTTATTGTAACTATGACTTAAAATGTATATTTTATCAATATAAAACTTAACAAACTGTTAGGGGCTTGTTTAATAGTTGAGGACCTTGGTTAAAACCAAGAATCGGAAGCTACCCAACGTCTGTCCAAATATCGTCCCTATCTCCTTAAATGAATTTTAATTACCTGAAGGAGACACAGGCAATCGTGTGCCTTAGTTACAGGGGATAGATTATTAAATAAAATTAGACTATTGTTTTACGTAAACGATAAAGTAAAGTTATATTTTAGATGTTCAGTAAATATAAGTTATATGTAATATACAATACGTCTGACCTGAATCCTAGTACAGTTGGTTAGTAGGTATATCCAAGACGGAGTTGGTTGGCTATGATGACAATTGGCGATAGACGGGTCGTTAAATAAAACAAGTTAAGTTATAAATAATATAAATAAGACGAAAGTGATAGTATTGAAAACTATGTCTATAACGGCCACTCAAACACAACAGCCCTTTGTTAGTTCGACGTCAGTAGCTCCGGGCTATAGACAAGTAGAATTGTCACATCAGCATCTCCCTCTATGCCAATTAATATGTATTACGAATTAAATAAATAGAAATAAAACGTGTGTAATATAAGTGGTAAGAACATAGTAATAAATGTTCTTACAAAACCAATATATGGGGTTAGTATGATATGTTCAAACCCCTTATATTTACAATTAATAATATTTTTAATTTTATTATTTATTATAAGTCATCAAACTCACCAGATCTAAAAGTTCCTACAATAAATTATAACGAGAAATTATTTAATAGAATAACATTAAAATATACAATGTATGTTATAACAAAAATTAAAATTTATTAATTTTTAAATCATTTAAAATATTTATATATTAGTTTAATATAATTGAACATTTCCGAAAAATAAACAATTATCTTTAAAGTAGATATTTTGTATTTATTGTTTTTACATTAAATTATACATAATACATTTAACTTATAATGTTACGTAAAATGTATTTATTAATTATTGAAGTAGTCCCTACCTTTTCAATATTTGTCAGATCACGTAACTAAATAATAAAATATGAGTAAATAATATTTTTTAATAAATAATACTGTTATTATACAACACTAGAATAATTAGTCATTATCATAATCACCATAGGGTCTTATCCAACTTTTGGGGTTTGCACTATTTTAAAAATTTGACAAAATTTTACACTACTAGTTGTCGACCTGGCGTAGCCTCATTACGGCTGAGACACCCAGTTTGGGGTTAAGGTATGTGTCACTGGTAAAATTCTCAAATGGTCACCCATCCAGAAATCAACAGCAAACAACGCAGCTAAACACCAGCGCTAAAGTGGCAAATAATCCACTTCGCCACACCACACCTCAACACTCAACCCAATAGGAAATTAGTTAAATTATTATTTAATATAGTTGTATTTTGGCTATCAAATAGCAACTACGATTTAAATTTTAGCAATAGAAATCAATGTAAATTTATTTGTTATTGAAATACATTTTTATAGTCAAACATTTATTTATTTTACTTGTAGTGAAATAATTTGCTTATTATAATATGTCTTATTTATGTAATGTTATTGGTAAATATTACCTATTATATAATATAAAAGTTAGCTGTTCGTGTTCTTTTAGAAAAAAATGTTTTATTATTTGTTATTTAATTATTAATTTTGTGTCATTTATTGGATATGTGGTTAGCCGGCATTTACCCACTTAACTCCTTCCCCTCTAACCTGCTCCTATAATAACGATCAAACAAGATTGAGACAAGACGTCAATTTAGTGCGGTGCAGAACTAGTCGTCGTACAGTCTAGATGCCTCGTGTAAAACAACCTATATATTAATTTCTAAGTTTTTTATCGCTATACGTACCGTATCTGTTGGTATTTTATGGTTCTGAAAAAAAAACATTGTAAGCAATAATTATTTAGTTTTTAATTGTAAATGCCTAACATCTGGAAAATTGTTATTGCTGCGTTTTCAGCTTTAATTTGAACAAAAGTAAACATAAAAATCCAGGGAACGTAATTGATATTGCGATACGATTTTATACTTTAAAAATAGGTTTTGTAAAATCTACTTGAAAAAATTTATCATCATGCTTACTTCTTGTAGAGATTTTTCAATAGCCTTAAATTAAAACATAAAATTAATAAGAGAATGAAATAATTTAAAAAATGGAACATAGGGCCTAAGTCAATTACGCGGCAGTGTCTGATGCGGTTATCATGACTTCGAAGGTTTATCATTCGTCACATATTTCGCGAAGTCATATCATTAGAATAATCGTTTATTAGTAATTATAAAATAATTAGAGAAACACTCTACCCGGAATTGCTTAATTTTAAAACACTGCGTGTTTAAAACGCCAAAAATTTCAAAATTTACATTTCAGTTTAACCGCTTTAAACGTATAAATTCTTTACTTAAGTTTTAAAGGAGATTTTTTTTTAACATGTATTACAAACCCTGGTAAGCTGTGGGGGAGAAATCTCTGACAATATCGAAAATATCTTAATAATAAATAAAAAGTGAAATTTCAGTATAGTTTAAAAATCTAAATACATACATTATGAAAATTATTTTTTTTAATTTTAAATTCCATAATTATATCAGGTAAACATTTTATTTATTAGGTAAAATGAAATCACTGAAACTGATATTTAATAACATTAAGTAAAATTAATCAAACTATAAGTATCTACATTTTTTTTTTAAGTCAAAAAATTTTTTAACATGAATTAATTAACACATTTTAATTAAATTCCTATGTTTTGATATTATTTTGTAAACTCATTTACAGTTTATCGGTACATACCTCGTTTAATTTTTTCTACAAATGAAAAAAATTATTTATATTAATAATTTGAAGCTTATTATTATTAACAACAAAATAAATATTCAATGTTTTCACTATATAGAGATCCATTTAACTAACTCAATTAAAAATAACTCAGAACATTTTTTTTTTAACTATATTTCTCAATTTCGAGTTATTAAAAACTATTTTGGTTCATTCCTGTGAAACGGTTTCGTGTCGCTTCGTGATACACCGAGCTCCATTACCGACGCCACATTTATTAGCCGTCGTCATACTATGAGTATTTGACTGACCAACACCGCGTGCCATACGCCACAGTGTAAAGTCCAGCATGTGCCGCATGGCCGACGACGACTCTCCGCAAATGATTCGTTGAGTCTTTTTCCCGTCGTCAAAGTGATAACGTCGAGGATGTACGCCACTGAAACGTACATCCTAAACGTGTGTGGACGTATCGCACGACCGGACACGACGAACCGTCACCATCAACGCTGTTAACTTTTTGACGCCCGAGGACCATGCCGGACACCGCGTCGCCGAAGCCAATGAAAGTGTCGCGTTATTATGCAAAGATTATTATTAATTATGTGTTGTCTTTTCGGTACCTTTTTGAAAATAATCTGTTATTACTCATCAATAATAAACGACTTCGATGACTACTTTATTGCGACGTGAGTCGTGCACCTGATATTTTACAGGCCGTCAACTTTATTTTTAAAATGACATCTTACATATTTAACAATCATGTAAAATAGAAAATGGTCTAATTAAAAAAAAAAACTAATGGATACAATATTCGGAACAGTATTTCTGAAGTTATTTGCACATTAAATTGACTTAAGTGAAAGAGTGACTATGACAAATTCTAGCATTAAAAATTTCTCAACGGCACTCTCTTCGACCAAGGTATAAAAATGTGAATAATTTCTAAAGTACTCGTCCAAATGTTATATAGATCAATAATTTTCTTAATTTTATTGTATTCATGTTATAATAAAATGTATAGTTGACACGCATATAAAATTAAAGAAATAAACCAAAATAGTTCTTAAATAATTTTAAATCGAGATATATGTATAACTAAAAAAGCCAAACGAAAATTTTCGAAACCACATTTGTTTACAAGTAGTTTTGAAGGTTGCAATAAATGGATTACTTTGTAAAATAACAACTTCTTTCAATAATTATAGAAATAGTAAAGAATTTTTTTAACAAATCCTCATCGAAAATATTGCTCTTCAAAAACATCAATTTTCCTTCTTGAAATAGGCGATTTTATGTCCATTTCAATATAACCAAATAATACATAATTAAAATGTATTGTGAACAAATGATTTTCAAAAAAGGTTTTTTTAGGGAAATTTTTCAATATTAAGCCAATGTCAATCATTCAGCCAAACTATAAAGATGTCCCACAAGGTTTTGACATCTTTAATAACATTTGATTCGGAAAATATTTTGATTTGAATAATTTTGATAGTTTTGAACTACTTTAAAGGCATTTTTTATTATTATTTATGTTTAATAAAAGAAATTATACATTTTTTTTTTTATTTTTCGATATTACAAAATAATTTATTTTGGTTATTTTAATTTTGCTATTTTTAAAATAAACATTTTTCAGTTGTTTTCTTATAAAAAAAATGATGTTTTGTCCATAAAAACTTTAGGAAAAATACTTATTGAGTTGAAAGCATTAAAACATACTATAGTTATGGTACGCGTGCAGAATATACGTACACCAGTGCATATATACTCAATATATTTTATTGCTTGTGAATCAATAAGTGCTTATCCTAGAGCTGTTACCGACTAATTAAAATTCGTTGTAAGAAAATAACTAAAAAATATCTATTTATAATTCGATAAAGTTAAATAATAAAAAATGTATTTGTTTGGCCGCCGATCATTTGTAGCGCCACTTGTATATAACCGGTAAACGCGATCGAAATTGTTGCGCGTCGTGGCGTCCGGCGAGTATGTGTTTGGCACCTATGCTGGGACGATCCTATGACGGACGGTGAGTGCCTCAACTTGAAAGCCCACAACTAGAGTTCCGTGATCGTCACTTAAATATCAAAGGTGGATTTGGATGCCCATCCACGAGTTTATGGTTTGGAGAAGCGTGTCTGGTCTTGGTCTACGGGGAATTTGAAGTAACCAGAATATTGTGTCCTTTGTTTAAGTAAAAGCAAGTCGTGTCCACTTAGGCGAAAATACTGGGTACCCCGACCATTGAGGTGTTTTCGAGTCGGTGGTTTATCAGTATTTATTTTAAAGACAAAAAATAAAATATATGATTTTAACATGGTACAAAAATGTAATTGTAATTAAAAAAAAAGTAATGCAAAAATTTTCTAGATCAAAAGTTATTAATTATGTCAAAACTTAGGGTAGGACATTCTGTATATTTGGTATCTCGTTTTTAAAATATAAAATATAATTATTTTAATTAAGCGTTACATAAAAAAATTGATAATGGATGCCCTAAATTACGTTATTAACGATTATGATATATCATAATGCTAATGATAACCATCATTAAATACTTTTTAATATTTTTAAGATTAACTTAAAATGTAATAAGAATTGATTACATTTGGTTAATATTTTAAATTCAAAAATGTTTTAATTAATTAACACTAAAATATTAATTTAAACACTAATAAATAAAAATAATACTATAAAATCACGAATATGTATTTCAGAAATAATGTTACAATATTGCTGTTGATGATAACATTGTAATTATAAAAATGTTATATTTTGTTCTAATATACAGGGTGATTTTTTTATCATAACCCACTCAATTACTTGCAGAATAATAATAATTTAAACATTTTTTTTTTTATTATCTTTAGTTACACATTATTCTTGAATTTTTAACTATGTAATACTTTTTAAGTTCATCCCTTATGCCTTGGAAGGGGGTCAACTTTGTTTTAGCTTCGATGCGAAGCTGAGAAGGTATTGGTTTTACTATGATGTGTTTTTTTTTTTTTTTGTGTCTGTTACCACTTTTTTTCAGCTCTCACCGAACGGATTTCTTTCAACGATACGTCAAAAGATCACAAATCGTATCTAGTCGAAGACATTACCCTTCAAAATTGAAAAAATTTCCCTCGTTCCCCGTAAATGGGGGAAACCTCCAAAAAAATTACAAATTTAAAAATCGCTAATTTTCGAAATTTTTTCAATTTTTTTTACTAAAAACTGCCGTAACTTTTTTATATAGATGCATAATATCATTACCTTTCATTTGGTATATTTTTTTTTGTAAATCTGGCACTTAACCTGCCCACAGGGGGGGATTTAAAATGACAACTTTTTCACAACAAATTTACTTTTTCAACTTAACTTTTGAAAATGTTCCGGAAGGTCTGACACTTTTATATATATCTTAAATTAAAGCTAATGTAATGTACTTTAATTTGAAAAAAAAAAATTTGACCTCTGGACTTGTCTTCATGGTGAAAACGGCTACCGAATGCTATTTTTGTGTGAAAATTTTCGATTTTATAATTTACATTTTTTACTTTAAAGTGCTATAACTTTTTAAAAAATGTATGGATCAATACAATTTTTTCATGAGAAGTAGTATTTATATACATCTTTCATTGGATATACTTTTTTTTTAAATCAGACTATTTCCCTGCCCACAAGGGGGCTTCAAATATAAAAAATTCATATAGAAAGTAGAACTTTTTCAACTTAACTTTTGAAAGTGTTCCGGAAGGTCTGACACTTTTATATATATCTTAAATTAAAGCTAATGTAATATACTTTAATTTGAAAAAAAAAAATTTGACCTCTGGACTTGTCTTCACGGCGAAAATGGCTACCGAATGCTATTTTCGTGTGAAAATTCTCGATTTTATTATTTATATTATATTTAACTTTATAATGCTATAACTTATTGAAAAGTTTATGGATCCACACAATTTTTTTATGAGAAATAATATTTTTTAATAAACCCTTTTTCATTCGACATACTTTATCTTTATCGAGATATTAATAAGGAACCAGCAGATCAAGTAGCTTTTGGAATAAAACACCAATTTTTTTAAAATTAAACACTATCTAAAGATTTGCATCGAAGCGTTTATTTTTGATAGTGATTTTAATCACTGTCAGATATCATTTACTAAATCCAACTATGCCACGTCACCACTGTGCCGCGACCCCCCTGTGCTGGGTTTTTTTTAAATGGTAACACATATTTTTAATTTAAAAAATGTTTGAGTTTTTAATTTGAAAGTAAATGGCATTTGAATTTTTAATATAACTTTATTAGCTTATTAGATATAAACATTTAAAGTTTCAAAATTTTGAGTTAATATACATGTATAATACACATGGGATTGTAAATACAGGTAGCTAATTGGATTTTTATGACATTGCTGTCTCAGTCACGGATTGTTTATTATCAATTATGATTATCAATAGATATACTTTCTGTATTGTCAGTTGGTGTATTTATAAACTCATAACAATGTGCCTTACTACAATTGATAATAACAATGCTGTGTACCTGCTAATATCGATGTTATAAAAAACCAATTAGCTACCTATATTTGTAATCCCTTGTGTATTATACCTGTATATTAATTCAAAAATTTGAAACTTTAAATGATTATATCTAATAAACGAATTAAGTTATATTAAAAATTCAAATGCCATTTACTATTAAATTAAAAACTCAAACATTTTATTAAATTAAAAATATGTGTTACCATTTAAAAAAACAAAGTTGACCCCCTTCCAAGGCATAAGGGATGAACTTAAAAAGTATTACATAGTTAAAAATTCAAGAATAATGTGTAACTAAAGATAATAAAAAAAAAAATGTTTAAATTATTATTATTCTGTAAGTAATTGAGTGGGTTATGATAAAAAAATCACCCTGTATATATTACAGTTATATGAAATAAAACTTACTTCATCTTCAATGTAGTCCATAGTCTGTCACATAAATAAAATTATATAATACAATATATAAATGTACCATAAATTAAATGTTTTGTAACCTTATAACAATACCCATTATAGAATTTGAGTAATTATTAGTAACAAATCTAGACTTGAATATTTTAAAGTTTAAATTAAAGTTTTATAGTTATACTTTTGTTTATTTTATACGTGCTTATTAATATTTATTATTATTTATATAATATATAAATAGATATTATTATTATTTTTATTGCATATTATGTAATAGTAAATACTTCCCATTTCGCAAAATAAAAACCATATCTTTAATCATTTTAATTTTATTGTAAAAAATGAAAATAGTTAAATTAAACATTATGATAAATTAATAAAAACTATCAATACTTTTGTAAACATTTTTCTCTTATTTAAAAAGTGAAGTAAGCACTAAAACATCCATGACGTACATTTGATTTTTATGTTAATATTACTATACGTACCTTTTTTGTTGTCATATTTTCATTCTGAGAAAAAAATATTATAAGCACATTTATAATAGGCTCAGATTTTATTTCTATTTGATAGAAAAAAAATTGCTTAAAAATGTGATAGCATGCTTACTTCTTTTAGCGACATTTCAATAGCCTTAAATTTTAATAGAATTAATAAATGAATAAAAAATTTAAAAAAAACACCATTCATTTATGCGCTAGTGTCTGATGCGTGCTAATGTATAAGCTATATATAGAGTGTTCAGTAAGTAAAGAAACGAGATGAAGGGATGCTATTAAATGAGATATGAGGACAGCTGATGTGAGCGTAGATAATGTAGGAGATCGTGCCAAGTGGAAATTTAGGATAAGGGTGACCAACCCCGAGTAGTTGGAATTAAGGCAAGGAAGAAGAAGAAGAGTAAAAATAAAAATACAGGTTAATTGTTCTAAACAATGAGTACAATAGAAATATGTTTCTTTACTTACTGAACACCTATATATATATATATATTATTAGGTAAAATGAAATCACTGAAACTAATACTTAGTAACGATAAGGTAAAATAAAATAATGTTAATGCAACATAGATGCCAAGAAAATAGATTAAAAACTTTAACATTAATTAATTTAAAATTTTTACCAAGTTTGAGTGGTTTGGTATTAATTCATAAATTAATATATATTTTTATTGATACGTACCTTTTTAAGATTTTCCTAAAAGTATAAAAATAAATAAAATATTAATTTGTATTTTTTTTTTTCAAAAAAATAAAAATTAAATTAAATTTTCAATGATTTTTTTATACGGATGATCCTTTTATCATAATCCAATAAAATAAATTAATAACTTTTAATTAATTAAAAGTTGAATTATACAATGCGTACATCGATTTATTCTAAGTATATTTGTAGTATAACATTTTAATACTTAAGTATTAATAAATAATTCATATATTAATACAAATGCATCATCAAATCAGGATTCTCTGTGGATAAGATGAATAAAAAACAACACCCTTACACAAAAATATACTACCCTCTTACGCATTCCATAAAACGCCCGCATAAAGGATTCTATCACACTGATCAATCAAATACAACTATAAATATTTTAAGAATCTCATCAGAAATCGCTAGACCAGCCTTGTGGGCATTTTTTCCCATAAAAAGAGAGTTCTTGGTCAATATTTACATACATGAAATCAGTGTCAGTACATGTAAATATTTTTTCCCTGTAACTTAGTTTTTTTTATATACACTACCTTAATTAAGTAAAGTATTTTTTTGAACGATTTAAAAATATTTTTAACCAAATAAGTTATGTATATTTTACATTAATAAATCTTAAATTTACCTAAATATTCTCATAATAAATCAACATTTTTATAAATAATTTAAATATTAGTATGTCCTTCACTTTTAAACGGCCTTAGAGTTCGCTTTCGGTTACATTTTTATATGTAATTTATACGTTCTACATCACATTCTTAATGTTTAGAATTCTAAACACATTTTATCTTCGACTGAACATGTTTGGTGATATAACCATTTTAATATATAAGACATATTGGTATTTTTTTATTTTTATAGTACAACTAAAAAATGTTAAAATTTCATTGAATTGCATTGTGTCTATTACTTATTAAAAAGCCATAACTTGACTAGACAGAGTATTAGCGCAATAATATTATGATCAAAGTTTAAATCAATTATAAATATTCTACAAAGTATTTCTCCACTTTTCAAATAGTCGGTCTGATCTCAGCCGTTTTTCCAAAAGGGAATAGCGCTGGCAATCGGAGTGTAGGACACTAGTATAATCTACTACGCAAAGAACTTAAATTGAGCTCGCATCTACCCTAGATCACTCTGTAGGCAACTGAAAAGATATAGGCCACTTGGAAATAGTTTTTTGCATAGGACAGTAATGTTATATGTTATTTCATTATTGGTTTTACATAAGTGTTATTATGAAACACTACATGCAAGGTCAAAGAGCATATCACATAAATATACAAAAAGGGTTTACACAAAATACCAAAAGAATAATAAATTCGATTTTAACTTTGGGTTGATTTAATAAAGATTTGTGATCGTGAAAGAGTTACACGCGAGTTAATATAATAATAATAATCGCGTAGTTTCAAGTGCGTATACGGACTCACTAGGATACATATCGCTAATACCGACATCAACTACATGATTCATCGCAACAGAATATTTGTGTTAACAGAATAATCAGAGATAAGTGAGAACGTTTATTTATACAGAGTGTTCAGTAAGTCAGGAAACGGGTTTCTATTGTTCTCATTGTTACAAACAATGAGAACAATAGAAACCCGTTTCCTGACTTATTGAACACCCTGTATAACAAATCTATAATAATGCCTTCACCGAAAGATTTTTAGTAATAAACAATTAGAATGAGGTAGGTCGTCGGAAATGAACTGAATAAAATAATTGCATAAAAAATACGATACTCACGAACCATATAAATTCGTGTGTACATAAATTTTTATCAGGAGCTAAATAGTAACATTTTTATCCTGTACTCACTTATATCAGACGTGCTTCTGTAGGCATAAATACCTCAAGATCCATTCACTTTCATTTTATTATTGTCGGTGACCGTTTATCGACCCTCCCAGATACCCTTTAACATCATCTAATTACAAAAATCTCATGCTGCACCCCTTTATTTTTTGTTTATTACAAGTCACTCTTTATTTTTATTTATTACCAAACGACTCTCTTTATCTCTTTTATTTATTACATATTAAATATATTTCTCTAATTAACCACTTAATTTATCGAAAAACAAAATTAATATTCATATTTTTTTTATTGGATATTATTAGTTATATATATTTTTTAATTTATCAGTCATGATTTATTTTTTATAATCATCCTTTATACCTCATAAAGATGTCAAATTATATTTTTAAATGAAAATTATGTAATTAACTACCATTGTTATTAAATAATTGACATATTTAGAAAATGACTCATCGATTTCAATTATGGATCAATATAATAGAAGTTATTACCTAGAAGGGAGATGAAATGAGGCTAAGAAATGTCTAGTGTTAGAAATAGTATCAAGTACATTGTTAATAAACTCTAAAATCCTTTTTACCCCGTACATATTTTTAATTTTTCTTGTGATGTTTCTTAAATGCTCCTTTAATTTTAAATATAAAATATACAAATGATACGATTGGTGCACACACGAAACTTGTAATACGACTATATCGAAAAGCATTGAAAGGAAAATTGAGTATAATTATTTTAACATTAAACATTTCTAAGTCGTACTTCTCATCCCACTTACTTATAAAAATATGATAACTTGCTATTTACGGGTTCAACATCGATATCGAACACAGTCATTTTACTATGTAACAAAGTAACAATGTTGCTGTTGAAGGTAACATTGTAATTATTGTATTGTAACATCGGTATTTTTTTTCTAAAATATATTATAGCTATACGAAAGAACACTTACTTGAGTTTCAACATCGTCAATAGCCTGTTACACAAATTAAATTAGAAAATAAAATTTTATAAATGTATCATAAATAAAATACATTGTGTAATTGCATAGTAATACTTTATTATAATTTGAATATAGTTTGAAAATTCAGTAACACTAAATAAACTTTTTTTTTTTCTACACCCGGCATAGGTGTGGACCGCCCTGGAACTACCATTAGGTACTACTTAGGATGGCCCACGCCATCTATAAATCACATCACCACATTGTGAATCAGCCCGAAGTTAATCAAGAGCTGATTCACAACGTGGTGTGGCCTCCCTCGATAGCCGGATCCCAAAAGGTGGTATCCGTTTCCCGGGTTTTACCACGTGGAGGTGGGGGCAGGACTTTGCGAAGGGGCAAAAATAACTCACAACAGATAAAACATATAAACACGAATAGCTAATAAACTAATATACTTATTTTAAATTTGCATGATTACTACAAATTATAGTCAAAAGTCATTTATACACCAGTGTTTGTACGTAATCATGTTGTATAAGCTATATATAGATATAGGTAAAATAAAATTATTATTTACTAAAGGTTGAAGTAAAATTAAATTAAATTAATGAGATAAGTAATTTAGGGTGTTGAAATAAATGGACTATTTTTTAAAATACATTAGAAGAAAATATTCAAGAAAAAAACAAAAAAATATGACCATCAATTAATTAAAAATTTAATTAAGCATTTGAGTGATTTAATATACTATATTGTGAAGTAATTTAAAGTTTAATTGGTAATTACTTATATTGGGACCAGGGGCACTAAATATAATTTTGTTGGTGTTAAAAATAAAAAATTTATAAAATGTTCTTTAAAAAATTACATAGATAATTCGTATAACATAATACATAATTGAGACAATGTGGGATCAAATGATTCAAGTTTTCAAAAAAATTTTTTAATGGAAAAAAAAAAATCTATTTTCAATAGGAGTCATTAGGAGCTACATATTTTGTTTCTCGTTTCTATAATCTATCAATATAATTTGAAGTTCTTTTTATGATATATTTGCAAGTATATATAGATTAATTACACATTACTTACTACCTGTGCATCAGTAAATTCTTCGAACTATAATAAAATAAATTATATTAAGAAATTTTTAATAAAAAAATGTTTGAATTGAATATTATACACTAAATAAAGATTTAAATGTAAAAATAAATTTAAATACATGTTTTCAATTTTTTTTAATTTAATTAGTAATAAACTATTTTTTTTTATACTTTGTAATTTAAAATTTTATTACATTATAAATTAACTCTATTTAATTATTTCTAATCTAGATTTTAAAATTAAAAATAGAAATCCAATGCCACTTCTTTTTTTTTGGAATATTTATAGTCATACTTTTTTTATAGTAATACTTTTTTTATTTTAGATGTGGGAAAATAATCAGCTTATTACTAGTGTATCTGTTGAATTGAGTATTGTTATTGGTAAATATTACTTAATGAGTAAGATAAAAATTAGCTATTCGTGTTCCAAAAGAAAAAAATAAATACTTTATAGTATTATTTTAACTGTAATATGAAAAATTATTTATTTTGTATTTATTAATTGTTATTCAACTAAAAATTAATTAAATAGTATAAGAAATTAATAAAAATATAATTACCATTATTAATATAACATATTTTTTATTTATTAATAAAATTAACATGAGCCTTTCATAATCTACATAAAACTATTTAATTTGTTTCACTATACGTACATCATCTGTTGGTAATTTATAGTTCTGAAAAAAAATGTAAATATCTTTTATTTAGTTCTTAATTGTGAATACGTTAGGTATCAGGAAAAGTGTCATTACTAAATTTTCATCTCAGTTTATTAGTTATTAGTTAGATAAATAAACATATTCGATTTATAATGATCGAAGAATTGCAATTGATAATGTGTTATAAATTTTAGACTTTAGAAATAGTATTATTGTCAAATGTCAAATATTACGGATAATATTTCTATTTGCATAAAAAAAGAAATTTTGTATAAAAATGTATTTTTATGCTTACTTCTATTAGAGACCTTTCCATAGCCTTAAATTTAATCATAGAATTAAAAAGTGTATTATAATTATTTAAAAAAAAATGTTGATAATATTCAAGAAATTTCTAGAATAATTTTTCTAAATAAATAATTATCAAATTTAATTATTTATTTGACTAACAATTATTTTATTACCTTTTACAAATTTATCTGCTCACTCGGAGCGATGTTTACGTTAATGTCAATCTTTTTATTTTTTATAAGCGTATTTATGGTGCCGAATAGACGACAGGATAAAATAGTTCTATATAATAACTGTATAGACTCTAAGTTATTTATTTGGTAGTGACTAAAGAGAGCTGGTATTGTATCAGCTATAAATTAGATAAATAACTGAAACTTATACTTAGTAAGGTTGAGGTAAAATAAAATAATATTAATGGGACAAAAAGTTCAAGAAAATAGATAACAACATTTGAATATTTATTAATTAAAAATTTTATTTAGTTTCAATGATTTGATAATATTTCATGATTAAATTTTCAGTTTTATTAGTACATACTTCATGTAATCTTCTCTGAAATTATACAAACAAACAAAAAAATTAATTATTATAATATTTTGTAGAAAGTTAATATAAAAAACAAAATAAATATTCAAAGATTGTACCACACAAAATGATTTGCGAATTATTAAATACTTCTCTTGTTCATCCCTGAACCCATAGTCAGTAGTCATTATTGACCTATAGTCTATATATAGTAGCTAAGGGCATTACGAGTAACTTACTAAGTACTCGACTAAATGGTAGCAGCGTGATTCCTAAATTTTTAGTTTTAGCAGATCCACACTTTACTGTGCAACAGAAAATCGACTTCTACGATTTCATGTGTGCAGGAATAATAAAGCCACAACTAAACGGTTCTGTTTTCTAGGAAAATAAGTTCGGAAGGTTGCTGCTGATTTATTGAAGAATAAGCAACTTAATAGTACAAGCCAATAGACAAGAGTATTCCTTACGGTAAATAACGATTCCGAACCATCACTAGAAAAGTTGGCGGAATGTAAATTCAATAGATATCCTGATGCGTTTCAATCATAGAACTAATTAGTGCCGAAGTTGAAATACAAATTTGATCGACAATTTTATTGGACCAATTCGAGCATAACCTACGCTTGGATTTCATCTCTATCCTCAAATAGCACAACCGAAAATGGGAGAATTCCCAATTTACGAGTTCAGAGCGGAAGTGAATTTGCCATATGTGGTATAGATTTGGCGGGTTCAGTCATGATAAGGACGAACTTGTATAGTAAGGCACCATATAATAAAGGATATATTAGCATATTTGTATGTTTCGCGATGAAGACGACGATATACATCAAAATCGTGAATAATCTAATAACAAAGACTTTTTTACACGCATTGAATATATTTATCAATCAACGTGAGAAAAGTTCAATAATTAACGCCAGAAATTTTTACATGGGCTTGCGTCTCATTTAAAGGAGGTATACGAAAGTTTTGTGATAAACGAGATGGCAAATATCAAATTTTGAACACTCAGTCTTTCGCACCTATAATTTTTTTCTTTTTTTTTTTTGATAAATACATTAATTTACTATTAAGAGGAAAAATATTATTCTTTTCTATGAAATGAGATTACATTTTGAAAAAAAAATTGTATGTCCATTTCTATATATTCAAATAATTTGTTTAACATAAAATATAATTGATGTGTAGTAGAACCAAATAATCTACTTTTTCAAAAAGATTTTTTAACAGAAAATCAATAAAATAGAATATAAATAATAAAAATGATTTTGGAGCTTTATAAATGGTTACTCTTTTCTATAATTTATAAATATAATTTCAAGTTGGATTTTTTTTTTTAATAATATTTGCGTAAATACATAGATTGATATGTTACCTCCTCTTCATCCAATTTTGAGGACTAAAATAAAAACAAATAAGATTAAGGAATTATTAATACAATTATTTAGGCTATTTTTGGACTTAGACAAGTTTTAATTATTCAGATAAATACTAACTTCTTTTTCAATATCGTCAGTAGTCTGTCATATAAATAAAATTAGACATTAAAATATTATAAATGTATCTTAAATTAAATATTTTTAACAATTAAGGTTAAATACATGTGTTCAATTGTCTTTTAATTGAATTAGTAATAAATAATTTTTTATATACTTTGTAATTTTTAATTTTGTTACATTATAAATTAACTCTAATTGTTTCTAATATAGATTTCAAAATTAACAATAAAAATCCAATGCGACTTTTTATTTTTTAGAATATTTCGAACTCTGAGTTGAGTTTGATTCAAGTTTTCAAAAAAAATTCTTAATCAAAAATCTAAAAATATAATATTTTCAATTAGAATTAATTAATAGCTGCATAATTCGTTTCTATAATCTACAATATAATTTGTTAATTTACATGTGGGAAAATAATCTGCTTTATGTGAGTGTATCTGTTGAAGTGTGTATTGTATAACATATAATATAATTTAAATATTATTCTTTAAATTATATTTGCAAGTATAAATTAGTTAATTTGTTACCTGTTCTTCGAACTAAAAAAAAAAATTATATTAAAAATGTTTAATATAAAAACTAGTGATGGAAAATATCGAATAGAAACTATCGAACTATTCGAACTATTCGATAGTCATTCAAAAAATATTCGAATAGTAAAAATATTTGATAGTTACACAATATATTCGAATAGTTTTAAAAACTATTCGATAGTTTATGTAAAAATAAACTATTCGGTTGTATAAGCACAATTTGAATAGTTATATGATAGTTTAAAATATTTGAAAATGCCCATCACTAATTTTTACTATTATTAATTGTATAATAATTTATTTATAAGTATTCATTAATTATCTTCTTATTATAATTAAGTGTACTTAATACAAATTTTAGGTAAAACTAATCGAATATTTTTTAAAACTATTCGATAGTTTATGCTAAAAATAAACTATTCGGCTGTATAAAAACTATTCGAATAGTTATTCGATATTTTCAAAAATTATCGAATACTATTCGATAGTTTAAAATATTCGAAAATGCCCATCACTAATAAAAACTTTTGAATTGAACACTTTTCACTAAATTGTAAGGTTTCAACCAAACAGAGGGCCTACTAATTACCCACTGCCCAGGGGGAACACTGGACAGTGACCTAGTAGCCGCGCCAAACAAGATAGTACTTGTCGACGGAGCTACTAGGTTTTGAGAAAAACAAATATTAAGAAAAGAGAAAGGCCATGTATAACATAATAACATCTTTTCTTTTTAATTATTGAATATTTTTAGCATATATATAATTTTAAATGTATAGTCATGAGGAAGAGAAAAAAAAAGAAAAAAAAAAAGAAAAAGAGGTGCTCTATATAACAGTAATAATGGGTTTGAAAATGGGGGTTTCAGGTTGTACTTGATTGTTGATTGAAGGGTGACGGCCCACCACCGGCCATAGCTGCGCCTCACATCACCATCATCATCATCTCGACATTTATTTTAATAAAAAAAACGGAGGACAAAAAAAAATACAGCCTGGTTGACTCCAAAGTAGACGGCAGATCAACTCGACGTTTTATTTAAAAAAAACGAGGACAAAAACACAACGGCACCACTTGGTTGACAGCAGATCCACTCGACGTTTTATTTTTTTATAAAAAAAAAACGGAGGACAAAAAAAAATATGAACAGCCGGGTTGATACAAGTCGACAGCAGATCCACTCGACGTTTTATTTTGATAAAAAAAACGGAGGACAAAAAAAAATACAAAAAAGAAACGTGGTTTTCAAAATATAATTATATAAAGAAAACACGAGTTGTTGCCTCGACGGTATAGGTGAGAAAAAAAAAAATCATTGTTGCGGCATTTGAAGAGTGGCCGGTGATCATGATGTCGCCGGGTGGTGGGGGTGCCAACTTTGAACTGGTTCATAGGGAAAATACAAAGGTGTAGGGATGCACTGTGTGCGGTCAACTGTCACAACAAACCGGGTACTGACCATTGGATCGGTTGATTGGTATATAACTAATTTAATAATTGGGGACATACATAATACCTAATGCACACACTATTAACTGATAAGATTAATATAAAAAAAAACTTGTATAAATTCTGCAACATTACAAAATATAAATGTAAATATAACAATTAAAATTGAATGCATGTTTTCAATCGTTTTTTAATTTAATTAGTATAAAACTATTTTTTTATACTTTGTAATACATTTTTGTTACATTAAAATTAACTCTAATTATATCTAATCTATATTTAAAAATTAAAAATTGAAATCCAATGCAATTTTTTTTTCATTCTTTGAAATTTATATAATCAGACTTTTGTTTATATTACATTTAGGAAAATAATCTGTTCATTGTTAATGTATCCGTTGAAGGATTTTGTTATTGGCAAATATTACTTAATGAGTAAGATAAAAATTAGCTATTCGTGTTCCACAAGAAAAAAATTAATTCGTTATAGTATTATTAGTATTTTATAGTATTGTTAGTTAAACAAATAATCATATTGTATTTATAATAATCGAAGAATTGTAATTTATAATGTGTTATAAATTTTAGACTTTAGAAATAGTATTATTGTCAAATGTCAAATATTACGGATAATATTTCTATTTGCATAAAAAAAGAAATTTTGTATAAAAATGTATTGTTATGCTTACTTCTATTAGAGACCTTTCCATAGCCTTAAATTTAAACATAAAATTAAAAAGTGCATTATAATTATTTTAAAAAAATGTATCTGCTTACTCGGAGTGATGTTTACGTTAATCTTTTTAATTATTATAAGCGTATTTATGGTGCGAACTCCCACATGGGGGTCCGCAAGGATCACGGTCCTAACAACCCCGTGGACCGTAGTTAATTCAGTTGGGGTGGCAACACGTACCACTGCTCGAAGCCGGTCATGACTTTGGCTAGTTGAGACCGGTAAGCCTAGGCACACCTGCTTGCTAACAGCGAATAAGCCCCCCTAACACAGGCATGTCAAGTGAAAAGGTTGCTATCTTATCACAGAGTAGTTAACCGAAAAGTAAAATGACCATTGAGATCCTCTATGGCACCCAGAGCACCATAGAGTATACAGCCTTATCACAGTAACGAGCTCTGCTGTGATGGACCTTTATTTCTCGACTACTCGTGGGAACTATATGGATAAAAACATACAAACACCACAAAATAACAAACTTGGGATAAACAGAGATACTACGGACAACCTATCGGAACAAGAACGTGAACTGGCGACACTTCACAGAAGAATCACCGAACTTGAAGGTTTCAATGCAAACAACGGGAAACTTGGTGAACCGTATACTAGCAAAGAGACAGCAACGTCAACAAATGCAGACCAGGAATCACAAGATCAACTGGGAGTAGTAGCTGACAAAATCGAGGGTCTAAAACTTAGACCTGAGAAACTGAGCAGCAGTCAGAGGCGCAAACTGAAGAGGAGAAAGGAAATTATGGAGGGACAAAAGAACATACCAAAGGAGGGAGACAATGGAACCGATGACTTGAAAAAGTAAAAGGGAACCGAAGCTTAAAAACCTGAGGACAAGATTCAAGAACCTCCATGTAAGAAGACTCATTGGGTACCAACCTACAGGGATGTAGTAACCGATGATAAAAAAGTGGCTCTGGTCCTCGCAGGCTACCTTATTAACCATTAAGAACGTGGTAAAATACTAAAAGTGATAGACCTAGGCTTTTTGGAATACCCCTTGGACTATATCAAACCAATTCTTAAGAATAACATTTCCTACAAAGTGGAGATCACTACACGTAGAGAATGGAATATTAACTACCTAACTGAAAAAGGAGGATTTATGATATACACAGATGGATCCAAAAAATTAGGAAAGGTAGGTGCTGGAATTTGGGGTTTAAAGCCATGAATAAATGTCAGTATGTCATTGGGCACAACACCCTCTATTTTCCAAGCAGAGGTGATGGCGATACTGTTAGGGGCTCAGAACCTGCTGGTATACAAAAATAGGAAGATAACTATCTTAAGTGATAGTCAAGCGTCTTTGAAAGCACTATGTAACGATCAGGTGAATTCAAAACTGATCCTCGAATGCAGGAATACTTTAAAATCACTATCGAGGTTCAACAAAGTTACACTAGCGTGGATACCGGGACACACGGTGTCACTGGAAATGAGAATGCTGACTTTCTAGCCAGGAAAGGAGCAGAGAACACCTATGTTGGACCAGAACCAGTGGTAGGACTCACTGAGCAATCGCTCAAAGCGTTACCCAAGAATTGGTGCAGAGAACAACACAGGAAAATCTGAAAGTACTTGGTAGTACCTAGACAATCTAAAATGTTTATCAAGACCCCTGGTTTATTGCTGGGTGATCTTAATAGCATGACTAGACATCAAATAAGCACCCTGACTGGTCTACTGACAGGACATGGTCACCTACTTAAGCATCCTAACGCAATAGAGGTATCGGAATCACCATTGTGTAGGAAATGTGAAGTAGAAGGAGAAGACTCATTTCACATTATGTGCGAATGTGAAGCCTTGTCCAGACTAAGATCAAACTACTTGAGTAAACATTTTCCTGAAAAAGAATATATTAAAGATCTAAGCCCAGAGAGATACTTAATTTCGCCAGAAAGACAGGACTCATTGGTAATCTATAGAGGTGATTTTATGGTTGGTAATATATTAACACTTCGGTGGGTAAGCCGAATTAAGACAATTCGGTATGAGGTGAGAACAATGGACCAATTGGGTTTGGTTGGGGGGTTCATGGGCATTATGTCCACCTCGATAATAACTAAAACTAAAAACTAAAACTATGGTCCCGAACAGACGACTGGATAAAATAGTTCAATATAATAGCTGTATAAAGTTATTTATTTGACAGTGACTAAAGAGAGGTGGTATTGTAACAGCTACATACAAAAAGTTCAAGAAAATAGATAACAACATTTGAACATTTATTAATTAAGAATTTTATTTAGTTTCAATGATTTGATAATATTTCATGATTAAATTTTCAGTTTTATTAGTACATACTTCATGTAATCTTCTCTGAAATTATATAAACGAACAAAAAATTAATTATTATAATATTTTGTAACAAGTTAGTATAAAAAACAAAATAAATATTCAAAGATTGTACCATACAAAATAATTTCCGAGTTATTAAATACTTTTGTGCATCCCTGATATTTTACTGAGTGTCAATTTTAATTAATTATTAGAATATTTTAAATCAGTATTTTATAAGTTATTTGTATTTTATATTGACCTGAGGGAAAAGAATGAGTATGTCAATTTTTATCATTATATATTTTTTATAGAACTTTTCATCGTACGTAGGTATAAAAATGTAGTCAGTTCTGAATTATGGATCCAAATATCAAACGAACCATTTATTTTCTATTCTTTCTGTTAGTTAATTTTGTATGCTATCAATTAAAAATGTATGAATGATACCTCTATAAAATATAAGGGATAAACCGAAATAATACTTGATAAATTTTAAATGGAGAGTTTGTAAATAAAGAAAGGCTAATAATAGTATTCTTTAATTTTTTTGTACATTTATATTTTAATTTATTTTGATAGTGCTGTCTGCTTGTGCGACGGTGTTTAAAATCTTCTAATGTTGTTAATGTGTGTTACGTATTGATAAATATTATATTAATTAGCAGTGGAAATTGTCCACTGTTATTATATTGTTCTCAATAAAATGTTCAAAAAAATTTATTTTTTTAATAAGGAGTCATTGAGAACTATATATATTACTTTCTTTCTATAATTTATAAATATAATTTCAAGTTGGATTTTTTTTTTTAATAATATTTGCGTAAATACATAGATTGATATGTTACCTCCTCTTCATCCAATTTTGAGGACTAAAATAAAAACAAATAAGATTAAGGAATTATTAATACAATTATTTAGGCTATTTTTGGACTTAGACAAGTTTTAATTATTCAGATAAATACTAACTTCTTTTTCAATATCGTCAGTAGTCTGTCATATAAATAAAATTAGACATTAAAATATTATAAATGTATCTTAAATTAAATATTTTTAACAATTAAGGTTAAATACATGTGTTCAATTGTCTTTTAATTGAATTAGTAATAAATAATTTTTTATATACTTTGTAATTTTTAATTTTGTTACATTATAAATTAACTCTAATTGTTTCTAATATAGATTTCAAAATTAACAATAAAAATCCAATGCGACTTTTTATTTTTTAGAATATTTTGAACTCGAACTCTTGGTTGAGTTTGTTTCAAGTTTTCATGTAACTGTGAAAGTTGTGAACTACAGACCAATTCATAATATAATAGCTTATTTTGATATTAAAAAAAACAGTAAACATTTTTTTAACAAATATACATCCAAATATAGATTGATCTTTTGGGTATTGGTCAAGTGGTTATTTTAATTCCTCTTCAATATATTTAAATAATGCGTTAAGCATAATGTTTTCAATTATCTTTTAATAACTACTTCGTAATATAACTTTTAAATTTACTTTTTATTTACATATTTTTGTTTATTTTACATGTGGGAAAATAACCTGTTTAATGTTAGTGTATCTGTTGAAGTGTATAATGTAATTTGAAGTTTTTTTTTATATTATATTTGCAAATAAAAGTGGATTAATGTGTTACCAGTTCTTCAGCAAATTCATCGAACTAAAATAAAATAAATTACAATAAGAATTTTTTAATAATAAAACGTTTGGATAGAATACTATACAATAAATAATGATTAAAATGTAATAATTAAAATTAAGTACACGTTTTTGATTATCTTTTCAATTAAATAGTAATAAACTATTTTTTTTAACTTTGTAATTTATCATTTTGTTACATTATTAATTACTTAAACAGTAAGATAAAAATTAGTTATTCGAATTCCGCAAGAAAAAAGTTAATTCTTTATAGTATAAATTTTATTAAAAATAAAAATAAATATTTATTTTTGTATTATAATAAATTTTTTTTTAAACATTAATTATTAAGTTATATGCATACTGGAATTGTTGATATTTTTTGTTTCCGTAAAAAGAAATAAATTTATTTACAGTTTTATCAGTAATTACATAAATAAATGAAGTCCTTTAATTGTTGCTTTATTTAAAATTTATAAGGAAATCACTATAGGAGTGTCATATGACAACGGTTATAATGAAAAAGAATTGTGAATAGCGTTTAGAGTAATCTATTAATATTTATGCATTTATTTACTATAAATAGGCTAAATCTTAATTATTCTACATAAGATTTGTTTTCTATTTTTTTTTTTCTAATATCATTGGTCTTTCGTTAATAGTTTACAGTAAGATGTAAATAGGAAGATTACTTGAAGAAATACTCGATAAAATTTTTGAAACATTTCTAAAAAAATACAAAAATTAAATAACTCAACACCATAAATAGTTTTTGAAGCAAGATTTTCAAAAAAATAATTTCATGTTCATATCTATCCGGAAATTGTTGTATAATATTGAAGATGTCAATTACAAAATCAGTTGATCAGTCTCAAAAATTAAAATTTTTAGATTCTCAAATTTTCAAATGACTCAACATTAAGAGCTAAATTGTTTACTGTGTCCGGCTATACGAGCCTAATCTATGTTTTTTGTTTCAAATATAAATTTAATTTCAACCTATCTTAAGTAGAAACAGAGATACAGGAATTTTCCTAACTCCCGTCATAAAAAAAACTGGGAAAATTGTTTCGTGTAAAGATATTCTAGCATTAATAATATTTGAATTGACGCAGTCTACTGCGTTCAGATTATTATTTATACCTAGAAATAAGTATTATTAAGGCAGGATTTTTTATAAAAACCGATAAATTTCCTGGCTGATACAATAACCTGAGAGATTTCTTAATCTACGTCAAAATTGTAGTATCCTTACAAATTACAATAATTTTATTATAATTTAATTTATTATCACACTTACTTCCTTAAGGCTACTCTCAGTAACCTAAATTTTAAACATATATTCAATAATTTATAAAAAAATATAACATAAGTACTAGTAAATAGTAATAGTAATAGTAATAGTAAAAGAGCAACTTAAAAATTTTATAGTAAAGCACCGAATAAATAAAATATATAATAAGAAAATAAATATAAACGATAAATAATTGTAAATATAATATATTTAAATATTTATAAATATATTGTAAAATTTTATTACAACAAAGATATTTAACACTTTTTTATGCTTTGTAATTATTTTGAATTTATAATTATTAAAAATATCAAATCAAAATACTCACTTCTTTTTTAGAATCTTCAATAGCCTGATACAAAAATTGTATTAATATATTAATTTGAATATAGAAAATAGAGGATAATGTAAAATAAAAGAGCTATACAGGATTAACACCAACAAATTTTTCTAAGATGTCTATAGAAAATAAAGTTCTTTGAACTATGTTTAAAATCAAAGATAAAAAAAAGCTTGTAGAATAAAAACTATTAATTGTTATTGCCCAATGTTTATTTGTATTATAGTATAATTTTATAACTTCAACAGAGTAAATGATTCAATTATTATTAACTTATGAAACATATAACTGTAAATAATTATTTGTTGTAATTAATGACTTCTGAAATATTTATTTTATCAAAATGGTACCAATTTATGTATGGAGTTATTATGTTTCATGTTATTATGATTTGACAAGCAAAACGCCTTACTTTTGACAAAATAATGGCAATTTAAGTGTTCATAATAATTATTTATATTTTTTGTTTAATTATTTTATATCAGATAGCCTTCAGCTGTCATTAAGTTATCATGTCTCATGTTACGCTACCATTATTTTTACTTTTGAGTTTTGTAAAATATTCAGTTTTCTTTAAGTAGTCTTATTTGAAGGCTCTAATTTTATTAATTATAATTATTGTAAATTTATAATGGCCATTGAAATCCTTTGTGTTCTAGATAAGATAAAAACTAATTTTTAATGATTTAAAATGACCAGTCGAAATTGTACACTACCGTTAATCTCGTTATCTAAGACCATTAATTCCCCGTTTACTCCGATAACTATAATAATCCACAGTCAGAAAGATAATACTAAAAATAAATTGTAAAAATCCCTAAAAACAACCTAAAAAACCCTTCTAATATTTTCATTTGTCTCGAAACAAGTGTTAACAATATTGATATCTTCAAAGTAAACTGAATTTACTATTATTAAAAGTGAAATTTGAAGAACATAAAGTAATAATAATCCTATTCAATATTTTTTTTTTTGCCAAAATGTTAGTCATACTAAGAGATTGTAACCACGTACCCTGATTGTATAATGTGTTTGTAATGTTTGTAATAAATGTTTAAATTTATCCAATGCATGCTAAAAGCCTACAGATTTGTCCCTCCGTATAACTTGCGCATATAAAATATATTTTGATATCCAACAACTAGGTATTTCAGGCTATGATTTACCAAGTTCGATCAGTTTTAGTACCTATGATGTTTACCAGGGACTTTCTTGTTTTTAATGGGAATTGGTCTGCTGGTCCTGAAGGATTTTGCGGTGAGTTACTTTTTTAATTGAGATTTTTTATCGCTTATCCTCTTTGGCAAATCTTTAGATAAAGGTATTAAACAACAATAATATTGAATAGCACTAATTAACGAGAGACACGTTAGCATTTATAACTATATCATGTACAAAATTCATCACCGTAAAGTTGCAGACCACGTTGGTACTATTTTAATATTAAATTCTGTACAACATAACGAAATCAAACTCTATCGAGAACTATGTATTCAAATGACAAGTGTGTCTTTAAAAATTAATAATATTCTAATTTCTTTACTGCAGTATCATACCAAGATATTATACCATAAATAAACCACATTAATATGATCCATTAATTTATTTTAAAACTCTTTACCAATGTCCCTGCCTATTAAACCCATCAGTCCAGACGAAGTTGAAGCAACAATAAATATATTACCTAATTCCCTGCTACTTAGAAAATTGCCATAGTTATTGTCATGTTTGGCAAACCAAAAATTGAGTCAAGCCATACGGTCTATTAGTCGATTTCCTACACAAGTAAACTTTTTGAAAATTACTTTTCAAACAAATCCGATCAATAATTCAAGAATATGATATAATTCCTAATACCCAGTTCGAATTTCTCATTAAACTCTCTAGTGATCATAAGATCCATTAAAACATCAAGAATTATATAGAAATGATTACTATGATTTCATTTGAAATTATTTATTACGATATTAATGGAAAAAATTTTGATTTTAGATCAATATTTTATTAAAATTTTTAAATCTTTATAACATTTTTTATTTAATTATATCTGTAACGTATTGATAAATATTATATAAATTAGTAGTGGGGATTGTCCACTACTTGCGAATGCGATCACTGACACACAGACCATTAACAATTATATTGTTTCTCAATAAAGACTTATTTTCTGTTTAAATATTTGATGTTGTCTTTCATATTAAAAACACAACATCAATTTAAAACTTTACAGCTGAAAAAAAAGTTATTGTAAAGAGTTCAATTTTTTCTAATTATAGAGTTTCGTATCAATTTGAATTCAATTTTAAAGGACCAAAAAAATAGAAAAATATTATATTTCAGATCAGAATTTCTCACAGATTATTGCTAACATTAAAATTAAAATCAATATCAATTTAAAAGTAAATTTTATTTTATTTATTTTTACTTGATACTTTCTCATTAGTAATTGTGTCAAAACTGTAGATGATAGAAAAATGTATTTGCAGACTTGAAATTAAGGCAAAAAATATATTTTTGACTATAGTGAAATTCATTGCAGTCCAGTGTAATTAATTACTTTTAAATTATTTATTTTATCAATATAATATTTAACAAATTCATGTATGGGATTATTATATGATCAGACATAGTCCCTCATTTTTCACAAATACACTTTTGACAAGATAATAGTGATTTAAATGTTAATAACAATTAATAACATTTTTTATTTAATATGAGATTAAACTCACCATATCTAAAAGAGCCTACAATAAAAAATAACGATGAATTATTAAATAGAATAAAATTAAAATATTAAATTTATGTTTAAGTGAAAATTAAAACTAAATAATTTTACTTTCTTCTAGAATTAATATAATACAAATAATATGATTGAAAACTTCTGAAGTTGAAGCGCGAGTATGGCTATTTTTATAAATAGAAATTTCTCGTTCGCACTATTCCTCCCGGCTAAATATAAATGTGCGATTAACTTTACAAAAATACAAAAGAATTTAATAATAAAAACAGTAAATGTTATTTTTCAATTAAAATTTGATTTTTATGTTACGGATTAATTCTTAATTTTATTAACATTACTGCTTAACGATGTGGTTTTTAGAATAAATATGAATCATTACACTATTTTAATGAATTAAATTGTAAATTATTGTATTGTGAACTATTAAAAAGTAGACTTACCTTTTCTAAAAATTCCTAAAACAAAAAAAAGGAACATAATTAAAATAAAAATATAAATTCAAATTTGAAACGTTTCATATCAACATGATCAGTTGGTATGTTGATGGATAGTGATTTGTATCCACTTTTATTATCATAAATAGCAGATAAAATAATTATTCCGGGTCTATGTTCAGCCATGAGTAACCACTTGGGTTGGGTTTGACACAACCTATAAGAGCGCACTATTCATTTTTGGTGAATTAGTACGTTATCCGTTCGTGGTTATCACCTGTCCACCGGTCACATCGTCAGTGTAGAAGATAACGATATGTTTGTCTTATGCCTCCGGTCGTTAGATAGAACAGGTTCACACTGACTGAAATGACAGCAACTATGTATATGAGTTCACCTGTGATTTACATCCGCCGCTCGTGCCACCGAATTGTATACCCACAAAATTATTGTTTAATATTGATACCAATTATTGTTATTGTTGTCCGTGTTAATATTACGATTTTTTAAACAAATTAATATAAAAAAAAAATATATATATATATCCTACCGAGAAATCAGTGTGTTGTTTTTTATATATTACAAATATCCCTCATATCTTGTCAGGTTATATTCGGTTCACTGCAAGAGCCATGCGAGTAATTACTTTATACAGAGCTGGCAATTAAAGACTCTACACAAACCTATTTTATCGTCGAAGAACCGTCTATAATTGCACTACATAAAGCCGAGAAAGAATTAAGTCATAAGTCAATCCGTAACATTACCGTTACACAGCACAAAAAGAGAAGTCGTAGCAATGATTTATCATGTCGTAATAATTTTCCAGAAGAATTAAAGAATCCAGTCGGTTTTACTACATTGGTAAATGGACTCACACGATCAAGTGTCACGTTGTTTGATAATTTTGGACAAAATACTGAGCGACAACTATAAAGTCTATCGCGTGACAGGCATAGTATGAAAATAAATGATTTTTACGATAGACGAAATAAGCTCTGATTATGTATCAATCAAAAGCATAATATAAATTTATATATGTATTTGATGTATTATTTATATAACTGATATTGTATTTTTTTGATGATACATATTTATAATTAAAATTAAGCGATTTACGCTTTTGCTAGTTTTTATACACAGGGTAACCTCTGCAATTCACTGGATGGGCTCCTCCACACAGTACACATTTAGGTGGTTGGTCTTTAGTTTTTGATAATCATATGACATATGTGAACCGTCACATTTGACGCAACGTGATTCGTAATTACAGTATCTTTTCATATGGCCGAAATTTTGGCTTCTAAGGCATTGAATTAGGTTATAATTAAGTATGAGTTCGTCAAACTTTATTTTTGAGTGGTAAATAGTGTCAACTTTGAATTTTACGTTGTTATTTGTGTCTGGTTCAAGGTTAAAAAAAAAGATAGAAAATGTTTTTTTTGTATATCTTTGCAGGGCATTAATGACTTGTTTAATATTAAAACCAAGTTCAGTTAATTCTTCCTTAATAATATTGGGGTCTGTCGAATGGTGTAAGTTTTTTAATACGACACGAAATTGTTTGTCTTGTTTAATTTAGTACGTATGAAAATCGACATTTTTACGTAAAAGAATGCGTACAATTTTTCGATATGAATCAGGGGTTTTGATTTTAAGTTTCAGACCAGATGCGTTACTTTTACAAGTAAATTTATCCATGTGGATAAACGCTCCGCAAAAGTTTACGTAGTTCAGATCAGATTTGATAAATATGTAACAAGCAGCCCCTTAATATTAAAGGGGAATGGCCTATTACTGTGCGGTGGTGTTGTTTATTTTGTAGAAATCAAAGTGCGGAAATAAGAGGGGGTAATAAATAGGTACACCTGCTTATGAATGTATAAATTATGAATTATATATTTGTAGTTCTGCAAGTAAAGCTCTTAAAAGTAAAGGGGGAGGGGGGGATAACTTACATATTAAAACAATATTTAATCTTATGATATGATAAAATAACAAAATGATAATAAATTAATAGCTTATCTGATGACTTGAGGAGATCGGAGAGAGTGGCAAAGTAAATCACAATGAACGTAAAGTAAAATATACAAACTCAAAAAAGACTATAAGGAGCGATTAATAATTACACGATGCCGATTATAAGAGGCGCGAGACACGTGTACTGTTGACGTACAAAAAACGTTGTGTCGCTTTGCTGAGGAAGGGACGACGGCCGGACGTGGCATGAACACGTTCGAACCGGTCATACACATGCCACACTCTACCCAACAAAATATAAGCGGTGGTTTGTGTAAAGTGGGTTCATTTGTTTGTTCGGTTTCCATATTATCAGAATTTGTTTGTAGAGGAGTATACCAGTTTAATACTTTCATATTATTATGAGATGTAACGCTGTGTTTTGCTATGGGAGAGGATCCGGGTGATTATGTATGTGGTATTTTATTGGATCATAAAACTGTTATCAGAGTGTTGCTAATTTTAGATAACGGCGTTGACGGCGGAGTGCGATTACTTTTCATTCTGAGGCAATTAGTAATGTATTAATTTCTTACCTGCATCCCGAAGGATCTCAATGACATTAATATTTATGCTGTATCTTGAATTCGTAGATTTAGATATTTTAAACAAAACTACTTCAATATTAAACGATAAAATGAACGTAAAGTTATAGCAGAAAAATAGCGGAAGCGTAAGTCGAGACATGTGAACTCTATGGCAGCTGAAGGCTATATGAAATGAATAATGTTAAAAGTTATTTCATACCTGTTCTGTGTTATGATCACTAATCTAAAAATTATATGCAAGAATTAAAATAAAAGTTTGTGATAATCAAAAATATAGATAGAACGGTTACATAATTATATATGTAGTGATAATGTGACATATATTCAAAAATTGGAAAATCATTTCATTTTATTTTCATTGTTTAAATGTGAAATAAGTATAATTACTGAAATAAAAAGAGTCAATTATTTTTTGTTAGTCGAAAATACATTAAAACATCATAACATTTCAAGTTTGCATTGGTACCCCTCTAATATTTGATATAGCGTATGATTTAATTCCTTTACCTAAGAGTATAAGTGCTGGCAGAGGCGTCATATTGGGGGTCAAGGTCTGCAACCATACCCCTTACTTTAAAACAGTCCCAATTAGCCTGCTAAAATATGCACCAATTTTTTATACATCAATTCAAATTTAAAAAACTTTGTATTATCATGGTTACATCGGTCAATAAACAAATATTCTTGTAACAATTAATTGAGTAAACAATGAATATATCATACTGAACTGTTGATGAACAGTTGAAACGGATGCAAGATATTGTTATTAATAATAATCTTCGTAACAGTATTAGCTTTAATGCGAAGCTGAAAATTTATTAATTTTTTACTATGATGTATTTATTTTTATTTTGTGTCTGTCACTACATTTTCTCAGCTCTCACTGGACCGATTTTTCTCAACGATACGTCAAAAGATCACAAATCGTATCTAGTTGAAGACATTACCTTCAATTTAAAATTTATTCCCTAGCTTTCCGTAAATAATTCAAATCTCCCAAAAAATTACAATTTTTAAAGTCAGTAAATTTTGACATTTTTTTCGCTGTTTTTACTTAAAACTGCCATAATTTTTTTTAAAAATTACCAAATAGATATAATTTTGTTTTTTAGACACATGAGGTGTCAATTTGTATATTTTTTTTATTAATCTGACCTTTTACCTTCTCACAGGGAAGGATTCAAAATAATAACTTTTTTACATAACTCAACTTTTTCTACTTAATTTTTGGAAATGTTCCGGAAATATCGCATCCTTTAAACATACAAATTGTATGTCAAATTAAAGCTTATGTTACGTATTAAAAGAAACAAAAAGTGTCCCGACAGCCTATCTTCTTTATGCAAATGACTGCCGTAGTTAAAAACATGCTACTTTTGTTTTCAAATCTTATTTTTTTTTTGTTTATATTAAAGTACCTTATAAGGGTTTACCATAGTAATGAGTCAGCAAATAAATATACAATTTACATAAATCTAACTTACATTAAACATAAATTTATACTTAATTTGATAATTTTGCCTCTTTAAAGTTAAGATAAACTTTTTAAAATTTTTGAAAACTTGAAAATTTATACAAAAAAGTAGAACTTTTCAACTTAACTTTTGAAAATGTTAAGAGAATACTGCATCTTTTAAATATATGTTAAAATAAAGCTTATTTTATATACTTATTTTATAGTTCAAAAATAAAAAATTTGTACCGACGATCTATTTTCTATGTGCAAATGGTAGTCGAAGTAGAACAAAAAATAGGAGTTAATTTTGATTTTGCAATAATTTACCAGTTATTTAAAATGAAACACTATCTACAGATTTGCATCGAAGCGTTTCTTATGATAATGATTTTAATCACCTTGTATGAAGTCAACCTGTAGACCTTCATCTAGAATATTACCTTGATAATTTTTATAAGGTGATAGATTAATAGAAACAGAATACTTTGCTCTTCATAAATTTTTTAAAATTATGGTTGGAAATAATGATTTATATGGTATTCTTTACCCTAGATAAATAGGCGAACTACGCTCCGTGACTATTGCATAGATATTTCAATATTAATTATTATTTAAATATCTAAACAATTATAATGATATTCCAGTCAATAAAAAAATAATTTTAATGAGAATAGTTCTTCATATTTTAAAAGTTTAATTGTGTTTATAATTTTAGAAACGAATTAAAAATATAAATAATTCAAACATAAATTAATAACTCTTAATAACTGTTCTTACAGCTTCCAATTCTTCTCTCCTCATAACATGACCAAATCATCAAAGTCTATTTTCTCTCATCTTATCCACGATTGACGCTACACCTATACTCCCTCTTATATTTTTGTTCTTTATTCTATCTTTTCTAGTAACTCCACTCATCGATCTAAGCATTCTCATCCCTGCTACACTAATTCTCTGCTCTACTATCTTATCAACCGCTCAACACTCTGAACCATACATCATAACTGGACTCACTACATTATTGTAGAATTTACCTTTCAGCCTCATTAGAATTCTTTTATCGCATAAGACGCCAGATGCTTCTCTCCACTTCAACCACCCGCACTTAATTCTGTGTCTTACATCCTCGTCAATACCACCACTCTTTTACACAACTGACCCTTAATACTTATAACTCTCCATCTCTCCAATCACGTCCTTGCCTATTATTATTGACCTCCTCATTTAACTTACCTCGTGTTCTCCTTTGTCAAACTTGTACTCTATACATTCTGTCTTAATTTTACTTATTCTTGAACCCTTTTCTTCAAGAGCTTATCTCCACACCTCTAGCCTTTGATTAATTTCCTCCCTAAAGATATTTTTGTAATAAATGATTTAACGAAAAAACACCAATTATTTTTAAATAAATCTTGCTCTAAAAGAGATTACTTTTCTTATTTAACCTTAATTCAAAGTTCCATTAGTCAATATCTATCTGCTATTTAGGAATATTTATAAAAAGTGAAAGTCTTTTTCTCTACCTAGTTTCATGCATTCATTAAGAAAACATTCAATGATATTGGTTGGATTGCTAATATGTTTGTAGATCATTTCTCAAGTATTTATAAAAACAGTCCATAGTAGTTCCAATTTTTCACTTCCAAATGATGCCCATGTTTTAATTTTCCGACTTTCTTCTTGACAATATTTTTATCCGAAATCATTGAATCCTCATGCTCTATAAATACCTGTCCTGATCCAAATTTAATTTATAGTATATTTTTTTCACGGTGTACATATGTTATTGCCTTTCCGTTTGATTACATTTTTAATCTTTTCTTATCATCTGATGTTTTTTCTGATATTTGGAAAAACATTAAAATTTCACCATTTCCTAAAAGTCCTAGTCCAACTATTATAAATTATCTCCAATATCAACGTTATCTATTATCCCAAAAATATTTGAGCAGATATTTTCTCAAAAACTTATTTCTATTCTCAACACCAATATAAAAAAAAAAACAGCATTACGAAAGCCAGATCAACCACTACTAACCTTCTAGTTCTCACAGAGGATATATTTGAGGCTTTATCAATTGAAAATAATATAGATGTTATTAATACAGATTTATCCAAAGCCTTCAATACAGTTAACCATATTATTCTTTAAAATAAATTAAAGGCTTGTGTAGTGTGTGGCCCTATTTTATTTAATTAATGTCTTATTTCATTAATCGTGTTCAATTTGTTAAATTCAAAAATTATCTTTTTTACAGTTTTAAAACTACAACAAGAGTTCCACAAGAATAACAGTTAGCTCCTATCTATCCCTATAATACATAAATAATTTTTCTCCTATTTATTCTCCATGCTGCTATTCTCTTTATGATTTCAAAAGGTACTGAACTGTTAAATGTCATTTTAAATCTCCTACAGCAGAATTTAAATATCTTTTCTAACTTATGAAAATTTAAATTATTTATTCCTTTATATTATTAAGTGTAAATTTGTTTCTTATAACCGCACAACGGATATCAATATTTTGTTTTGTTGATATTTTTAGTATATAGTGATATCAATTTTTTAAAACTTGAGTTATTATTGTGAAATTGTTTTAGTCATTCATTTTCATTTATTATCATTAATAATTAGTAATTAAATCATATAATTACTAAAAAATACATATAATTTTTAAATTTTATTGAAAATTTTCAAGAATAGTTGAAGATATGAAAATTAAAAAAATATTAATTAAAAAAAAAATATTGCTCTCGAGTAAAATTAGTACCTGTGTGGTAGTCTTCTTCCAAGGCTAATTAAAAGATTGATTAGTAAGATTAATATGTACGTTATTTGATAATGTAATACATTTGCATTAAATAGTACATTTCAAGAATATAAGCAATACAACGCAAATGTACGCTGAACGTTTTCAAACATAATAGAATATGTAGCTATGTAAGAAAGACCGCCGATACAGAACCATATTCAAGAATAGAAATAAAGATTAATTTCCGAAAAATTGGATTTTTTCAATTTTATCTTTCAATTATTTTTTTGTAAAAAATTCATACCTTATCCAATGATGTTTTCGGAGACTAAAATAGAATTAGTACGTAAGATTAATATGTACATTGTTCAATTCTGTGTTACATTTGTATTAAATACTAAAAAGCTAGAGGTATAATCAATTGCTATTTTTTTTAATTATAGACTACTACTATTCATGATATAGTTTACATTACTAAATTTAAAATTAATAAATTTAATTGAATAATCGAAATTAAATTATTTAAATTAGTAAAATACACTTTTTCATAATTTGATGTTTAGCATTTATTATTGTTTTTAATTTTATCTTTTAATTATTGTCACGTGTAAAATTCATACCTTATCCAATGGTGTTTCTGAAGACTAAAATAAAAATTGGTGGGTAATATTAAAATGTAAATAAAGTTTATTCAAATATTAATATTATATAAAAATTTATACTTGATTCGCCATCATCCTTCGATACTAAATAAAAAATGTATAATAATTACTGAATAATAACTAATTTAAAATTTCAACTTTCTCTCTTAAAATTCTAAAAGTAATACTTAGTAACTATTAATTCATAAGAGATCCTTTCTTTTACAATAGTTTTGACTATAAAGTTTAACTATCTTATCCTAACTATGGAATAGGATGATGAAAATGGTCATTATTAAGAAAACCAATAATTTTTCAATTCGATTTAAATAGGAAATCTAAAAATAATAATAATATCACTCAAAAAATTAAGAAATACTAATGCATTTTTCAAATTTTAAATTCATTCTCAGAAGTCAGGAAAAATCATAGGATCCTAACCTCTTAATATTATCCCTCTACCTTATCTTATTTTAAACATAATGTTTTTTATTTTATTCAGAAATTAATAGTATCCTACGATTTATACTTTTCAAAAAAAGAAAAAAATCCAACAAGCCAAGAAATGGTAATTAAATTTTTTTTAATATTGGTTAAAAAATTATTATCAATCAGTCATTTTCTTAGATTGATAATATATTTATTTGTAAGCTAGCTAAACATTTTGTTTTCATTTAAAAAACTTAAACTTGATAAAATTTTAAATAGATAGAAAGCGGATAAATCAAATTTGTTTTTTAATTTTCAGATGTTCAAGACAATTGACATATATGAAAAAATCACACTATGTTTTATATTTTTAAAGATATTGTGTACGCCATAATTGAAAATATATGTAAAAACACTTGCACACATATATGTTTTGTATAAAGAAATAACTTACAAAAGATTTTAATTTGATTTTTAAAATAAATAAATGCAATTTTAATTATTTGTCGGTTTTTATTTTGTCAATTATAATTTCTTCTATCAATATTTTGTCTTTAGGTAATATAAAAATGAAAAGAGATTCAATTAAATTAGTTTAAATACATTAAGTGTGTCAAACAAATGATATATTGTAGATATTTTTTAAAACATAGGAGCAATGAATAAAATATTTAATTCTCTAATAACTTCTCTCCTATTCAATATCACTTCTATAAAATTTCACATGCAATTTTCATAATTAATGGGCTTCATTTGATAAGTTTTTTAGTTATTTGAAAAATTTGTTTTTACTTGTACAGAAGTACAAGAACTGCCCTACTTGTTACCGTCCACACATGTTTAAGATAAAACGAACTTAAGAAACCATATAATAATCATTATATGGTACTTGGTAGATATAAATATATTTTTTTAATTTATGTTTTAACAAAAAAAAAACTATTAATTTTTAAATAAAATTAAATAAATTATAATTTAAAACAATTTTGTACTTCAAATTAAAAATTATTTTGTACCTGTTCTGAGTTTTCTTTATCGGACTAGAAATGACAGATATGAATTAAAAAAGGATTGAAAACATATTAGTTTTGAAGTAAATCATTTTGTGTTATCAATTATTTGTAATAAATGTATCAGAAGATCTCAAATTGTACATTGTTGAAGACATATTTTCAAAAATTGAAAATAATTTTCGTTTTATTTTTATTGTTTAGAAAACTAATAAGAATGGTTATTGAAATAAATAGTCATCAATTTTTTTTTTTTTTAATAAAAATATAATTTATTATAATTGTGACACGGTTCTGTGTTGCTTCACGACACACGACATACAACAACAACAACAACCACCACTATGACAAAGTGTGAACTGCGCGCACAAACACACCCAAAGAATAACTTAAGTATATGTGGTCTTCACTGTGATACACGGTATGAATAACTTAACTTGACCTATACTCTGACTGCGCTGAGTGGTTTCATACCCGGCCATCAACGAGTAGACTGATGACTTAGCGGGGTATTTGACACGATCCCACGTCGATTTGCGAGAAACAGAGCCCAACGATAGTCAGCTATCGTCATACTACGTGTTTATGGGGTAGTTTGACTGATCACCACCGCGTGCCTTACGCTACGGCAACAAATTCGCTGCATGACCGCAAAAATCCGCCACAAATATACGTTAAAGTCACCTTTGTGTCACCGTATCGTCCGCACCGACACTATGTCAACGAATTATTTCATTAACTTTGTTATTAACTGGTTAATACACTGGGGTGTTTTATAAAAAATAAACAGTGTGTATTAAATTTTAATTGTCTTGAGCTTGAGTAAAAATAAATAAAAATTCATTACTAAAAACTAGTGGGGTTTTCCAAATTTATCTTTCATTTATTTGTATTGAGTAAAATTCATACCTTCTGATTTGTCCTCCTCTCAACCTAAAACAAAAATTTGGGCGTAAGATTAAATAGTATAATGCTAAGGAATTATTTACTTATAAGTATTAAACCTATTATTTTTAATTAAAGATTACTATTATTTACGATGCAGTTTGTTATTATTTTATTGAAAATTAAGAATTTTAACAAGTAAAAAGGAAATTAATACAATACACATTTATTCATTATTTTAATTCTTACTTTTAGCTTCGATGCGAAGCTGAGAAGGTATTGGTTTTACTATAATGTGTTTTTTTTTTTGTGTCTGTTACCACTTTTTCTCAGCTCTCATCGAACGGATTTCTTTCAACGATACGTCAAAAGATCACAAATCGTATCTAGTCGAAGACATTACCTTTAAAACTTGAAAAAAATTCCCCGTTCCCCGTTAATGGGGGAAACCTTCAAAAAAATTACAAATTTAAAAATCGCTAATTTTCGAAATTTTTTCAATTTTTTTTACTAAAAAAACTTGCCGTAACTTTTCAAAAATGAACATATCAATATAATTTTTTTTTATATAGATGTTTGATGTTTTTACTTATCATTTGGTATATTTTTTTTGCAAATCTGACCCTTTATCTGCCCAAAGGGGGGGATTTAAAATGGTGACTGTTTCACAAAAAATTAACTAAAAATATTTCATCATAACTTTTCAAAATATTTCACAAAAAATTAACTTTTTCAACTTAACTTTTGAAAATGTTCCGGAAGGTCTAACACTTTTATATATATCTTAAATTAAAGCTAATGTAATATACTTTAATTTGAATAAAAAATTTGACCTTTGGACTTGTCTTCAAGGCGAAAATGGCTACCGAATGCTATTTTCGTGTGAAAATTTTCGATTTTATTTTTTATATTTTTAACTTTATAATGCTATAACTTATTGAAAAGTGTATGGATTAACACAATTTTTTTATGAGCAATAATATTTTTTAATAATCCCTTTTTCATTGGACATACTTTATCTTAATCAGGATATTAATAAGGAACTAGCAGATCATGTAGCTTTTGGAATAATTGTTATAATACATTGACCTCTCATTACAACTCTTATCTAGACAGTAAACTATGATAACTATTGTCAAGTAAAAATTGTCATACTGTCACATATGAGCAATATAATCAATATTATCTATTAAGCAATAAATTTAATTAATTTAAAACTTTCATGTAAATAATAAAATACACATAAATGTTAATATGGATTGTCACTGATATGTCAATTTTGTAATGAAATAATTAATCATTGTCCAGAATAGTATGTTAAATTTTAAGATAACATGTAATAAATAATTTAATAAAGAGATATCAATAGTGTTTCTGACACTTCTTGCACATGAATATAGATATATTAATTAACAAATCAGGATATAAAAGGGAACAAAAAAGGCCTAAAAATGGGCAGTATACTCTTGGCATGCTCTCAGTGTCTCATCAGTATACTCCCATGGCTCATTTTATATTGATCCAGGCGTGCTCCCAGTATTGACGCAGCTCATTAATCTCAATCGTTTAGTTCATGTGTAAGAAGTAAACAGATACGTTAAGAATTATTCAAAATAAACAGACGACTTAATTCATTCTCTAGATATCCTTTGGAAATATCAAGGTAAATGCTAATTAATTAAATTAATAAGGTTTAAAAATATTAATTCTTTAAGTACATGGTTAACATAGGGACAAAGAAATATTGAGTGATCACTAAAAAAATCACTCTGTCTTTATATTACCTTTTCACTATTCTCATAAACCCTCGAACTCATACCCGAGAAACTTTATTAAAACAAATAGTAACTTCTCTTTCCCGATAAATTAGAGTAATCTTCTTTTTGAGTTACTATAAAGTGGCGCCCAATAGCAGGCTTAGTTAAAATTTTACTAAGGGTTAAAAACAAAAAAATATTTACAGAATTAAAATATTTGAATTATTTAAATAAAAAATTTTTTTTTACTAATTTTTAAATACCTAAATATATGTTATGAATTGATTTCTATTAAAATAAAAAAACTAATATTTAAATAAATGAATTTAAAAAAAAAATAGGTATTAGAAAAATTAGATAAAATAAAATTGAGAAATTTAGAATCTATACTGTAAATATAAAAAAATAAAAGCGAGAAAAGAAATATATGATAAAAGGTAAAGAAAAATATTAAAATAAAATTGAGAATTAAAAAGTGAATTAAAATAAATTATTAAAGTGAATGAGTTAAAATAAAATTAAAAATTAAAATAAAATATTGAAGTGAAAATATTAAAATAAAATTGAGGATTAAAATAAAATATTGAAGTGAATGAATTGAAATAAAATTGATAATTACAAAAGTGAATTTAAATAGAATATTGAAGTGAAAATATTAAAATAAAATTGAGGATTAAAATAAAATATTGAAGTGAATAAATTGAAATAAAATTGATAATTAAAAAAGTGAATTTAAATAGAATATTGAAGTGAAAATATTAAAATAAAATTGAGGATTAAAATAAAATATTGAAGTGAATGAATTGAAATAAAATTGATAATTAAAAAAGTGAATTTAAATAGAATATTGAAGTGAAAATATTAAAATAAAATTGAGGATTAAAATAAAATATTGAAGTGAATGAATTGAAATAAAATTGATAATTAAAAAAGTGAATTTAAATAGAATATTGAAGTGAAAATATTAAAATAAAATTGAGGATTAAAATAAAATATTGAAGTGAATGAATTGAAATAAAATTGATAATTAAAAAAGTGAATTTAAATAGAATATTGAAGTGAAAATATTAAAATAAAATTGAGGATTAAAATAAAATATTGAAGTGAATGAATTGAAATAAAATTGATAATTAAAAAAGTGAATTTAAATAGAATATTGAAGTGAAAATATTAAAATAAAATTGAGGATTAAAATAAAATATTGAAGTGAATGAATTGAAATAAAATTGATAATTAAAAAAGTGAATTTAAATAGAATATTGAAGTGAAAATATTAAAATAAAATTGAGGATTAAAATAAAATATTGAAGTGAATGAATTGAAATAAAATTGATAATTAANGATAAACCGCAATATTTAGTAGCTTTTTTACAAGGCCCAGCCTTAACATTTTATGATAACATTGAATCAAAAAATCTACCGTGGAAAGAATTAGAAATAAAATTTAGAGAAGAATTTGAGCCAATTGCGCAAAATGATATGTTACGTATATTATTGGAGAGAAGAAAGCAGGTAGATGACGAACAAACAAGTGTTTTTATTAACGAGATTGAGGCATTATGTAAAAGAGTTGACAAAAACATGTCAGAGGAAGAGTTAGTACGAAATGTAATAAAAGGTTTAAAGCCAAATATTGCTAGATATATTGGAATACTTGAAAACCGTAATTTAGATGAGCTAAAAAGAAATATTCATAAATATGAAATGATAGAATTTATGATCACTGGAGAGACAGCTAAAAGCCCGTCTGAGATAAAACAATCAATAATAAATAAAAAAATTAATCAAATAAATAAACATAATAATAATAATGAAATCCAAAAATTAAATGAAGAAGTATTATCTTTAAAACAAAATCAGGAACAAATTAATGAATATATTAACTTTTTACCTAATAATAACCAATTTCAAAATAATGCTAATTTATACAATAATTTTACAACAAGAAATAATCAATTCCAAAATAATGTTAATTTATCGAACAATCATTTTTTATCTAAAAATAATCAATTTCAAAATAACGCAAATTTATTTAACAATAATTTTTTATCTAGAAATAATAAATATCAAGAACAATGATACATTTAAAAATAATGTTCCGTGTTACAACAATAACACATTACAATAATTCAGAATTGAATAATATTTTTGATATTAGAGAAGCAAATAAAGAAAATATAATACAGAATTTTATTTTTCCAAATTTAAGTAAATTTAATATTTCAATACAAAAAGTAGAGTTAAACAAAATAGTAAATGAAAGTATAGAAACAAAAACATTATTTAACTTTATAACACCACCATTAATTAATAACAAAAAATTGTATTCAAATTATTTAGTTATTTCAGATAAAAATACAAAGGAGACATATGAAAAAAATCAATGAAAATTCCAAATAAAAATGAATTTATTAAAGACAATAGAAAATTTTCAATACCTTAACTCAATCAATTGAAATTGTAAATTTTTACAAGTACATATAAAAGCAACAAATCGGTTTAAAATAAATTTAACTTATTTTTATAATAATCATAACACTATGAAAATAGCACAAGATATTATTAAAAAAAAATGAAACGCCATCATTTTTACCTAATAAACTTATTCCTTTTGGTTATAAGTATATTATAACCTTTATTCTTATATGAAAAATATTCCACAAATTTTACTTAATTTTAGAAGAAACGTTTTAAATACAAAAAATGCATTTTATCATTCCTTAATTAAATATTATTGGAAATTTAAAAATTACACACAACCTTTTGTTAAGCACAACATGAAAAAGACTTGCATTAAGCATGGCATTTATATTTTTGCCCTGGATTTTAACATTATTAAACAATTTTTATTATTACTCAAAAAAATGTAAAACTTTGTTAAAAAAAAAAAAGAAATGTTCGTAACAATAAACTTATGATTTATTATTTTTAAGTTAAATAAATATTATACATTATATTATTGGTCAATTAATCATTATGTCTAACCTTTAAAGAGCTAATGAAATAAGCATTACACGATATTCATAATCAATTTTCAATATTTAGTCACACTATAAATGTAACAATTTCATGTCTTAAAAATGTAATATTTTATTTCACATCATTGTATAATAAATAACTATAATTTTATAATAATTTTAACATTTTATATATACATTATAAGTTATACATTTGTAAAGCAAGTAAACAATCTCAAATTATGAAAAATACATATGATTAATATCAATGAGGCATAAACAATTCATACTAGTAATGGTGGTTTAATAATTAGTTCAATAATTACTAATTGAAGACTACGGAATTCAGATTATCAATAAAAAGTAAGGTATCAAGTGCTTTTATTGTATCAATACTCATAAACAAAAGATACATTGAATATATCCATTAGTGTTGGTAACACATCTTTGCTATTGTTACTCATGGATACAAATGAAAGTTATAAATAAAATAAATAAAAATCCAAAACCAAAACTATAGTTTTCAACATTAAGTAGCACTGCCATACCTGTCATTACAGAATCAAATAACAATATTTCAATTTACATAAAATAAAATTCTAGAAGAACGAAAAATGTCTGAATTTTTTTATTTTAATGACTATTACTATGTATGAAGAGAAAAAAAATGATCTTTCAGGCAGCATTACATCTTCTTATACTGTTTTAAAATATTATTGGCACAATTTTTTTAAAATATTTTATACTTTATACTTAACATACTTATATACTATCATATTATCATTTCTTACATTATATACTTAATATGAATTTGATTATGAACTTTTAAATAATGTATATACTAATAATTAATATCCAATTCCATAATAATTAATCATTATTAATTATAAATACTATTAATTACTTATTTTTTACAAAATTGTTATTATACCGTTATTATTATAATTTTTTTTTTGACTATGTATACCTTAGTTGTGAGGACACATCTCTCAAAAAAATTGGGGTGGATGTTATAATACATTGACCTCTCATTACAACTCTTATCTAGACAGTAAACTATGATAACTATTGTCAAGTAAAAATTGTCATACTGTCACATATGAGCAATATAATCAATATTATCTATTAAGCAATAAATTTAATTAATTTAAAACTTTCATGTAAATAATAAAATACACATAAATGTTAATATGGATTGTCACTGATATGTCAATTTTGTAATGAAATAATTAATCATTGTCCAGAATAGTATGTTAAATTTTAAGATAACATGTAATAAATAATTTAATAAAGAGATATCAATAGCGTTTCTGACACTTCTTGCACATGAATATAGATATATTAATTAACAAATCAGGATATAAAAGGGAACAAAAAAGGCCTAAAAATGGGCAGTATACTCTTGGCATGCTCTCAGTGTCTCATCAGTATACTCCCATGGCTCATTTTATATTGATCCAGGCGTGCTCCCAGTATTGACGCAGCTCATTAATCTCAATCGTTTAGTTCATGTGTAAGAAGTAAACAGATACGTTAAGATTTATTCAAAATAAACAGACGACTTAATTCATTCTCTAGATATCCTTTGGAAATATCAAGGTAAATGCTAATTAATTANCTTTTTACATTTTTATCGTAATAGATCACTTAAATAAAAATCATACTAATAATTTCTAATTAACTTTTGGTTTTTATTATTGACTATCTAGTATGCCAAAATGGCAATTGACATAATTATTAATATATAGGCCAAAGGGATTATAATTATTATTTATTATTTTTATACATTTTTATTTATAAAATACTTACTTCTTGCATAATTCTCTAAAATATAGAATTAATAATTATTCGTATATCATTTACAAATTTAATCAATTTGAATTGACTTGAATATAATTTATTAATGCTAGATTTTTTCAGCTCATCATTTGTAATTTATCACAAAATTATCTATTCCAAAAACTTATCTCTTAAAAAAACCTCATCAAATAGATTAATTTAAGAAGACAGTTATTATATAATAATAATATAAACTTATTTTTATTAGAAAATAAGAACATCTAACACCCTAGTAAAAATTAAATTTACTATGCTGTCATAATTCTTTTTGAAATAAGAAAATGCTTTTTATATTATTTTTTAAATTCACAAGTATATTATTTTCAATCCACCTTCCTGTGGTATTATTTCCAGAGAAAAAATTAGTTTCAGTTAGTCTTATATAAAGTAATTCATTTATCATGAACCATTTAATTAGTCGGAACAAAAAAATAATATAAAACTGCCACACCGTTAGTAGTAAAACAATTAATACTTAAATTTACGTTAGTATTTTTTGCTCATTGTAACTACTTGACAAGGTTAATTTTTTGTTAGTTTCATATAAATATGATTTTTCTGCATATTTTATATAATCACGGCTTTAATATTTTGATTGTTTGTGAATATATTTAATATGTGGTTAATTTTGTTACTAAAAATTTTAATCTATGCGTAGTAACTACTCATAAGTTAAACACTATTGAACTCTAATAATTCGCATATCTTCTTATGCTATGTCAGCTTATTATTTATATTAAAAATAACAAGTTAATAAAAATATCATAAATGAATAATATTAAAAATTATTCTGTACCTGATCTTCATAATCCGAATAATTCTAAAAATGATAGTGGAGAATTAAAAAAAGTGTTTTAATTTATTATTCTGTAAGTAAATCATTTTGTGTTATCAATTATTTGTAATCAATGTATCAAAAGTTCTCATATATCTAATTAAAGATATATTCTCAAAATTTGAAAAATCTATTCATTTTATTCTCCTTGATTATAAATCATATAAGTATGTGAATTTATATAAAAAAAAGTCAACACTTTTTACTATAAAAATCTTTTGAACATTTTTACTAAAAAATATCATTTACTATGATTGTAAAAATTATTTTGTTGACTTTTCTTTTATATATAGTTCTAACTAACCTCCTAAGTAAAAAAGCATAATTTTTTTTTAATTACAATGATATTTATGTTATAACGAATTGAAATCCACAATTATATTGAGTATAATCTTGCTTATTTTATTTAAATAAAAAGTCACGTAAAAGTTCACAAATTAATAATATTATATTAATAAAGAACTAAATTTGTATGTCATACCGAATTATGGACATCAATAATCTAAAAAAAAATCGTGAATAATAAAAAATAACATGTAAACTTTTTTTTACTTTACATAATAAAAAAACATAGCAGATCAATAACATAAACTAATAAAGAAAATTATATTTTAGCTTTGATGCCTAGCAAAGAAGCTATTGGTGGTTTTATTTTTCCGTGTGTTTTTGTATTCTGTACGCCAATACTCCCACTTTCATGAAAATAAGAAAAATTGTAGTTGTCAATCTTGATATTTTCAATTTATATTGAAATAACTTTTTGACTTCTGGACGGATTATTGTGAAATATTTTAATTATTTACCTTGCTGAAGACATGTTTTTTTAGAAAATTTAATCATTAACTAAAATATGAGGGATTAAATATTTTTGTATTTTATTGGAAAGCATCGATACATGTATATCATTCTAAACTACGTATTTTTTTAAATTTATGTATGTGCTATACAAGGCTTTATTATAAAGCTTTTTTTTTACGAACAACTTTAATACATTTTCTAATAATTTATATTAATTATTTGTGTTTGAGTATTTAGTATTGTTTTTCACTAATAACTACCATTTTATGGTAAAAAATGCCACTAAATATTCGTAGTTTAATATTACGATTTAAACAACTAATTATTATATTTAATAATTAGCAATTAACTAAGATATTTATTTTAATATTATTAGCCTAAATAAAGAAAAGGTTTAAGTAAAACGTTAAATTTTTTTATAAATAAAAAAAAAGGTATATAAAACCTAAAAAAGATACACGATTAAATTTAAATAATAGAATAAATAAAATATATTTTATTTAAAATAATATGAGTAAACTATTAATGAATTCTCATATTAAAGGAGTTAATATAATAACCAGGTTAAATATTAGGAGTCAATACTGAAACTGCTATTACCATCTTTAGTAAAAAATTTGACGATCCTAATTCTAGCATTTTTTTTTTTTTTGCAATTTAAATAAAATTCAATCGTGGGTAAGAAAATATTTGTAGATTTTTTTGACAACATAGAAACAAAATGTAAAAAATGGTGTCATAATGTGTCTGCTACATATATAATACAATAAAATCAAATCGAAATATAAAATAATTCAGACAACAAATACTTTATTAATTAAAACAGTATTATCCAAACAATCACTTTTATTCTCAGACCTACTCAATTCATATGAAATTCAGACACTCATATCAAATTAAATTCAGCTACACACGTTAAAATTCATAGTATAGTTTTCAAAATTGACGAACTTGAGGAAATCCAGCTAACTATTCTAGTAGGTACACAATTACCTATCACATCTAGTATACAGAGCATCTTAACATTTTTCTAATTAATTACAAATACTATTTAAACTAAGGATAGATAATTCATGTACCATTTAACTAAGTTATAATCTAATCCCTTTATCGGGTTCAAACGTTACAATCTGCATTGCTCATAACTATTTCAAATTATAGCTTATTTAATGTACTATAAGATTAAAAAAATATATATATTCCAACTTGAATCCTACAAGTAATCGACATATTAAGTTAAAAATCATGTTATTTTAGATGAATATTTTAATTTTTTTTCTAATACGCATCCAAGCGATTGATATTTTATCAATCCACATTAATTTAAAATATACCTCAACTCCACTTTGCTAAATCTCTACTGTAATTATTTTTTTTGTTATTTAATCACTCTGTATAATATTACTTTTTGAAATATTTACATTTAAAGATTTAGCCTAAGTGAGGAATAGTTTTTAGTAATACTCTACTTTTATTATAACGAACAAATAAGAACATTACTGCGTTTGTACTCATCTCGCCTACACTTAAAAATTTATAAAAATTCAATTCATAATTTTTTTATTATTATAAATTGCATTAAAAAAATGATTATCAACCATTTAAAATTGTATTTAATTAATTTTACATCTAAAAGTATGATATTATTGTAATGTTTTGATTTTTATAATATTTAATATAGGCTCCAATTTAATTTTTGATGTTATTTTTAATGTAAACTATCCTTAGAAATGTTCTGTTTTCGTTAAATTTTTCATTTACCTATCAGAGCTCACAAAAATTATTAATTAAATGTATTATTGAACCGTTATTTAATAAAAAAACTCAGGTAATGATTTTAAATAAATCACTTTGTAGAGTGAATTTAAATTTCTGTAACATATTTGCCAACAACAGATCACGAATGTATTTATTTTTTCTATTTTTATTTTTAAATTAACAGTAAAAATGAATTTAGAATAAAACAATACAACCTTAATTTTATACTATGAATTATAGATAATAAACTTATACCACTTTTTCTAAATTACATGGAAAATTTTTTATTTAGTTAAACACAAAAGTTGCAAACATTAATAAATATATATATATATTTTTTTTTAATTAAATAATAATTTATTTATTTATAATAATACATACTTCTTGACACGATGCCGTTTGCAACTATTAATAAATAGAATCATTTAAATTAAAAGTATATTTTAAATATTTTATTCAATAAACCACAAAAAAATACTATACATGTGATAGCGTTAAAATTGTGTATCAGGGCTAACTATACATAATATGATGGTAAGGACTAGGAATTAAATGCACTTATAAATTTTGTTAATGTCACTTTAGAGGGTTCCAAGATTATGCAATTTTATCGTATTATAATATAGTAACGTAGAAATATTTTTAATTTTAGAGAAGGTAAATCCCCCTAATCAACTTTAATACTATAACCTGCAAACAATACATTACTAAGTGTTTAAGTCAATTAAATATTTGTACTGGCTGATAGTGTGTTCGAAATAACTTAATAAAATTTATAAAATCATTTAATTTCAGACCCTACTTATGGTAAATAAAATCATTTAAAAAACTTTTATAATATGCATAAGGCGATGTTACATAATTTCATCACCTTAATCAGGTTAACTAAACTGAATTAGATGACATGAAAATTGACACTAGAGGCATGAAGATTATGAATCAAAATATAGTAATGGTTACGAACAATTTATGGAAAATTTTTTACATACCAAACAATTATAAACTTTTCAAAAATAATTTATATTAACGTATATTTATTTTCAATTGCTCTTATACCTTTTTTGTAAGAACAAGGTAATATTGTTTTACGGCGTAAGGTTTTAACATGAGAATGAGCTAATAAATAAATTTTATTATTTATTGCAATAAATTCTTACCCGTCTTTTATAATTTTTATACTTCTCTCCAGACTAAAATATAAAATGATAAGTTAGATTAATACACTATTTGTATTACATACTACAAAACTAGAAAATTAAATAATAAATTAAATCATAAATCATGTCAAATCGAAGATTATATATCGAAGATATTACCTCAAAAGTTAAAATAATTTCACCATAAATGGGGAAATTCCCGAAAAGTTACAATTTTTGAAATTTGGTAATATTTGACATTCTTAAAACTTTTTTAATTAAAACTGTCATAATTTTTTGAAAAATGGACGAATAAAACAAACCCTTAGGTTATCTATTATTTGGTATATATTTTTTGAAAATTTGACCCTTGTCGCGCCCACAGGAGAAGATTCAAAATGGCAACTGTTCCACAAAAAATTAACTATTTCATCATAACTTTTCAAAATATTCAGGAAATACTAACACTTTTATATATATCTTAAATTAAAACTTATGTAAAATACTTTATTAAAAAAATAAATAATTTGACATCTGGACTTGCTTTCGTAGTGATAACGGACATCAGAGATAATGTAAAAAGAACGATTATTGTGTAACAATTAAAAAATATATAATATATTGTTGTACTTATTTAAAGTTTTTTTTAAAAAATTAGTGTAGACTATATTTGATTGACTATAAAACCAACGAAATACACATTAATAAATTATTGAATATCAGTTTCATACTAAACTTAATTACTATAATTTGTAATTATTCATATATTACACTTAAAAGTTAACAAATTAGGATATAATTAATATAAGTATATCAATTGAAATAGAAATTATCCTAGTAATAGGAGTTGATGTTGCATTTTTAACTATTCATAAATTTCTTATAATTAATCACTATCTAAAGATTTGCATTAAATTGTTTCTTATGAAAGTGGTCATTATCAGATATAAACTTGTCCCAATTGTGCCACGTCCTCACTATGTCACAACCCCACTTTGTCACCGTTTGTTTTTTTTTTAATTAAATATTATTGAAATAATGACGTATTTTTACATTATATAGTTAAATATTAAAATGAAATAAGTACAATACTTTAATTGATATCTGTACTTATTGATAACACATTATAGGATAAAGAATACAATTTTCAACAAAGAAAACATATTTACCTTATTATTCCCTGCATTTACAACAAATTGGGATTCAAAATGACTCCATAAAAAAATAAAAATAATAAAAAGGTTTTTGAAGTACATTATAATTTTTCTTATGTAAAATATTGCAACTGAACTGGAAATTATTATTTAGTGATCACGCTAAAGTAATTTATAAATTAGTAACTCTTGAATCCGTATAAGTATAAGCTTTTAGCACAAACAACAATTTTAATTCTAAAAATAAGTATTAGTATTTACATTAATATTTCATAGTTAATTTTTTTTTTTCGATAAATAAAATCATTATTAAACATGTTTTTAGAAATATCTGTCTAATTAAATAGTATATGCTTTTGTTACACATATAATATACAAATTATGAACAATTTTGTGGCCAACATATAATTAAAGAAATAATACTTTAAAATCCTGAATAAAGATTTATCAAAGACTAAAGAGAAAATTACCAAAAAAGTATTGATAGCCCAGTAGGCTATTTAAGTGGTCCTTAAAATTAAATATGAATAATGTTATAATTATAACACTCAAATTTGCTCAAGTATGAGATATCAACCAATATTTGCACTATAATATATAAAATTTACAATTTATAATTGATGAATACTGCAAATTAAAATTAAAATTTATTTAAGTAGAAGAAAGTGAGGCAAATTATTGCTTGGGGCAAGATCTACTTAGTTTTAAAAAAATATTGTATTGTTTTCGAACATTTTTCGACAAATATTTCGAAAATAACTTTTATGTACACAAATGATTATCATATTGTTTTTGTAAAAAAATAAAATTTATATGATTACAATATATTATTCTAATTTAAACTTAAATCAAAAATAATTTTTTTTTATTTCATTAAATAATGAGTAATTAAGAAAATGGGTTTTTATTGTTCTAATTTCTTACTTTCTGAACACTTCATATAATATAATTGTTTAAACTTTACCTAAATTAAAATAAAATAGGTCAAATCGTTCTAAATTTGATGCAATCAGACAAATTTAACTGTTTTTTCTAGTTAATTAATAATTCTTAAAACAATTAATATTAATTAATGAGCTTTTTACAAATTTATCAATATTTCATGTAGTATTTCTATCAAATTTCAAGTTTTTATAGTAAATGATTTTTTTAGATATTAAATAAACTTAAGACTGTCAAGATGCCCCAGCACACCCTTTATTGAAGACTTAAAAAATCAAAATATTGTAAAAAAAATCACAATAATAATTATAGTATCACTCGTAGTTTTGAAAATGTATGTTTCTCTACAAAATTTTATCGAAAAATTCAGATATTTAGTTTTGTACTTATTTAATTTATTTATGAGACATCTAACTAAATATAATTACATTTCTATGCCTGTAAAGTGAATAAATTTAACTTAATAAAAAGCGTTTTATAGGCCGACCGATATAGTCCAATCTTGAAGTACTGCTTCTCATGCGTATGGCCTACGCATTTAGCTAAATATTCTTTCTACAAGATAGAAATATTTTCTACTCTACTCTATAATTAATGTGAATTTACACATTTGACTTAAGCTTAGATAACTTGAGGTATTATTTATATTAAAAAAAGTGATAATTAATAACTATTATATAAATACATTTTAAGTCTCAAAAACGAATCTATGGAATTTTATACCAAACTAACAAAATGAGCAATAATAAAAAAATCTAGTGGAATAATTTTGGGTTTTACATAAATGTGATTTGTTTTCTTTTAACGCATAAATTTCAGTATTACAGAAAAAATTATATTCCGTTTTTTTTTAATTATGTATTTTTAAATATATTTGGTCATTTGTAATTGTATTCTCAATATTAAAAGAGATATTGACAAAAAATGAAAAGAAAGTATTTTTTCATGAAAAAATGTTTTTTATTTTACAATTAACGGTTAATGAAACCTAAAATAACAAGCTCCTATAAAAACGCCGGGCTAAAATTGAAAAACGCGAGATGCGTAACTTCATCATCGATCACTAGATGTATTATTGCTCATTTTGTTAGTTCGATATAACATTTCACAGCTTCATTTTTGAAACATTAAAAAAATTATTTACTAAATTTAGGATTTAAGAGCTATATTCCTAGATATTGTTTATAATCAAAAAATAACAAAACAATGTAATAACTATTTTACAGCAAAAATGTAGTTTAAGAGTATACTTATTTACAATCATGTTTTTAGGTTTATTTACATTTTGACAACACTACTAAAGTCAATGCAAAATAATCATTTTGAAGTTTACCATTTTAATTACACTAATATCAATTTTATTTGATATTATTATGAATAAATTATTTTAATTTTAATAAGTATTTTTAGTTTCATAGCGAACATTAGAATTATTTTTTACTTTTAGGTACAACAATGGAACTATTTTATAAATTTATAAAACACTTTGCAATTTATATCAAGTAATTTTATTGAACAATATTTACAATTAATTAATTTAGAAAGCTTTATTAGACATAAAAAAGTGAATATTAAAACTTAATAGTATCTTATGGAAATTAAAATGTAAAAAAAATTGTCCAATCATAATTATTTTTCTTCGTTGAAAAATTCTCTCTCTGAAATTTAATTTTATACTATAAATATTTTTTATTATTACAGATTCTTTGATATAAAGTCAAGTTTTTCAATATTTATATAATAATATTTTAAAATAACAGTTAGCGGATTGAAATTAGTCTAAATCTTATGATATGGAAAAATTTTTAATTATTTGAATATTTCTTTATATGTTCTTCTTTCCATTTCTTACTTGATGAGACTACTTTTATTAAAATAAAATAAACATGAAAATATTCAAATTTCTACTTAATTAAATATTAATTTAATTATTTTATATTTTAATTTTAATTTCTAATAACACTCATGCCCTAAAATAAAAATTATTTTTATTATTTCTTATAAGAGATAAGTAATAAAAATTATGTTTTAAACGTAGTACAAATTATTTAAAAAAAATATTAACACAGATATTTTCTGGATCAAAAGTTATTAAAAATATTAGAACAGGCTTAGACACCCTATAAAATAAATATAGATAAAATTATTTAGTAATTTTTTTAATACCTTATTTGTCATTAGTATCAGACTGAAAATAAAAAATATATTATTTTATAAAAAAAAAATTTGATTTTTGATATTAAAAAATACTATCAAATTGTACTTCATATATAAAATATATTATTCCAAATAACAATATTAATTCGTTTTATATCATTTTTACCTCTTCTGAAGACGTATCGTGAATCTAGGAAAAAATGTTAAGACTGTTATAAAATGAGTTGCATAAAATATATAGGTTTTCTATAACTAGATTATTAATCTTAACCGTGTGATTATTTTTTTGAAAATATTTAAAACCTCTTGTTTACTTCACAAAACTTATTTTGTTTAAAACTTATAAAAATTTGTCATGTATAAAAATAATTCTTAAGTGTAATACTGTACCTCACTAATAGAACAAACTAGTTTAGACTCAACGTAGGACAATATAACGGTTGTTGCAATCAAAATGGAACATATAATACTGAATGTAAGGATTTTAACGTTTTTATAAAACTCGAATGCCATTAAATTATTAAGAGCAATGTTTATCTACCCCTCTCCGAAATTATGCTATCATGGATGTTATTTATTAGTTGTAAAAGAACTAATAAAGGTAACCAAAATGAGTGACTTTACAGATTTTATTTAGCCATAATTTGTTTTGAGTTTTTATTAAAAAAATTAAAGAAAATATATAGCAAAAATTATAATAAAGCTTACATTCTTTTTAGACGATTTAGATATCTGAAATTAATATAAAATGTCAAATTAAAGTACAAATACTTGTTGGAAATAAAACTTCAATGATTCCTTAAATAAAGAAGCCATATATATATAATATAATATAATATAATGTATATTATCAATAGAAAATTGATCAAAAAGTGCTAAACATTATCATGCAATAACTGTAGAGCGGCTCTTCGAACCTCTTTGACCCATTATCTGCCCACAAGAAGAATTCAAAATATCAACTTTTATACAAAAATTAAAAATTTTTAACTTAACGTTTGAAAATGTTTTGGAAACATTGCGTCTGTTAAATTCGTCTTAATTAAAGCTTATGTTATGTGCTATAATTTAAAAAATTTGCCCCGATAACTTGTCTTATATATGTTAACTTGCCCCAAATTAAAACAAAAAATATTATATTTTGTGTAAAAAAATCACTGTTTATCATATTTTTTTCTACATTAATTCAAACAGTGGAGTCCAATAGGAGTAAGGTTAAGAACCCAAACTTAACTTCCGCTATTACAAAAAATATATAATAATAAAGAATATTTATGGGTTTATTATAAATATTTTCAGGTAGGATTTTTAAAGTGTTTATATCTAATAAACAAATAAAGTTATACTAAAAATTCAAATGCCATTTACTATTGAATTAAAAAGCCAAACATTTTATTAAATTGAAAATATGTGTTCCCATTTAAAAAAACAAAGTTGACCCCCCTACAAGGCATAAAGGATGAACTTAAAAAGTATTACATAGTTACTAATTCAAGAATAATGTGTAACTTTTTACAAACCAAAATAACCAAAAAAAAATGTTTAAATTATTATTACTCTGTAAGTAATTGAGTGGGTTATGATAAAAAAATCGCTCTGTATAAATATGGATAAAAATTAAAAAATAAATAAATTACAAAATTATGTGCATTACTAAAAATTATATTACGAAAAAAAAAAACTTAATTATCAAAATTTCATTAAAAAACTTTGATTTGTAAAAAAATTATTTTAACTGCAAAATCTTATTTTTAAGACGGTAAACAAAAGCTTTTACTTTTAAATGTAATTTTATTAATTTTTCTTGTATTTCTTTGAGCTTAAACACGGCTTATATTTATTAGTTTTATGTGTATTTACATTTATATACCATTTTTCTTAATTGAATTTTTTTATTATTAATATTACAATACATTTAATTATTATGACACGAGTATATACAATTATTCGTTCATAGTACCACATCGATTACCGATAATCAATGTGTCCACATTGCGACGCGATGTATTTATTATATGTTTTGTTCGTATTTGTTCCGTATCATCGAGTAGTGGAAATTCTCAATAGATTATTTATTTTTAAAACTTAATTGCACAGTCGATGACAAATCCACATAATTCCAGTTCCACAATATTATATCGATTATAATATTGCATTCACGATAAAACGATATTTTGAAAAAAATACAAGTCCAAAAAAAATTATAACGTTACAAGTCGCGTGATAGTAAATATGACCCCTTTCAATTATGATGAATATTTTAAGTCATACATTTTTTTTCGAAGGTATTTATTTATGAAAATCGATTCAATATTACTATAAAAACCATCTTCTAAATTTATATCTATGTACACCTTTTATGCAATATAATACATCCGTTTTTATTTATGTGGGGGTATGCTAGACCCCCAAGCGACTGTTTAAGGGTTAATAATATATTAAATACTAGGCAGACAATTACTATGTGCTTCAATATTTGCTTTCAATTATAATTGAAAATAATTAATAATTATTAATGCCTTCATTTTAGATTAATTAGTATAGTCTTATAATAGTAGTAACCCCATTTAAACCCTCCTTTTACAAACAATTAGATTTTAGTGTTAATTTTAAATAATGTAAGAAGATTTTTACAACTTTTAAAGTATATATTAAGTATATTTGGAAGAGGAGGTATGCTCTTTCCAAAAGAAATATTTTAACTACCAATGGCTTGTGATAAATTACAATTTGATTCATAACTTAAATTATAATAAAAATAGCAAGGATCAAAAAAATCAAAATTTTATTTTTTTTAAATATTAATCTATACTTGCAATTTCGATACACGTTTGCCATAATATTAACAAAATATAAATACATTACGATTCCTCCGTAAATATTATAACATTAAATTATTTATTCGTGAATAGTAAATCATAAACTTATAATTAGGATATGAATAAGGAAATAAGAGTTCATTTTGCTTCTGGAAAATTCTTAAAATTAAACACTATCTACAGATTTGCATCGAAATTTTTCTTATGATAGTGATTTTTAACACTGTCAGATATCATCTATACTTGTCCCAACTATGCTATGTCGTAATATACTCGTCACTACCATAACATGGGATATTTATACATTATATTCTTAGAAAGACATGATCTTTTTCTAATAAATAATTATATAAACCTTTAACAAACACACACTGTGTTAGTTATAATATAATACACATGATTCTATCAAAAATTGATTAGTAATCACTTTTAGAAATAGTTCCTTCCGAGAGGAAATCTATAAATTATTTTTGTCATCTTTGTTAATTTAGTTTTAATAATTAAATTTATTGTATTAATCCTGGTCTTATTGGTAAAAAACTATGTTAATGTTATATATAAATGTCAACATGATTTATATATTCTATTCATCTGTAATAATCTCTGTATGTTATGCTTATTTATCAATAAACAGTTATACTGTAAGAATTAGACAATGATGATTTTCGGGGGTAAAAAATATTATAAAAAGACAGAGCAAACTCTTATTCCGGCCTATTCTTATCATACTCTGGACTACGTTTAACGAACGTCGAAATCGTCATTGTCGAAGTTCTTACGTGCTTGATTTGTGTACTAAAACTTGAATTTGTGTTACTTTATTTATTATTATATTAATATTATCACTTAAGTTATTATAACAACTGAAGAAAAATTATCAGGTAAGATTATTAAATCTATAAGAATATTTATATTGTCATTTTATAACCCACAAATCACACCCCTAATCAAAAGTAACTCTCACTCTTTTTTTTTCCTCGACTGGCATTATTGTGGGCCGCCCTGGAACTGCCATGAGGTATTACTTCAGGGCGGCCCACGCCGCCTTAATAATTCACACCACCACGTTGTGAATCTGCCCAAAATTAATCAATAGCTGATTCGCAACGTGGTGTGGCCCCATCCCGTTAATCGGATTCCAGAGTGGAAACTGTTAAGAAGGGTTGACAAAATAACTCACAACACAAAAACAAAACACAAAAGTAAGAACAAGAACCTAAGGCACCTACCTAAACCAGCACCTCAGGTCCTCCTGTGCCGGGCGGCATGGCTGCCTCTGTCTCAGGCGTTCCGCTTCCTCCTTCTTTAACAAGACGGATTCGGCGAACGCCTGGACGAGCCTCCACGCCTCCCGGCTCCTCAATATCAGGTTCATCATGGACCCGACTCGGAACGTGGACCCTAGTCGAGACTCCAAAGAGTCCCGCTCATGGACCCACGCCTTGCACCGGAAGAGGGTGTGCAGAGCGCTGTCAACCTCACCCGGTCGATTCGAACAGTGGTCGCACATCAGCGCGGCTGCTTTACGAATAAGTACTCGTTAAAGCAGCCGTGGCCGGACATCACTTGGGTGAGACGATATGTCATCTCACCGTGAGTCCGGTCCACCCACCTGTCCAGCCGATCGGGCCCTATGAGGGGGACCTGATCCACTCGCCTCTCGGAGGAAACGACGAGAGGCGAGTCCGCCACTGAAGCATGATCATTCGCCTGAGCGCCAGCCGATCCTCGGGTTCGAGGGACCGGCCGCGTTCTCGGCGGAGTAGTGACTCTCACTCTCAATTCAATTCTTTTTATTTTTAATTTTATGAATTTTTGAGTTACGATATGTGGCGCCCAACAATAAGCTTAGTTATTTTCAACAAAAGGTTGTAACTTAACATTACATAACTAAACAAAAACAAACGGACTTTTGACACAAGAAAATAAAAACAAGAAAGCGAGTCAGATTTTGAATAGTCAACTTTGAGTTTAAATTTTCCAAAATTTGTAGTACATCCACACTGTGTTGTGATCCTACTATTTTGGATTTTTTTCTATCATATTATCAAACTAAAATAAGTATTTTTTGTGGCTTTTTAATTTCAATTAGGCTTCTTAACCATAAAATAATAAAAAATAAAACTTTAACTATATTATATTATAGTAGTATTATTTGTAATCAAATATTTTTTTCCTTTTATGCAAATTTAAAACAGTTGCAAAGAAAAGGGTTTTATCCAAATTTATCATTCTGTAATCTACTACCGAAATGTAACAGTCAAATTTTAATTCTTACCTTTTTTAATAATTTGAGAACTCGTTTCTAAAAAAATATTTAGTAAATTATTATAGTATTATTTAAAAAAAAAGTTAATAATTATTCATAAAGTTCATGCATTATTTTGATAGATAAATGGTACTAGATGTATTTACTGATACATTTAATTATCACGGTAATATTGAAAGATAAAGAAATATAAAGATTGAAAGTAAATATTTTTAAGGATAGTTCATATTTAGTACTTAGTAGAGACTGATACAATTCGATTTGTTAACGATTTCGGTTTTATTTTTCAGTTTTGAAAAATGATCAGTTTCAGAAACGGATTTTGAACTACATGATTATTTTAATTACGGTTTCATTTGGAAACCCCGGAAAAAATGGTTTTTAGAAAAGTTGTTCGAGTATCTGGTGCTTAGATTATGTTTATAATCTAATTAAATTATAAAACGTTAAAAATTAGCCAATGATGGTAAAATTACTTAATGATTACAGATTTTTAAAATGTTTTGTTTAAATGAAAGAGCTTGACGACGTTATTCTAAGGAAATTATTCGCGAAGATAAGACAATTTTTTTTAGCACCCCGTGGGTGTTTAAAATTTTAGTTATTAAATTTCGTTAATTTTTTACTTAGTTATGAACTTATTTTCTACGCGCAAAGTTTTTAGTAACACAATTTTGCTATGTGTGTGTCAATTATGTTTTAATTTAATGATAGTTAATGTAGCTTTTATTAATAACACAGCATTTAAAGATTTGTTTTTAATGATTTTAGTTTTCTTTCGTCTACTTGATGTTTTAAATAATAATTATTGTGTTATTATGAACTATAATTGTTAATACACCTAAGTATTTTGTAGTCATATTAATATTTTTTAATTATTATTTCATTTACAAGTGAAACTAATTTTCTGGTAAACTGCATTTAAAGTTATACTTTATTCGCAAATACATATTATTCACGCCGTATCCGGTTAGCTCCACCCGTTATCAGTATATTACATTGCTAATTTAATAAATAAATAATTTATTACGATATTTTGTCACACTATTCTTTGATTTGTTTATTTAATTAATTTAAAAATGTTTGACATCCTTTCTAAAAATTATTATTTATGCAAGAGAGAACGGATAATTAATATCAGTCAACGTATAAATACACGTAATATCAAATTATAATTAAATCTAAAATTTATGTAAAGGTGAAAATGACACATACTTTACCAACTAAGCTCTGGAACAAATAATATCATATTTCAAATTGAAGTTATAATATAAAAATTGTATTAGCTAACAATAAAATATTTATAAAATATCGCTGTGAGGCATATTCATACATTTTTGGATCAAAATGAGAAATAACAATAAATTTTAACTAAAAAATGGTATTAAATTAGGCATATTAGTTGGAATAAAAAAGTCTCTCGAAAAATCAATTTTTTTTAATTAGTATTCAGATTGATTTAAATCTGGTAAGACACTTATTTTGTCAAAAACTATTGTACATTTTGTAAAGGAAAAAAAATATAAGGTTAAAAAAAATATAAAATAAATGTAAATAAATAATTAAATTTTTATTCTTCAGAGATAAAAATCCTCAAATGTGGTTTTCTATAATGAGAACTCCATTTTAAACGATAATTAATAGAAAAAAATTACAAATAATTTTATTTGATTAACCTTATGCGTATAATCGTTTAGACTTTTGAATTACGAATAAAAATTTATCATTAATTTGGTTTTATTACACTGAAGGCAGTAATAATGTGTTTTCGATAAATTATTTTTGATAGTAGTTACATCCTAATCATTAAAATCTGGTTCATGCGATAGCATAGAATAATAAGTACAGCTGTATTTAAAACAATGAAATAACAATAGAATTTTGAACTAAAATAACTTAACCTATTTTAATAGAAGAACGTTTAATTGGACAAAAATACTGTAAAGACAACATTATTTGTAATTTTTTCTATTATATTATCAAGTCAAATATTGGTATTCTAATTTAAGAATATCTTATAATTTAAGATTTTATAACCCTGGTAGGATGATAAAAAAATTGTTTTACCACATATTATTATTGAGTGTTTGAAACCAAATATTTTTCTTTTTACAATAAGTTTAAATTGTTAATAAATTATGACAATGTAAGTGTTTAACCACATTAAGATTACTCTATAGAATGGTCTATTTTGTATTGAATCTCATGTTAACATTATTTTAGTGATGTCACAATTCTTATCTATGTTCGAAATAGAATTTGTAACAGATAAATCTTGTACGGGTGTTTTTTGTAATACAAACCACTCATTCTCTTAAAATAATAATTTTCCTCCTTTTTCTAGTTACAAAGCTCCTCAAAAAAATTAAGTAGACACCTCTAAGGATTGAACATAAAAAATTTTTTATAACAGAAAAATGGAGATACCTTTGTAACTAACGAACCGAAAACAAAAAAATTACTAAAAACATCATTATTTTAAAAGAAATTGAGTGGCCTGTAGTAAAAGAATCAGAGTGATTCATTTTTTTATTATAGACTAATCTCAAAAAATTAAGTAACGCCTACTCTATTTTTATTACTCAGATTTGACTGACTATAAATACTATAATTTCAATATACACTTGAAGATATTTTTAACATGTATAAAGTATTTATATTTTATTATGAAAATAATTTTTTTTATTTTAAGGTTTATATAAGGTCTATGGCATTTTCTTCAACTTTGTCTAAGTTCATTTGTTTTTAAATAGGTTCAAACGATACGTACCGAATCTTTAAGACACTAAAATAAAAAAATTCAAGAATTAAATGTGAAAGCACTCATCCTTGGTTGCTTGTTTGAATATTTCAATTTTAACTACAATTGAAGAATTATTTATTTGGTCTATATTTATATTATTATTTAGTTATTCAACTTTTAACTATAAATTATTAGTTATTCTAATAAAAAACTTTTAAAAATTATATAATATTTTTTCAATATGAAACTTAGCCAATTAATGTATAAGGTTATTTCCCATATATAAGGGGTAGTCAAATAAAACCTCTTACCTACAAATTTTAAAACATAATGACAATTCAAGTGTTAATAACAATTAATAATATTTTTAATTAAATTATTTATTAAAATTATTGATTCAGCAGTAAATGTACTTTATGATGCTTTGCACAAGTCTGTAATAGACTTCGTGCAATTATACTACTTTAATGATTCTCCATTTCCGCCTTGGTTCAATAAAAATCTTAAACAAATTATTTCCTTAAAGAAAAAAGCGCATAAAAAATATAAAGCATCTTTAAGTATTAATGATTATACGGAATTTTCTATACTTCATGCCAAGTTTAAGTATGAGTCAAAAAAATCTTACCATGCCTACACGGAGCGTGTTGAAAATGCACTTAAAAGTAATCCTAAACACTTTTAGAAATTTATAAAAAATAAACGTTCCGAAAAAGCCATTCCTAGAGTATTGTCGTTTAATAATAAAACCTCTTTAAATGAGCTTGATTCTGCCAATCTTCTGGCAGAATATTTTTCCTCAATATATTCTAATTCACCTCCGTTTGTTGATACTATATCGGATACAATAAAAATACCAACTTTTGATCTGCTTAATACCGTTCACTTTAATATTGATGATATATTTAATTGTCTTTTAGATCTAAGGAGTGACAAGTTTATTGGCCTTAACGGTTTACCAGGTACGTTCTTTTTTCGAGCTTAGATCAATTTTGTCCTATCCTTTGTGGATTATTTTTAAACGCTCGCCACAGGAAGGTATTTTTCCTTCAATGTTCAAAATAAGTTCAATAACACCAGTCCCTAAATCTGGCTGTCTATCTCTCGCTTCAAATTACCGACCAATATCCATACAATCACATTTATCAAAAATCTTTGAAAAAATAGTCCTCAATGCAAACAACCATCTGTTAACCAAATACTCATAGATGAATAGCATGGATTCCGACCTGGTCGATCTACCTCCACTTGCAACGTCCTCTTTTGTAATTATGTGTTTAACTCATTTCAGCATGGATTTCAGACAGATGTAATTTATACGGACTTTAATAAAGCTTTTGACTCTATTAATCATAAGGCCCTAATTCTTATGCTCAAAGAAACTGGTTTCGGGGAGACTCTTCTGTCGTGGTTCAGTTCTTATTTAGACAATAGGTATCAATGGGTTAGAGTTTTCGGAATAAAATCTAACTTATTCCATACTAAATCAGGTGTACCTCAAGGAGGGCACTTATCTCCTTTACTATTTTCTATATTTTTTAATAGTATACAGCAAACTCTAAAACACTCTCGTGTTCTCTGCTTTGCGGATGATATAAAATATTTATGCAAATTCAATCTCCTAGTGACTGTATAAGGCTCCAAGCAGACCTAGATAAATTTGTTGATTGGTTAACTAAGTTAGGTTTAACACTTAATCTATCCAAATGCAAAGCTTTTACATTTTCTAGAAATCACTCTCCGATTACTTTCCCATATCACCTTGGTAGCGAAGAAATCCGTCGCCCATCTAACAATATTATGGACCTTGGATTTAAATTCAGCCACAATCTTGACCCTGCGCTCACATCCAACATATCTGCTGTAAAGCCTTCAAAATGCTTGGTGTACTTATTAGATTAACCAGAGAGTTCAAGCTTGAAAAGACATTAAAAATTTTGTTTTGCGCACTGGTCCGCCCAATATTAGAGTATGGCAGTGTAGTATGGGACCCCCATACGGCAGACAACTGTCGCCAGTTAGAAAGGGTTCAGAATAAATTTTTATGTTTTGCTGAGCGGGTGCTGGGTTTACCATGTCCACCCCATGATTATAGTCCCGTGGCAAATAATTTAGGCCTTTCCACACTGTCATCGAGGCGTAGTATTGCGGGCTCTAGGTTTCTCGGGGGTTTGCATGATGGGAAGATAGAATGTCCTACGCTATTATCTCTGATCCCTTTTAGGGTTCCGCAGATTAATACCAGGTCGAATGCGCCTTTCCGAGTCACGCATGCCCCCACGAACTACTTAATGAACGAACCCCTTTGCCGGTTACTTAGAAGTGCTAATGCAGATCCTAGTTTTATATTATAATAATATTTTGTAATGTCTTATTCATATATCGATTTATTAGTTGTAAACATTTTTGATTTTGTCTTTTGTTACTTGTCTTTTTTTATGTCTTTTTTGTTTGTTTTTGTGTCTTTCTCCTTATTTAGTTAAAATTAAATATGTAAACATAGTATGCTTGTAAAAAAAGGGATACATCCCGTAAACTAAATAAATAAATAAATAAAATCAACAAACTCACCAAATCTAAGAGAGTCTACAATATAATATAAGAATAAATTATTTAATAAAATAAAATTAAAATATGCAATTTATATTAAAGTAAAAACAGAACAAAATTATTTTACTATATTAATAAAAACATTTAAAATAAAAGAAATGATTGAAAAAATCCGAAAAATAAATATGAATTATTTTTAAAATGATATTATATATTTAAAGCTTTTATATTGATAGTTCATAATTTATTTAATTGTTTATATTGTATAAAAATGTATTTTATAAACTACTGATTTATACCGAACCTTTTCCAAACTTGTCATATTACTTGACTAAATAAAAAAGTTATGAGTAAATTTTAATATTTTTTAATAAATTATCTTTGTCATTATATAACAATAGTCATAAGTCAATTAGATAACTCATCATTATATTATATTTTATTGTATGATTTAGGATTAAAACCTTCTAAAATGAAACTTTAAAAGCCGATTCAAAAACTTATTTGACAACTGTGAACCTAACAGGAACCATAATTTAATAAAATTAATAAAAAAATGTGAACCTCTTAATTTTTTCTAGATAATAAAAACGAAATGAAGATTTCAGTTAGTTATGTCCAATATTTATAAATTTTAATTAAATTGTATTTATTGTATTAAAGGAAAATTAAAATAAATAAATACTAAAATTTGTTTATAACATAATACATAAATAAAACTTTATATGCAATTTGATATTTCAACACCACAAAGTCAAGATTGAGTGTCTTCTTCTTTTTCCTCTCTATCATTCCAACTAATTTTTTTTTCACGACCGGTATAAGTGTGGACCACCCTGGAACTACCATGAGGTATTACTTCAGGGTGAATTTTCCAACTACTTGAGGTCGGTTAACCTTATGCAAGCACACATCAGCCGTCCTCGTATTGTATTCAATCACATACTTCCATTTTTTTGTTAGTCTTCCTTTACCTCTTCTTCCTTCAACATTCATTTCTATAACTATTCTTACATCTTCCGACTCCTTATTCCTCATAACATAACCAAACCATGTAAGTTTATTTTCTATTATCTTTTCCACGATTGACACTAAATATATACTCCTTATATGATCGTTTCTTATTCTATTGTAATATAGGTCATTATTTTATAAAACTGAAAACAAAGCATTTTTGTAATGTTTGGTTTAACTATGAATTTCTTAATCTATTATTACAAAAATATAATATAGTCTATTATTTGTAAACCTAGAAGTAGAACACTTTTGTAATGTTTGGATTAATTGTAATTCCCCGAATTATTGTTACTAGATCAGGAAGTAAATATTTATAAACCTTTTTGAAAATGATTACTATATGAATTTTATAAAAAGACAAACAAAATATTTTAGTATATAAGATGAAACGGAATGAATTAAAAAGGGGAGAAAGAGAAGACCTCGGGAGTACCGAAGGTAATCTCTTTCCGTGTGGTACGTTTGTGACTTTAAGTTTTTATTTTGTGTATTATTTATTTATCCGTTTTTAAGTGTATCAATATTTTATACGTTTTTATTTTGATTGATTATATCTTTATTAACTACATTTTTTGCGTTATTATTGAACTACTAAAAATATAAGTTAGAACAAAAAGATTGTTCAATATATAAATACAACACTATATTTTCTAGTCACTCCACTCATCCAACTAAGCATTTATATCTCTGCTACATTCATTCTCTGCTTTATTCTATTGTCAACCATCCAACACTCTGAACAGTTTTTAACAAACCTAATTCAACTTAATCTTTGAAAATTTTCCTAAAGAACCATAAATAGAATACAATAAATTAAAAATAAAATATTTGTCCCGATGACTTATCTTATTCGTAAAATGGCTGCTATAGTTAAAAACTAGCTATTTTTGTATTAAAACCATTTTTAAATTTTTGATTTTATATTTTCAACATTAAATTGCTATATTTTTTTGAAAAATGTATGGATCAGCACAAATTTTTGTTTCAAAGTACTTTATATATAAATTTTTTTTAATCAGACCATTTCTCCTTATACATGGGGAGTTTAAATATACGTATAAATTACAGAACTTTTTCAACTTAATTTTTAAAAATGTTCTAGAAATACTGGGTCTTTTAAATATATGATATATTAAAGCATATAATATGTACTATAAGTTAAAAAAAAATTGTCCTGACGATCTATCTTCTATGTACAAATGGCCGTCAAAGTTAAACAAATTTATTAAAATATTAGTTGTAAATGATTTTAAATTTATTTATATATCATACTTATAAATTATAAAATTCTATCATAATCATAATCAGGATACAAATAAGAAAATAGGAGTTCATTTCGCTTTTGGAATAATTCACCAATTTCTTAAAATTAAACACTATCTATAGAACTATCTATATTTGCATCGAAACATTTTTTATGGTAGTATTTTAAACACTGTCAGATATCATATATACTTGTTCCAATTATGCCATGTCCACTTGTGACGCAACCCCACTGTGCTACCATTTTTTTATAATTATTTAACATTTTTTAAATATTAATATAATTAAATAGTTCTTCTTCTTCTTCTTCCTCACCCGAATCCCAACTACTTGGGGTCAAACACGCTTATCCTAAATTTCCACTTGACACGATCTCCCACATCATATACGCTAACATCAGCCGTCCTCATATCGCATTCAATAGCATCCCTCCATCTCCTTTTTGGTCTTCCTCTATCTCTTCTTCCTTCAACATTCATTTCTATAACTGTTCTTACAGTTTCCGATTCTTCTCTCCTCATAACATGACCAAACCAGTAATATAATTAAATAGTTAGAAAATTAATAATAATTTAACTAATAAGAATTAATAATATAATTTTTTTTTCATTTAATAATAAGTAAAGCATGAACCCGTAATAATCTACAAATTATAATTTTCAAATTTTATTTACTATACGTACTCCATCAGTCGATAATTTTTGGTTCTGAAAAAAAAAATTTTCAGCAATAATTTTTGAATTTTAATTGTAAATACCTAACATCTAAAAATTGGCATTGTATACTTTTCAGCTTTTAATTAAACAAAAGTTATTATAAAAAATCCAGGAAACCTAATTGATATTGCGTTAGAAATTTTATATTATAAAAGTAGGTTTGTTTTATAATTTAATTTGAAAACGGATTGTACCGACTTTCTTATAAATGTATAAAACTGTATCATTATGCTTACCTCATATAGTGAACTTTCAATAGCCTTAAATTAAAACAAATAATTAAAAAATGAATGAAGGAATTACAAAAAAAATAGTCATTTATGTGTCAGTGTCGGACGCGAGCAAATGTTATATCTATAAAATGTAAAATGTTGTGATGTTCACCGGCTTTTGGCCGTAAAGCTTTCATCAATAATAACACATTAATCATACAAGTTGAATTCACTACTAGCCGAGGTTCCACTAGGCCGAAGAATAGTGGAATTTAAATGTTAATGACACAAATAATATTTTAAAACTGTACTTATAATCTATTTACTTTGATCTTACCTTAACTCTAGGGATAAAGGAATAAAAATCTGGTAGACTAGTAGTATAGGCAATGATGTTTTTATAAGTTAATTATGCGGCAGTTTCAGATAGAGATCATATACACTTATTTCTAACACAGAAAGTGACAAAAAGAAAAGAATTACTATTAAATTGAATAGAAGATATTTAAACAATTAACAAAACCTTGTTTGTAAATAATTCATTGTTAGTTTAATAAAAATTTTATATTATAATATTAGATATTATAACAATATTTCAAAAGTTTAAAACTTCCCATAAAAACCAATGCAAATTTTGAAATTTTTGGTGTTTTAAACACAGAATGTTTAAAATGTAACAACTCCGATGATTACGACTATAAGGAGGATTAATAAAATAAAATTATACCATTCCGGATTGAATTTTCTGTTTATTCTATAATTTTTTATATATGATCATTCTAAATACCTCACCTAACAAAATATGTGGCCGACGATAAAACCTCGGCTCACGCAATAACTCGCATCAGACACAGGAACATTACACTAAATGCCAGTGTACTATTAATATAAATATTATGAATGAATTCTTATAAAAATTAATTTGTTTATTTAACTATTTTAAATAATAATAGAAATACCAAAAGTATTTTTTTTTAATTATAATCCTCTATATTCTAAGTCGTATTCATCATTACATTTTTAAAATTTTGTTATTAATTTTTTATTAAACAATAAATTATTTATAAATAGAGTTTTGTTAATAGTTTAAATATCTTTATTTCAATTTAATTGTTTGTTAATCTTTTCTTTTTATCACTTTCCGTGTTATAAAAGTTGTGAACTAAGTGTATGTGATCTTTCTACTAAATTTTTTATTCGATAAACCTAATCTTAGTTATTCTACAAAACCTCTGATGAAGCATACGCTTTCGTCACACAGGTTTTTATAAAAAACAAATTACTAGAAACATACTAGAATAATGAAATAAAGAAAATACACTAATGATAAGAAAAATAATTTTTAATATACATGGTGATTTGATCGTAAAATGTGTAATGAAAACTAAAAGAATACTATTATTTGATTTTTAAAATGAAAATCGACTATCAAATTTATTTATCGATAATGATGCATACAAGGAATTTTAAATTGAATGAATGAAGAATAAATAAGTTTCGACATGTCACACACGCGAATATAACTTTGTTTATAAATAAGGTACTTTGTTCGTTGTATATTTTAAACACTTAGAACATTTTCTTAGGATTAATTCAATTTTTTATATTTTGGTACATGGCGCGCTATTGAATACAAGCCTTCAATCACAGAATAATACGGCAAAGAAAATTCGTGATTAAAAATCTTCCATATAGCGTAGCGTATTAATGAGAGTAGAAGTTCCATTAGTATCTCAATTACAATAAAAAATTACTATACTTCAATATCGTATAGTTTAAAAATCTAAATATGTGCATTACAAAAATGTAATAAAATCACTGAAACTGAGATTTAGTGAAGTTGTGGTAAAATTAAGGAGACTAAAAATTTCAAGAAAATAGATATTTTAAGAAATTGAAAGTGATTAAAATATTCAAAAAATACAAAGAAATTTAACAAGAACTAATTTAAATTTCTTATTAAGTTTAAGTGATTTTATAAATTTTTCAATTATTACTTTGTTATAATCATATTATAGTTAATAGTTTTATCAGTACATACCTCATTTAATTTATTCTAAAATGATTCAAATAAACAAAAAATTATTTATTATGAATATTATTATTAAAAATAAAATAAATTTTCAAAGGTTTTACTATATTGAGTAATCTACTTATCAAAACCAACTCAATTAAAAATAATTTTATTAATAAAAGTATCCACCTTATCACACAAATTTTTTTTTGTTACATATATTTCTTAAGTAAATTTTCGTTTCATCCCTTACATATTATAGACTGCCAGCTATATTTTTATAAATGTTAAAATTATCAGATTATCATTTGACCTAAAATATATATTTATTTAGAATATAAAATAGAAAATAACTCATTAAGAAAAATAATGTTCGATACCACCTTTTGTACCAGTACTAATAGCTTCTAAAGAATTATTATTATTTTAAAATATAGATTGGAGATAATGCCAAGTATGTGTGTTTCCCTCACTAAAAATTTCTCAGTCACGATCTACCTCCCAAATAAGTACAAAATGGTCAAAAATCTATTGAAAGTTATTTTTTATTTAATATACTAGTAAATTTGTGTGTATCTATTGGTCCATCTTTGTTGTATAATCAATTATTTTTTTATTTTCAAGGAAGACATGTCATTATTTTCTAAGAAATATGTTTTAATTTTTGAAGTAGCTGATTTCATGTCCACTTCTATATATTCAAGTGATTATTTTAATACAATACGTAAATGAGATGTGGGGTGTAAAATAATCTTAGTTTTAAAAAAAAATGTTTAGTGGAAAATAAAAAATACAATTTTTCCTAGAAAGCAGCCTAGAAGGCAGTTAAAATTTTGTGTACAAATTTCTAAAATTTGTAAAAAAAATTTCTAAAATTCACAAGTTTACACTAAAAATGATTTGTAGTAGTTTTATTAATCAATGTTTATCAAGAATAAGTTATCAATCAAATTAAATTGAATTTCCCTTTTTTTTTATTATGACTTTCGGAAATTGTCCAAACAATAAATATGAGTTATATATTAAACGTATAATTTTTTTATTTATCACTTTCTCAATAATTAATCATTATTAATTTAACAGTTAATTAAAGTTACAAGAAAAAATAGTATAGTAACAATTAAAATCTTGAAAAGAAGTGAACTTGTAACAATATTCTTATTTGTTGATTAGAGAATTAATTAATTAAAATCGATATGCTCTTTTTTTCCTTGCCTTTATCCCAACTACTAGGGTCGGTCAATGTGTTAATATGTTATTTTATATCAAAATATAGTTTAATTTGTAATTTTTAATTAATTAATTAATGATTAACGTCATCTATGCTATTACTCATGTCAGAATTAAAATCTAAATTATTTAGTGCAATGAATAAACTATACATCAAATAGCATTCTACACTTAGATTTATATAAAAATTAAAATGGCACTTACTTTACTTTCCTGACTCTAAAACAAATAATATAATAAAACAATATTTCAACATCACACTGCAAATATGATATAATATTTTAACAAAATAATGAAGAATAAAGAATGATGAAGAATAGTTTTTATTTTCTTATTATTGAACCAATAAGAAGAAAGAAAACTAAATTTATCAGAACGTTTTAACTTATGTAGTTATAGTATTTTGGACAAGTCTTATAAAAAATTAATTGGGATTTCTGAAGTATTATAGACTAATCCCAAAAATTATACCAGTTTATTACAATAAATGACTTCTAATCTATAGAAATAACTCTGATTAACAAATATAAATACGATAAATATTCTTTAATTATTTAAATAATTTTTTAATTTTCTTGGATTTTTTTTATCAATTTTGTATGCTCCTATTTATTTTTATGTGGTTTCCATGATACATACCAACTCTGAGAGACACTAAAATTAAAAAATTAAAAAATTATACAGAACAACAATCAAAGATAGTTTTAATTTAATAGTTAAAAAATTAACTAAAATTAAAGAATTAAAAGTACCTCCAGTTATTTAGTCTATATTGTGCTATCCTTTAATTTTATAATGTCAATTAACAAGTGTTTCCATTATAGTTTAGTTATTGAAACATAGAACTATAAATATTTAGTTTTTGTAAATGATTTAAGATATTTATTTTATAAATATGAAACTTAACAAATTCATATATAATCAACCGCCTGGTTTATACTTTGTGTTAGGTACGTGAGTCTTTCCGAAAAAAAGATGGACTGTATAGGAAATTTAGGATGGTACTTACACCTTTGAATTTATTTAAAAAATGAGCGTCTCGATTATATTAGTAACTGGAAAATAAATTCACTCGAATACTTCGACCTACCTTGGTCAACCGAAGCTTCAATCATAGCGTGTTGGTGTACGCATAATTCCGTAAATCAAGAAACTAATTTGCGTGAACAAACTTCCAACTCTGACATTAGTGAGGAGGGCTCAACTTAACCATCTCTGCAATCACGTAATTTTCTCTTATTTATTTCAGCGCACTATTGCATGATAAACGGAACATAAACAATTTCCTTGTTCATCTCTGCGATTTCCGTTTACATTTTTTCTCAGCATGATTACTATAAAACAATATCCGGCTCGAAGGACCAAATGTATAATCGACCGCTCGATTTATATTTTAAATTAAGCACTATTATGTGCTAGATTTTTTTGTAAAAGATAGGTGGACTGTATAGGAAATTGAGGATAATACTTACACTAGCAAGAATTAAAATAATTTCAAAACAAATTTTACATATTAAAATAACAACAAATATAAAGTAATATAGAATTGGGGTGAAGGTGGTCATCTAATAGCTAAACGACACAAATCGTGATATTTTTAAACAAAATAAGTTAAGAAAATCAAATAAATAATATAATTTATCTGCCTATCGACCTAATGGCTGGCATTTCACGCAATAAGAGAGTTGAGTTATTGTATTGAGATTGATGAACGCACACTAAATCACTTCACGAGGAATGTGGTGTGGAGAGTCGAAAATATAATTATACACACAATATGCACGACATTAAAAATAGCAAAGGTAATTAGACATAAAAAACAAGTATGGACAAATATTCACCATAGAATCATGTAGCAATAGTCTTGATGGCCAGAAGAAACATAATAACACATATAGCAAAAGCGAGACTTTTACGCGTTTCCGGTGTATATCACAATCAAATCAGTATTATCATGAAACAGTGACGTACAATGCTTATACCGATGACTTCACTCACACAACCGGTAGTGGTAATGCAAGAAGCTTTGCCAGTTAAAACGAAATCCATAAATAAATGCTCTAGCACAACTACATATTAAACATCATGTATGGAGTTATTATGATGTAGTCAACCCCTGAATTTTTACACATTTAGTTTAGACAAGATAATAGCAATTATTGATATTTTAAGTTAATAATAGTTATTCATATTTTTTATTTTATTTATTATTATAATAAATCAAACTCACCAGATCTAGAAGTTCCTACAATAAATTATAACGATACATTATTTAATAGAATAAAATTAAAACATGCAATTTATATTAAAATGAAAACAATCTTTATTTATTTACTATCTTTATAAAATTATTTGAAGTAAAAGAAATAATAATTTGAAAATTCCGAAAAAATTATATGGATTATTTTTCAAAGGAAGTATAGTCCCATAAATAAAACTTAGTATACAATTAGATATTTGAGTATCACAAAGTCAAGACTTAATCTTTTTCTTTTTCCTCGTCTTCATTCCAACTACTTAGGATCGGCCAACCTTATCCTATATCCTTATCCTAGGACAGCTGATGTGTGTGTTCATACATCAGCCGTCCTCGTATCGCATTCAATAACATACTTCTATTTCTTTGTTAGTCTTCCTTTACCTCTTCTTCCTTCAACATTCATTTCTATAACTATTCTTACAGCTTCCGATTTCTTATTCTTCATAACATGACTAATCCATCTAAGTCAATTTTCCCTCATCTAATTCAGAATTTACTTTACACCTATACTCTCTCTATTATATGTTCGTTCCTTATCCTATCTTCTCTAGTAATTCTTTTCATCCATCTAAGCATTTTCATATTTACTACACACATTCTCTGCTCCATTCTCTTGTTAACCGCCTAAAACTCTAAACCCTACAACATAGCAGGTCCCTCTAAAATTTTATAGAATTTATCTTTCAGTTTCATTGGAATTCATTTATAGCATAACATACCAAACATTTCTCTTTTATTCATCCACCTGTACCTAATCTTGTTATATCCTCGTGAAAACCGTTCTTTTGTACAACTGATCTTAAATACTTAAAACTTTTCTCCTCTTCTATAATTTCCTCGCTTATTGTAACTGATCTCTTCATTTTACTTTATTCAAACTCACATTCTGCTTTGTCAAACTTGCACTCTATAACTCTGTCTTGCTCCTACTTATGTTCAATCCATTTTCTTCTAGAGCTGATCTCCACACCTCTAGCCATTGATTAATTTCTTTCCTATTTTCTCCTATGAACACTATATCGTCAGCGAACAACATGCATCACAATGCCTCTCCTTAAATTTTTTTATTATTTTATCCATCACTATAGAAAATAACCAAGGGTTTAAAGTAGAACCTTGATTAGAGTGGAACTTTTATGTTTATTACTTTTACATTAATTATGCATAATTCATTAAACTGATAATGTTACAAAAAAATTATGTAACCCGTACCTTTTCTATATTCGTCAAGTCACGTAGCTAAATAAAAAAATATGTCTAAATAATATTTTTATATTTCATATTTATATTTTACAATACATGAACCATTAGTCATAATCATAATAATCATTGCTCTTTTCCATCAATTTGAGGTCATCTTTACACTTCACGATTTTATGGAATTTTATACCAGCTGTCGAACTGACATAAACTCATTATGACTAAAGGACCCAGTATAGTTCGTATTTTCTTTTTATTCAAAAAGTAAAAAAATAAAAAACCTTTAAAAAGTTTTTTTTTACTATACATACCTTATCTTTTGATACTTTACGATTCTGGAAAAATTGTAAGCGATAATTATTTCGTTTTAATATTTAAAATATTAGAGGATGTACTGATTTGCTAAAAAAAATGATATAAAAACGTATCAACATGCTTACTTCTTTTAATGACCTTTCAATAGCCTTAAATTAAAACATAAAATTAAGAAAAGAATGAAAGAATGAAAGAATTATAAAATAAAATATTGGGTATAAGGAAATTACGGTACAGTGTTTGATGGGAACTATAGTGGCGTTGTCATTGGTCACATATTTTACTAAATTAGATTTTTAAAATAATCATATATTAATAATTATAGAATAATCAGAGAATCAGTCAATTGGTAATGGCCTAATTCATGGTTGTTACATTTTCAACATTATGTGTTTAAAACACCAAACATTTCAAACCTTTCATTGGTCTTATTTAAACTGTTAAATTAAGTTTTAAAGAAAATTTTTTGAATATATTTTAACAACTCTGGTATGTATGTAGTGTAGTAGTATTTGAGAATCAAAGTGATGACAAAAATATCTTAATAATAATTAAAAAGTGAAACTTAAATATTTTAAAGTTTAAAACTCTTAATACAAGCATTACGAAAATTAAATTTTCATTCAGCTAAACTTTTTTTTGCTAAGTAAGATAAATTCAATGGACCAAATACTTAATAAGGTTAGGTAAAATAAAATAAATTACTAGTGTCTACATTTTTTAAATAAGACATTAAATTCACCATGAATTAATTAAAAATATTATTTAACTTTGAGTATTTTGATATTATTTCGTAAAGTCATTTTAAGTTTATCGGTACATACCTCATTTAATATTTCCTAAAATTATAAAAATAAAAATTAATATTAGTATAATAATAACTTAATACCTATTATTATTAGAAACAATATACATATTAAAAATATTACTATACAGAGTAGTTCGTTTATCAAAACTAAATTAAAATTAATTTCAGACATTTTTTTTTCGTTTTTTCAAGTTCATTTCTGATGTCTTCAATGACATCAACTTTATTTATTAAATGACTACATACATATTTTACTATCATATAAAATAGAAAATTATCTAATTAAAAAAATAATTGGTGAATACGATTTTTGGTCCACTACTTTGAAGATTAAATTGACTTGAGGAAATAATAAATTTTTTAACAAATATTCATCGAAATTATTAATTGCTCTTCTTCTAATCAAACTTAGATCAAGAAAATAATTGTTTTATTTAAGAGGAGAACTATCATTATTTTCTAAGAAACGCGTTTTATCTATGAAGTGGGCGTTTTCATTTTAAATATCATTATGACATTATCGATTGGTCTTACTCTGCTATATTTTATTTAAAAAATAAATTTTTTTACTTTTTGCAATAAGCAATTTTATGTCTACTTTTGTATATTCATATGTTTTATTTATTAAAATACATAATAAGATAATAAGGTGAAAATAATCCAAATTTAGCAAAATTTTTTTCAATAAATAAAAAAATTAATTCAATATGAACTTAGTATACGAATGTCTTAAAAAGATAGAAAGTGTGCTCGGAACTTGATTAATATACAATGTCCGGCTCCTCAGCATATATTAGGGGATATTATTTTTTTTAATTTGTATAGTTTTGAACTACTTTCAAAACATATTTTTTATTATTTGTCTTTAATCAAAAAATACAATTATTTTTTATTTTTTTGAAATTTAAAAATAATTTATTTTGTCTATTTATAAATTACCATTTAATAGTTATTTTCTTACAAGAAAATTTGATCAATCGATAACAACTTTAGAATAAATACTTATTGATTTAAAAACATTAGGTATAGATGCGGGCAGAGTATACGTACACCAGTAAGAGCTGTAAACAACATAGTCACAGTTGGTATCACACGAGACACGGCAAAATCATCGACATTATCACTTATCAACAGACAGAAAAACAAACCGTAAACAAGCTAAGCCGACATAATAGTTTCAATCACGAGCCTCTAACTATCTTTCTGAAGATGGACTTTGCAAATAGTCCATAACTCATAACTAAAATCGTGGATACATCCGTCGTAAACATTTTAAGGAATATAATAAGCCACGAAAGTTTTAACGCATTCACATTTTTTTTTTAAGATAAAATAATAATAAAATAAAATTGTTGAATGGAATAGGTTATGTAATTAAAAGATTTAGAAGTTATTCGTAATATAATAGTATTTAATATAAAATGTCAAAACATATAATATAAGAGATGTACAACGGCAACGGGTCACTTTACTCGATAGACGGTGAAACTACGACTAAACTGTAAACATGTATACAATAGGCTGCATTGAGTAAAACAACATAATCGTAAAAGGAATGTGTCCCTTTGACCTTGTACTATACTAACATAAGTAAAAATACATTAAACTGTTATCTTAAATAATATTACTGTACCCAGTGTGTTGTTTAATAATATCAACACTTCCCCTTAAACAATACACCCGTACATAGTTAATTAAAAAATTATAAATCTATATATCTAATTCCTAACATTTCTCTGAGTTCTTGAAATCTTGTTCGTGGTGTTGGCTTGGTCAAGATGTCAGCTAACTGCTCTTTGCTGGTCACATACTCCAGTGAAAACATCCCTTCATTGAACTTCTCACGAATATAATGATAACGAACATCTATATGTTTAGTTCGTTTATGGAATTCTGGATTCTTCACCAATTTTATGGCACTTTGATTGTCCGCGTACAAAACAGGTGTCTCTCCCTGTGTTTCCAGAAGATCACTTGTTAGTAGCGTCAACCAAGTTAATTCCTGGACTGCTTGACTCAGTGCCATGTATTCAGCCTCAGTAGTTGAGAGTGCTACTGATTTTTGCCTTTGTGAACAACATGCTATTATTCCATTAGTCATCATGAAAATGTATCCTGATGTTGATCGCCTTGTTGTTGTATCACCAGCATAGTCTGCATCACTATAACCATGTAACTTAAGTTTCACCCTAGAATGAAAAAATAAACCATAGTTATAGGTTCCTTTTAAATATTTTAAAATACGTTTCACCGCATTCCAATGTATTATAAGAGGCTTTTCTAAATAGCGACTGACAAGATTTACAGCAAATGTTATATCAGGCCTTGTGATCTGACTTAGATATAACAAACTTCCTACTGCTTCTCTGTATGGAACTTCCCCTGCTTGTAATGATTCAGATAAATTTGCATCTAATGAGTGTTGTGGATCTGCAGGAATGCATAGGGCGTTGGATTCAGCCATATTGAATCTCTCCAAAACGCGTTGACAGTATAATGACTGATGTATAAATATTGACCCATCTGATCTCTGATCAATTTCAATACCCAGAAAATGATTAAGTTCACCTGATTTTGTCTCAAAGTTGCTCATCAGGTACTTCACCATCATGTCCACCTGCTCATCATTTGTTGCTGCTATAATCCCATCATCTACAAAAATAGCTACAATCATTAATTGTTCATTTTTATTACTTACAAATACACAGGGATCTGCCTTTGTTTCTTTTAGATCAAATTTTAACAACAAATTTTTAAATTTTGTATTCCAGCACCTGGGTGCTTGTTTTAATCCATACAAGCTTCGTTGAAGTTTGCAAACTTGTTTAGTTCCATCTTCATAACCTTTTGGCTGGTTCATGTAAATCTCTTCTTCAAGATCACCATATAAAAAGGCTGTTTTAATATCAAATTGTCTGAGTTTTAATTTTCTGGCTGCTGCTATTGCTAGCAGTACTCGTATAGAGTCATACTTTACAACTGGACTAAAAGTTTCTTGAAAATCAATTCCATGCACTTGTGCATAGCCTTTTATAACTAGTCTGGCTTTAAATCTATCAACTTCTCCATTTTTCTTGAGTTTGGTTCGATATACCCAGCCATTGTTAAGTACTTTTTTATTTGTTGGTATATTTACTAATTTCCAGGTTTCATTCTTTTTTAATGACAACATTTCTTCATCCATTGCTTCTTTCCAATCTTCTGAATTTTCTTGTGTCATAGCTTCTTCATATGTAACTGGATTATCACACATTGAATAAAATGTTTCTGTTCTATACCTTACTGGTTTTTCTATATTTTGTCTATCTCTAAGTCTCATTTTTAATTGCTCATGAGTCTGATCTGCTGATTGATCAAGTTCATCCATATTTTGTTTTCTTTCAACATTATTCTCATCATTAATGTTATTTTCTTCACTTTCATCCACCATTTCTGAATTTATTTCTTCATCTTCTTTTCTAATTTTGATTTCTATTTCCATAGATTCTTTGAATATAACATCTCTGCTTAATGAAACTTCTTTTCCATCAAAGCATATGCGGTATCCTTTAGTTTCTTCTGAATACCCAACAAATATTCCTTTTCTCCCTTTTTGATCCCATTTTCTACGTTTTTCTTTTGGTATATGAACATAAACTTCACTACCAAATACTTTAAAATTGCTTATATTGGGACTTTTATTATACCATAATTCATAGGGCGTTTTTTCTTTGTTACCTGAATTTAACGTACGATTCAATACATATACAGCTGTATTTACCGCTTCAGCCCAAAGATTTTTTGACAAATTTTTACTGTATAACATAGTTCTAGCTGCTTCTACTATTGTACGCATTGTTCGTTCTGCTTTACCATTTTGCTGTGGTGTATATGGTACACTGGTTTCATGTTTTATACCAAATTTATTCAAAATAGCTTTGACTTCATCATTCTTATATTCCAAGCCACAATCACTTCGTAAAGTAAGAACTGATATATTTAACTGATTTTTCACTGTATTTAAGAATAATTCAAACTTCTCTTTTACTTCTGATTTTTGTTTCATAAAATATATATATGTATACTTAGAGTAATCATCTTTGAATATAACAAAGTATCTTTTACCACCAAGAGAATTTTCTTCCATGGGTCCACAAACATCACTGTGAATTATCTGACCTGGTTTTGTTGTTTTGGTACTGCTCAGTGTAAATGGTTCTCTGTGTTGTTTACCATAAATGCAAGCTTCACAGAAAAATTTGTTTTCCATATCTGTGAATTGAATACCCATATGCCTTAGGTAATTTCTAACATATTGAACATTCTGATGACCTAGTTTTTCATGCCACTGTTGTAATGTAAGAATTTTTTCAGCAATATTCACTTGATCTATCTCTTGCGAAATCCTTGTTTTAAAAATCATCGAAAACAATTTATTCTCACGAATTCCAACAGCAACTGTACTATTTCCTCTTTTAAATGTACAAACATTTTTGTCTGTTATCATTATTATACCTTTATCAAGGCACGCTCCACATGAAAACAAATTTACTTTGAGTTCAGGTACATGTAAAACATTTGACAAATAACTGTCAACCCATTTTTCGCCAATTTTTGCTTGAACATATATATTACCTTTACCAATAGCCATAATATATTTACCATCACCAATACGTACTGGCAACTGAATCTTGAACGACTCATAAGTTCTGAACCACTCTCTTCTACTGGTCATGTGATCACTTGCACCGGAGTCCACATACCATTTATCAAAATCGCTAATTTTGCTCACCATTGAATTAACGCCTATTAGTGCATTACCAGAATTTGATTCATTTTTATTCTTTCCGTCTTGTTCTTTCTTCAAAATCCAGCAATCACGTTTCCAATGACCTGGTTTCTTACAAAAATTGCAAATTCCTGGTTTTCTATCATTATTTTGTTGATTTCCAAATTTTGAATATTTTTGTTTTTGCGTTCTAAACAATTTTTTCGCCGCAAATGCACTATTTTCACCATTATTTTTCTGGATTTCATGGCCATTACTTTGTCTTGTTTCCTCTACCATAAGTCGGGATGTCAAGTTTAACAATGTTTTGTTCTCAGATGATATAGAATCCCATGCACTATAAAAATATTTATAATTTTCTGGCAAGGTCATAAGAATTTTGGTTATAAGCATTGAATCGGATATTGGTTCACCTAACTGTTTTAATTGTTTACTCAAGTTTTCTAATTTTGATATATGTTGTGCCATATTATCATTTTTATCCATAACATAACTATAAAATTTTTGCTGAATCAATGTAATTGATGTATCAGACTTTTGTTCATATACACTCAGTAATTTATTCCACATACCTTTTGCTGTGTCACAGTTCATTATATAATCTAATGACTGCTCATCTACTGACATAACTATAAAACGTTGAGCCTTAGCATCTGTCATTAACCATTTTTGCTGCACTTGTTCTAAACGCAATTGTGCCTCTGTGTCTGTTTCTGTATCATGTTTTATAATTTGAATTGGATATTCATAACTTCCATCTATTACAGAGAACAACACATCATATGATTTTAATATTACCGTCATTTGAAATTTCCATTTTGCCCAATTTTCACTGCCGTTTAGTTTGTTAATTTTTATAGATTCGTTTTCCATGATAACGAATTTCCTGTACACTGTCTGCACACAATAAAAAATTACAATAATATTTAACACGATCGACGCACTTACTACGCGAACGCACTTTTAAATTTCACGATTAATTATATTACAAATAAAAAAATCTAAATATTAAGTACTGGGTACTGGGCCCATAACCTGTTGAATGGAATAGGTTATGTAATTAAAAGATTTAGAAGTTATTCGTAATATAATAGTATTTAATATAAAATGTCAAAACATATAATATAAGAGATGTACAACGGCAACGGGTCACTTTACTCGATAGACGGTGAAACTACGACTAAACTGTAAACATGTATACAATAGGCTGCATTGAGTAAAACAACATAATCGTAAAAGGAATGTGTCCCTTTGACCTTGTACTATACTAACATAAGTAAAAATACATTAAACTGTTATCTTAAATAATATTACTGTACCCAGTGTGTTGTTTAATAATATCAACAAAAATAAATACTGCAAAACGCACTTGAAAAACACTGTGTTAATTTTTTTATTTATAATTTTTTATAAGGTACTAAAAGAAGTATAATTAAATAGAATAACACTTACTTCATTTTCAAAATCGTCATTAGTTTGCTATACAAATAAAATTAGAAAATTTAATTTAAAAAATTTATCATAAATTAAATGTTTTGTATCCTTATAACAATACTTAATATACAATTTGAGAATTAAATACCATCAGAGGAAGATTTGATTGTAATAATTAAATTTAAATTAAAAGCACATTTTTCATTTTCTTTTAAATTAGTAATAAACTATTTTTGATTTATTCTTCGTAATTTATAAATGTAGGTTCATTATAATTTAAAAATGTTTAAATTTTTAGTACTTTACGTACCGTAGTTGATATTTTTTGTTTCTAGAAAAAAATGTATAAAAAAATAAATAATTAGTTTTTTACAAGAAATGTAATTGTTAACAGATAGAAGTTTTTACTTAAAAATAGGATTATCAAATTTAATATATTACGTATTATATTCCAATTCGCTTAAAAAAAATGTTTTCTATAAAAATTTAATATTATGCTTACTTCCTTTAGAGACCTTTCAATAGCCTTAAATTTTAACGTAGAATTAAAAATTAATAAAAAAATGTAAAAAATTCAACATTGGATATAAGTTATATATGCAGCAGTGTCTAGTGCGAGCTAATGTTGTAACAGCTATATATGTTATTAGGCAAAACGAAATCACTCAAACTAGTACTTAGTAATATTCAGGTAACATAAAATTAAGTTAATAAAACAATGTATCAATTAAACAAGTAATGGAAGGATTAATAATAAATGGACCATTTTATAAAATAACAACATTTTTCAATAATTAAAGAAATAGGAAAGAATTGATTAAAAAGGGTAGAAAAATTTATCAATTAAAATAAAATTACTGAAACTGATTAATAAAAAAATAATTAAGCCTTTGAGTGATTTGATATATAATTTTGTAACATAATTTAAAATTTTAAGAGTACATACTTCATTTAACTTTCTCTAAAATTATACAAATGAATAAAACAATTATTTTTAATAATATTTTTAAGCCTATTATTATTATGTTGCGGTTAGGTGATAATTTAATAATTATAATAAATAATAACACCGTTATGTTCAACTTTATGATAGCATATATTTTAACTTATTATATAAAAGAACTTAAACAACAATATTAACTCCAAAAGGAAGTAGACAATAGTCCAACCACGATAATATATCAAGTATATGGTGGCCGGCGGCCTGGACCGGTTCGCGTCACCCGCGGTCACTCGGCGTCGCGCGACCTGTCGGACGAGGAGAGGTAGCTGTGTCGCAGTAGCCATCCAGCGGTAAAGCCGGAAGTGCAATGCGACCGCGTCAATTAATAACAAAATTAATATTTAAATAATAATAAATATTTTTATACATATTGCACAAAATAAATTTTAATAAAATTTAAATTTCGAAAAAAATGTTAAACTTTTTTAATAATATATATTTTTTAGTTTAACAATTATTTAATACTTTTTTGAATCATCCTTGACATATTACTGATATACCGCAATATACCATGTAACTTTATTTGTAAATAACATGACATACTTAATTCGCGTAAAGAATAGAAAATGATCTAATTAAAAAAATAAATGGTAGATACGTTTTTGGACCAGTACTTCTGTTTTTATTTGTATTCTAAAATATAAGTTGGAGTAAAGAGCGATTATGATTGTATCTAGGCAGCACTTATCCTCCCTCGTAGAGATAAATATGTGATAACTTTCGATATACTGGTTCAAATATCGAATCAACCAATCTATTTCTTGATAAGATATTTTTCTATCTAAAAAAAATTTAATTGTTTAATAAAGATAGTTTTATTTTACATTAGGACGGTTAAATGCTCCTTGATGTAAAAAAAAAAAGTCAAAGTAGATACACTACCATTTTTAGTGTCATTTGAGGGAAAGACTCAACTCCTGGGTGTTCCCAAAATTGGAAACAGTACAGGTGAACATCAAGATAATGCATGCATCATGTAAAAGCTATATATTGGAATTATTATTGAGAAATACTTTTGATGTAAAGCTGAAATTAAGCTAAACGAGTCCGAATGTACTTTTATTTAAAAAATTTCAAGATTATTGGCAAAAATAGATACAAAATTTTTTGATAGAGGTGTAACTAATTCATTTTCTAAAATTATCTAATTTTATTTATTTTTTTTTTATTTATGATTAATATGTTACCTGCTCTTCAGTAAATTCTTCAAACTAAAAAAAAACAAAATAGACTTGAGAAATTAGATTAAGAAATTTAAATACAATTTTTTACGGTATTATAAGGAAATTATTTCTGTATTTATTAATTTTTTTTCTATTAGTAAATTTTTTTAATTAAAAATAATGAGATATAAATAAAAATATAATTACTTTTAGTAATATTATTTTTGTTATTTATTTAAAAAGTGCAATAATCACAAATATTTATGATCTATATTTAATTTTAAATTTTTTTTATTAAACTTACCTTTTTTGGTGATATTTTTTTATTCTGAAAAAGAAAAAATATTGTAAGCAAATTTCTAATATTATAGATTATATTCCCATTTGATAGAAAAAAAAAATTTTTATACAAATGTAATATTCATGCTTACTTCTTTTAGAGACATTTCAATAGCCTTAAATTATAATTACAAATAAAAATGAATGAAAGAATTTAAAAAAAGCAATATCGGGTCTTAATTAATGCAGCAGTGTTTAGTGCGTACTAATTTTGTATCAACTATAAATATTATTAGTTAAATGTAATCACTGAAACTAATACTTATTAAGATTCAGGTAACATAAAATTAAATTACCAAGACAAAATATTCAAGAGAATAGATAAAACCATTTTAACAATATTTAATTAAAAATTTATATTTAGTTTGAGTGATTTGATATTATTACACAAATTAATTTACATTTTTATTGATACGTACCATTTTAAGATTTTTCTAAAATTATAGAAATAAATAAAATATTAATTATAATTAATATTTTTGAAACCAATTTAAAATTAAATTAAATTTTCATAGATTGTAAAATTAATTCTATTTTGTATACATACTCTATACAACGTATGAAGTACATACAATGTCTTTCTTTTATAATTAACTTATTAATACTTATAAAATAAAAAAATAAAGTAATGATATATAATTTTATTTTTGCACACAAGTTTGGTCATGTATTAAATTAAAAAACGGTAGCACAGTGGGGTCGCGGCATAGTGGAGACATTGCATAGTTGGGTCCAGTATAGATTTAATCTGACAGTGATTAAAATCACTATCATAAGAAACGCTTCGATGCAAATCTGTAGATAGTGTTTAATTTTAAAAAATTGATGGATAATTGCAAAAGCAACATCAACTTCTATTAAAATAAAATACAAAACCCATAATTATCATACAAAAATAGTATATTTTTCAATATGGTAGCCATTTGCGTATAGAAGATAGATCGTCGGGACAAATTTTTTTTTTTCATTTTGTAGTACATAAAATAAGCTTTAATTTTATATATGTTTAAAGGACGCAGTATTTCCGGAACATTTTCAAAAATTAAGTTGAAAAAGTTATTTTTTGTAAAAAAGTTACTATTTTAAATCCCCCCAGTGAGCAGAATAAGTGTTAGATTTTCAAAAAAAATTATATCAAATGAAGGGGAAATATCTAAGGTTTCAATACGAAAAAATATTTATTTTATTTGTTCATTTTTGAAAATGTTATGACAGTTTTAAGTACAAAAAACATTCCGATAAAGGGTAATTTTTAACGCAAACATTACATTTTTTTTAAATTTTCGACAGCCATTTGCACATAGAAGATAAGATGTCGGGACAAATTTTTTTTTTTCATTTGATAGTATATAACATAACCTTTGATTTGATATATGTTTAAAGGACGCAGTATTTCCGGAACATTTTCAAAAGTTAAGTTGAAAAAGTTATTTTTTGTAAAAAAGTTACTATTTTAAATCCTCCCAGTGAGCAGAATAAGTGTTAGATTTTCAAAAAAAATTATATCAAATGAAAGGGAAATATCTAAGGTTTCAATACAAAAAAATATTATTTTTATTTGTTCATTTTTGAAAAAGTTATGGCAGTTTTAAGTACAAAAAACATCCCGATAAAATGTAATTTTTATCGCAAACATTACATTTTTTTTTAAATTTTCGACAGCCATTTGCACATAGAAGATAAGATGTCGGGACAAATTTTTTTTTTTCATTTGATAGTATATAACATAACCTTTGATTTGATATATGTTTAAAGGACGCAGTATTTCCGGAACATTTTCAAAAGTTCAGTTGAAAAAGATCTATGTTTTTTACAATATTTTAAGTTTTGAACGCCCCCTATATAAGGGGAAATTGTCCAATTTTAATAAAAAGTATGTCAAATGAAAGATATAATTATAATGTATTTAGAAAAAAAAATTTGTGCTGATATATACATTTTTCAAAAAGTTATAGCATTTTTAGGTTGAAAATTTAAAATCGAAAATTTTAAATTTTAACACAAAAATAGTGTTTTTTTAACTACGGCAGCCGTTTAAATGTAGAAGAAAAAGTGTCGGGACAAATTTTTTTTTTTCATTTTGTAGTACATAAAATAAGCTTTAATTTTATATATGTTTAAAGGACGCAGTATTTCCGGAACATTTTCAAAAATTAAGTTGAAAAAGTTATTTTTTGTAAAAAAGTTACTATTTTAAATCCTCCCAGTGAGCAGAATAAGTGTTAGATTTTCAAAAAAAATTATATCAAATGAAAGGGAAATATCTAAGGTTTCAATACAAAAAAATATTATTTTTATTTGTTCATTTTTGAAAAAGTTATGGCAGTTTTAAGTACAAAAAACATCCCGATAAAATGTAATTTTTATCGCAAACATTACATTTTTTTTAGAATTTTCGACAGCCATTTGCACATAGAAGATAAGATGTCGGGACAAATTTTTTTTTTTCATTTGATAGTATATAACATAACCTTTGATTTGATATATGTTTAAAGGACGCAGTATTTCCGGAACATTTTCAAAAGTTCAGTTGAAAAAGATCTATGTTTTTTACAATATTTTAAGTTTTGAACGCCCCCTATATAAGGGGAAATTGTCCAATTTTAATAAAAAGTATGTCAAATGAAAGATGTACTTATAATGTATTTAGAAAAAAAAAATTTGTGCTGATATATACATTTTTCAAAAAGTTATAGCATTTTTAAGTTGAAAATTTAAAATCGAAAATCGAAAATTTTAACACAAAAATAGTGTTTTTTTAACTACGGCAGCCGTTTAAATGTAGAAAAAAAAGTGTCGGGACAAATTTTTTTTTTTCATTTTAGAGTACATAAAATAAGCTTTAATTTGATATATGTTTGAAGGACGCAGTATTTCCGGAACATTTTCAAAAATTAAGTTGAAAAAATTAATTTTTGTAAAAAAGTTGCCATTTTAAATCCCCCCCAATGAGCAGGTTAAGTGATAGATTTNAGTTGCTATTTTAAATCCCCCCCAATGAGCAGGTTAAGTGATAGATTCTCAAAAAAATGATATCAAATGAAAGGTAAATATCTAAGGTTTTAGTATAAAAAAAAATTATGTAGATTTATTGATTTTTCAAAAAGTTATGGAAGTTTTAAGAAAAAAAAGTGAAAAAATTTCGAAAATTAGCGATTTTTAAATTTGTAATTTTTTTGGATATTTCCCCCATTTGCGGGGAACGAGCGAATTTTTTTCAATTTTTAAGGATAATATCTTCAACTAGATACGATTTGTGATCTTTTGACGTATTTTTGAAAGAAATCGGTCCAGTGAGAGCTGAGAAAAAGTGGCAACAGACATAAAAAAAAAAAAANAGCTGAGAAAAAGTGGCAACAGACATAAAAAAAATAAAAAAATAAAAAAATAAAAATAAAAAAAAACACATCATAGTAAAATTAATACCTTCTCCGCTTCGCATCGAAGCTAATAACCGTTTAAGAAATCAAAAAATAAAATTTATTTTATTAGGTCCTATTAGATAAATTTATATAATTTTATTAGATAATTCAAAATTGATCAGTCATTTATCCCTTATACATTATAAAAGTGTGGGCTTTAATTTTTTCAATAGGGATATATATAATTAACTAGCTTATTTATTAGATAATAATCAAATTAAGAAAATGACTGCTCGATATCAACGTTTGGGTCTATATTTCAGAAGTTATTAACGTTTTCAACGGTTTTTGACGGGTGAGTTAGTGATACCAAAAAATTTCTAACAAAACAAAAGAAGCACCAAACACATTGTAAATGAATTCTGTTTTTCCTCTTACATATTTAAATGTTTTCTCTTGAATATTTGTTATAAATATAGAATAGACATATAATCCGATATGAATCTTGAGCGTGTTTATTTTTATTTTTAATTGACTTGTAGTGGAACAGTAAGCAAGACAATTTTTATAATTAAACAAATTCATGGCCACTTTGCTCCTTTCACATAGGTATAAAAATGTGGTATTTATTTAGTATTTATTCAGTTTTAAATCAAGAAATTGAATTAATTAATTAAAATTTTGAAAAATTAATTCTTTTAATTTTGAGAGGTTACCTGTTTTTATTTTCAAAGAAATGAGTTTACATCTATATGTTCAAATAAATTGTATAGTACGAAACATAATTTAGGTGAGATTGGTCCCAAACGATTCAAGTTATCAACAATTATCGTTTTTATAATTAGAACATTTTAAACTTTTTATTAGACTAATACATATGTTTCCACATAAAAATATATAAATGAAACTTTTTAAAGATATGGAATTAACTGAAAGACTATTCTTTCAATTTTAAACCAAGAGAATTAATTAATTAAAATTTTGAAAAATCAATTCTTTCAATTATAAGAAAAAACCTGTTTTTATTTGTAAGAAATGAGTTTACTTCAATACAAACAAATTTGTATAATTCAAAACATAATTAAGGTGAGTTGATACCAAATTATCCAAGTTATCAACAATTTTTGTTTTTACGGGAAATCAAAAAAAAATATATATTTTTATTATGAAGTTATTAAAAGCTATACATTTTGTTACTCATTTCTAAAATGTACTAACATATTTTGTATATAAGTTTGATTTTTTTTATATAATATTTACGTGTATACATAATTTATTATTTTACCTGTTCTTCGGTCAATTTTAAGGACTAAAATAAAAACAAATTTGATTGAGTAATTTTAATACAATTGTTTACTATAAAAAGGTATAAGTATATATAATAATATTAACTACTTCTACATAATCGTTAAAAGTATGTTATACAAATAAAATTATAAAATAACATTATACAATTAAAAATTATTATAAATTTGTTTTAAGTTTTAGATGGAAAGTTTTGTAATACTTAATGGACAATTCGAGACTTAAATACCACCAAAGAAGGTTTTGAGTATAATAATTGATATTAACCCATCAACGCCTGGCGTCCCCATATGGTGACATTCGTATTGCTATTTTTATCGCGCGAATAATTTAATAGGTAAAAGCCGAGTGTACCCATATGGTGACACTCAATATCTCAGAAATCGTATTTTCAAAAAATTTAAAAATAATTTTTTTTTTTTATTTTTGTGTTGTATATTAATCTGTTTTTAGTAAAAAAAATTGAAAGTTTGAAAAAAAATAATTCTCGGCGTTGATGGGTTAAATACATTTTTTCAATTTTCTTTTAAATTAAATTAGTAAAAAATTATTTTCGTATTTTATCATCTATTTTTTATGAATCAATTATATCTTACTTAGATTTTAAAAATAAAAGTTGAAATTCATTGCAAAATTTTTTTGTTTTTGTAAATTATTGAACTAATTTTTACTGTCGAGTAAATACATTAAAGAAAGTATACTAACTTACTTAAAAGTATATATATATTACGATTTGTGAAATTTATCTCGATTTTATTTAGTAGATCGTTATTATAGAATAGATCATTTTTGGATTACATTGTGACCAAAATTTTGTTATATCGCATTTATATTGGATAATAAGTAAAAAAACTTCAAAACACTATTATATTATAATACTGATTAATGTTTTTATGATTTTAAAAATCATTCTTTAATTTTAGTTTCAAAAAAGTAATCTTTTATGAAAAAAATAAACTAAAAATTTACTTAAAAAATAATTTAAAACTTAAAAAGTACAAATACATAGATTTCAACGCTATTTTTACGAAATGCATGTATTATGGGGATTAAAAATTTTGACCGTTCAATATCATACATACACCACTTATTATTCAGTAATGTATTAATCATTGTCTATTAGTCATCAAATAAAATATATTACTCGTGTGATTCTTTTAAACTATTCTGAGGAAAATGTATAAAATATCCATAGATAAAAACCTAAGTACTAACTATAAAGAGTTCTTTAGTTGTAAAAAACAGCTATTTGAAGCAAAAAAATCTGCTAATAATTAACACAATCGAGTAATAAATAGTTAATAATAAAAGATCGTGACACTTTTTGCATATATACATGGGTTAAAATTAATATAAAAATACACAAAACTGCCACTTCTGTTTAGTTCTTCTTCACTTTTTAATCTTTCAAATAGTATAAGAGGTATCTGTCCATTAACCACCCTTTCTACTATTAGTCGCTGTACAGCATCAGCCACTTATCCCTGTCTGCCGACCTTGTAGTATAAAATGTACTGTTGACAGAAATAGATTATATTATAAGATAGAAAAAAGCTTTGTTTTCAACTTAACTTTTGAAAAAGTTCCGAAAATACTGCGCTTTTAAATGTATGTTAAATTAAAGCTTATATTACGTACTATAAATTAAAAAAAAATAATTGTCCCGATGACCTATCCTCTTTATGCAAATGACCGTTGAATTTGACACATTCATTAAATAATTATTCATATATTACACTTATTATTATAAAACTTGTAATCAGGATATAAATAAGGAAATAGGAGTTTATTTCGCTTTTGGAATAATCCACCAATTTTTTAAAGTTAAATACTATTTGCATATTTGCATCGAAGCATTTCTTATGATAGTGATTTTAATCATTGTCAGAAATCATCTATAATTATTCCAACTATGCTATGTCCACACTGTGCTACCGTTTTGCTATGAAATTATAAAATTTTTATTTTTACTAAAAAAAATGTTGTATTGTGAGTTATCGAAAATTTTAATAATCATTGGTTATGTTGAAGTATTGCATTTAAACCTGCAGGTAATAATAATATTTTATCTTGATTCTATGTACTACACGGTTGGTTTAAGTTAATTGTTAAAGTCATACGGACTTATATATAGTTTCAACATAACACTTACTCAAACCCCAATTCGAATCATATTAACAATGAACCTCACTCAAATAATAATAATGATTCCATCTCAACCCATCTTTCCCATTTCCTAAATGAGTTCAAATCCTTAATAAACCCTCTTATCTCCCTACTCACCAAAGTCATCGACTCCCTACTAAATAAATGAATTCTATCCAACCAAACAAAGCACCTCTCTCAATCCTTCTTTGGAATGCTAATGGAGTTCAAAACGATTTATCCTTATGTCTAAACTCCAGAAACATCGACATTGCACTTATCACCGAAACACACCTTACTCCAAACAAAACTATATTTTTCCCGAACTACTCTACCATTCGCACTGACCATCCTGATGGAACTGCTCATGGTGGTTCAGCAATTTTTATTCGTAATAAAATCAAATTCAATATTAGTCCTCCTACTTCTAACCAATCTATTCAGAGCTCAAACATCCAACTAAAAATTAACAATATAAACACTACCATTGTAGCTGCATATTTTTCTCCTGCAAATCCGATTAACGAAAACATCCTAAACGAATTTTTTTCATCTATTGACAATAACTGCATCATAGGAGGCGATTTTAACTCTAAACATCCCTATTGGGGAAATAACACTACTGACTCCCGCGGTCGTGTACTTTATAAAACCATAATCGACTCCAACCTTCGCATTGTATTACCAGCACACCCAACTTACTGGCCAACCCACCAAAACAGAAACCCTGACATACTTGATTTTTTTATAACTAAATTTTCTCCAACCATTCACTATTCTATTTCAAATATAAACGAACTTTGTTCTGACCACACCAGCTGTATTACTTTCTTTAAACTCAACCCCCCTTCTCAACAACAAACCAAGCCTCATAAATGGCCCAATATCCTGGAAAAAATTTTAATTCGTCCTAGACAGCAAAACTAGCCTTAATATTCCTCTAAAAACCAAACATGACATTGACAATGCCGTAATCCAATTAACTTCCAATGTTCAAGACTCAGTAACTGTTTCTTCATCCCCCTCTAAATATCCTAACAAATTCAACAACATCCCAATAGTTCTAAAAGAAATGCTAGAAAAAAAAAGGAGAGCCAGAGGGAGATGACAATTAACTCGTCACCGTGCCGACAAAAATGCACTCAACATTATTTCAAAAAAACTAAAAAAAGAATTTTGCAAAATCAACACAGAACGGATGATTTTTTATTATTGATTTTAATCATTCTTTGTATGTAAAAAAAAAAAGCACATTTATTGATATTGATGTATATTTATTGATTATTTATCAATTCATTATTATTGCATTATACGAGGTTATTTATAATATCAGTCACACAGGTATTGTTTCCCGACCCTGGTATTAACAAATCTCATTTCAAACATCACGAATGTGAATTTATATTTTATAGAAAATTTAAAAGGTTTAAAATTAAGTTAGAAATTAGATAAATATTATACAACAAGAGATGTTGTAGTTTTTTATTATCCAGTATAGCGGAACCCTTCTACGAAAATGTTCGCAGAAATCCACCACTTCTATTCCCTCTTTTCTGTAAGTTAAGGTACATGATAGAGCATCATCTGGAGCCTTTAAGTCACCGAATGATAGAAGAGAGGAACCAGACCGGACCAGAGTGCGTGCCTATTAAGAGCCATGCCTCATCGGATAACGCAAAAACCACTGTATTTAACAAGTCTGAAACCAAGCTTAATCGAGTACACCACGAATCTAACATGGAAAGACGACTGCAGAAGCTTCCAGATTCCGTATATAACAGTGAAGTCTACACAACCTCAGAATAGTAGTGGTCGACGAAAACGCCTATCTATCAAGACCTATTATGTTAAGGGTCCAAGCCTCCATCCTCAAAAAATTGTTGGAATCCAACAACCGGTTCAGTTAGAATTGTTAAATAGGGATATTAAGACCTCAACTTTAAAGGCAAACTCCAATAGATACAGTTTACCAGCAACACTAAAAAAAGGCATATTCTCCTAGCGTGCTTTCAGCACTTGATATGATCAAATATAAAATAATGAAATATCCAGTATTATCAAAAAACATTATAGAATATTGACGTTGTTATCTGAGTAAAATCACAGACTATATGAAAATATAATCTGACAATAATTATCAGAGAGCATATTCTTCAGTCATTGGTGATGATACCCTTCTCTTAGACAAAATATCCTAATCGATATTATTTGAGGGTATAATACGAAAAAAAACTATTAAATTATTTTAACTAAGATAATTTTTTCTGAAAAAATTACTTCTGGGTTAAAGAAATTAAAAAAAAAAATTCTATAAACTTTCAACTTAATTTAATCTTACTGAAATTAAAAAAAATTATCGAGTTAATAAAATGTGTCAACTTGACCAGTTTTTTACATATCACTTGACGGGGCCAAAAAATATGACAGTTACATATAGGTGCTAGTTCTACAGAGGTAATCGTCATCGGAAGTTATACTTAAAAATATGATTACCATTAATAATATAACATTTTTTTATTTAATAAATAAAATTAACATGAACATTTCATAATCTAAATAAAACTATTTAATTTGTTTTACTATACGTACCGCATCTCTTGGTGTTTTATAGTTCTGAAAAAAAAAAATTCGTAAGCGATTAATATTTAGTTTAATTGTAAACACCTAACATATGGAAAAGTGTCATTGCTGAATCTTCAGCTCAGTTTATTATTTATTAGTTAGACAAATAAAAATATTTGATTTATAAAAATCGAAGAGTTGTAATTGACCAAGGAATTATGAATTGTATACTTTAAAAATAGTATTATTGCTAAATGTCAAATATCACAGATAATAATTCCTTTTGCTTAAAAAAAGAAATTTTGTCTAAAAATGTATTGTTATGCTTACTTCTAATAAAGACCTTTCCATAGCCTTAAATTTTAACATAGAATTAAAAAGTGAATGAAAGAATAAATAAAAACCAATATAGGGTCTATGTTATTTGTGTCTAATGAGTGCTAATATTATATCAGACATAAAGGATGATCTAAATCTGGTAAGACACTCTGTCTCAGAAATTATTAAGAATTTTTAATTTTTGCAAAGAGAAAAGATATTAAGTATATAAATTTTACAATAATATGTATCTTTTTTTTTTCGTCTCTTCAGGGATAAAAATACGTAGTTGTAATTTTCTTTAAAGGGAACCCATACATTTAAGCTTTATAATATGATAGAAAAAAAAATTTATGAACATTTTTGTTCATACAATTTTTTTATCCGATCAACCGTTTTTGTTTTACTCATTATTTAAAAATTTGGTCTTCAAGTTAAAATTCATCATTGATTTGTTTTTATAATACCGGTGGCAGCAATAATTTATTACGATATCCATAATTTATTATTGTAATCTCTCATTTAGATAACAGACGTGGAAAATTTTTCTTGATAACTACCATAATGAATAAATCTAATAAATCTTTAAATAGTTTTTAAAGCGGTTGATCGGATAAAAAAAATTATAATAATAAAATGTTAAATTTTTCTATCATAATATGAAGTTAAAAATATGGGTTTCAGTTTAAGAAAATTATAAATAAGGGTTCTTATCTCTGAAGAGACGAAAAAAGATTTAAATGTGTATTATTGTAATTTTTTAAACCAAATATTTCTTGACAAAAATTTTTAATTCTCAATAGTTTCTGAGAAAATATGAGTCCATCGCATTTTGATCATTCTGTATATATTATTAGATAAAATGAAATCACTGAAACTAATACTTAGTAAAGTTAAGGTAAAATAGAATAATATGAATAGGACAAATATTTCAAGAAAAAATATAAAAACATTTTAACATTTATTAATTAAAAAATTTTATTTAAATAGAGTGATTTGATATTATTTAATCAATTAATTTACAGTTCTATTGGTACATACTTCATGTAACCTTCTCTAAAATTATAAAAATAAACAAAAAAATTAATTATTTTAATATTTTTAAGAATGTTACTATTAAAATTAAAATAAATACCATAAACAATTATTAAATACTTTTTTTCTTCATCCCTGATATTTTACAGAGAGTCACCTATATTTTTTAAATGACATCATACATATTTAACTATCTCATAATCCAGTATAGACTGAATAATTTTTTTATCTCTAATTTCCAATCCATTAGGCTAAGGTGACTTAGATTTTGTGTTGTGTACGGTGCGCCATTGTTTTTTTCTGAATATTATTATTTTTGGCCAATGGCCGTTACATTAAAATGAAGTAAATTCAATTATTGATGGCGATATTGAACCTGGCTCCTATTTTTTAGACCTTTGGGGATGTTAACGTATAATTTGATATTTGTATTAAGACAATTTTTAAATATTTCAAGTATGTTTTTACTATATGCAAGTGTTGCTAAATTTTTTATACATATAATTTTTTAGGTCCCATGATATAGCAGGCGTGATAAAATATCCCATGTCATATTTATATTTTTTGTACACATTTTATTTATAGAATCTGAAACCCCTTAATTTAACCTAAAACTTAATCATGCACTTATTTTTTTGTGTTTCCGTTTACAGTGTATTTATTTCTATCACCACTCAAAAATACCTCATCATAGATTATAAAGCATTGACAACGACCACTTCTGAGATCATCTAAATATTGTAAATTTACAAATTAGGATGACTCAGTTGTCAGTTTAGGTTCTGGTATATATTAGCTTACAACTACTTCATACACAAATTTATTTTATTGATAAGTTTACAATTTCCTAACTTAATATTTCATTTTTATATTACATTTATTATTTTTACTACGCATTTTTTTTTCTATTTATAATGACTTGAATATATTCTGAAAACTTAAAATATATTTTTTTAAATCAATAGGATAAATTATCTCAGATGTTTAATTTTCTTATTTTTTTTTTTAATCATATTTAGGTTTGTTCCTTTATAATTTACCGAACAAATTAATGACCCACGTTCATTAAATTTTCAAAGTAATATGAAAATTAAAAATTTTCCGTTGTGACCATTTCTTAGCCGATTTGTTCCAAACACGTAGGTATAATAATGTGGTAACTTTCGATATAAAGGTTTATATATCGGTCAAACAGTAATTTTTTTTTATTAAAATATTTTCATTAAATTTTTAGGAATAATCTGTTTATTAATGAGTTTACTTTTTGAAGTGAGTGATACAAAATAATGATGTACGGTCAACACTGAACAATATATGATATTGATGTAAGTTACGGTTTTGCAGCCATTGTAGATACTGATTTTACTTTAACGCTAGTTAATAGTCTTTTTGTAATTAATTAGTAATTTTTTATAAATTGTTCTTGTTTTTATTACGTTATTGAAAATTAAAAAGCGTAATTATTTTAAGATTGATATATCCTTTTTTTTTAAAGGAATTAACATTGATTTTATATAGTAATAATATAATAAGTGTAATAAATTATATTCCATTAGATAATTTGTATAGTTTAAAATATAATTGGGTGAGTTGGGACCAAATGATCCAAGTTATCAACAGTTTCTGTTTTTACGGGAAATAAAAAAAAATACATTTTTTTATGGAGGTATTAAAAGCTATAGATTTTGTTACTCATTTCTAAAATATACAAATATATATATATGTTGCATTTGTTTTTTATAATATTTACGTGTATACATAGTTAAATATTTTACCTGTTCTTCGGCCAATTTTAAGGACTAAAATAAAAGCGCATTAGATTGAGTAATTTTTAATACATTTTTTGACTATAAAAAAGTATAATTATATAGAATAATACTAACTTCTCTTTCATAATCGTCAATAGCCTGCTATATAAATATAATTATTAAATAATATTTTATACTAATACTTTTGGTTGATCGATCATCTCGAGGCGTACCACATTTAGTGCAACATCATCATAGATGGACATTTTATTAAAAAAAAAAAAGGAGGAAAAAATAAAAATTAATAACAAAAATAAAAGAGAGCTGGAATTAGTTCATAGAGAGTAACCAGTTCCAAGTTGACATTGATATTAGGTAAGAACTTTGAATAGTAAGTTGATTTGTATAAGACTCAAATTAATATTTTTAATTATTTAAAAAAAAAATGAACACAAAACTTCATGATCTACAATTAATATTTTAATTATTATTACTATATGTACCTTATTTGTTGACATTTTTTGTTTCTAGAAAATAAATATATTGTAAACAAATTTCTAATATTACAGATTATATTCCCATTTGAAAGAAAATAATGTTTGTATATAAAATTATTATCATGCTTACTTCTTTTAGAGATCTTCGAATAGCCTTAAATTATTACATAGAATTAAAAATATGATAGAATTTATAAAAAGCAACATAGGATCTTGTAATTTATACGGCAGTGTCTGATGTTCCGTGCATATGTTGTATAAGATGAATAAATTATTAAGTTAAATGAAATCACTGAAACTACTAATTAGTAAAGTTGAGATGAGATAAAATGAAATTACCAAGACAAAATAAATATTCAAGAGATTAGATAAAAACATTTTAAAAATTTTTAATTTAGTTCAAATGATTTTATATTATTACACAAATTAATTTACATTTTTATTGATACGTACTTTTTTAAGATTTTTCTAGAATTATAGAAATAAATAAAATATTAATTGTAATTAATTTTTTGAAACAAATTAAAAATTTAGTGTATTTTTATAGTTTGTTTATACAGATTATCCGTTTACCATAACCCCCTCAATTAAAAATCAATTCTATTTCGTGCACTATTCAATACTAAAGCTCTATACTAGGTATAAATTTATTGATATATTCGAAAGTAAATGCAAGTGGAGCACAGTGGAATTTAAAGATAGATACCAGAAATTATATTTTCAAAATAATTCTAATGATCTATTTCTTAGTTCTACTCTTAACTTTAAGGTAAAAGGAATAAAAAACTGGTAGACTAGTAGTATGGGCGATGATGTTTTTATGTTTTAGTCAAATTATAACAAACAATAATTCAAATAAAATTATTATGTCTTTAGTACGGTGAGATAATATCAAATAAGTTTTTTTATGGAGGTATTAAAAGCTATACATTTTGTTACTCATTTCTAAAATATACAAATATATATATATGTTGCATTTGTTTTTTATAATATTTACGTGTATACATAGTTAAATATTTTACCTGTTCTTCGGCCAATTTTAAGGACTAAAATAAAAGCGCATTAGATTGAGTAATTTTTAATACATTTTTTGACTATAAAAAAGTATAATTATATAGAATAATACTAACTTCTCTTTCATAATCGTCAATAGCCTGCTATATAAATATAATTATTAAATAATATTTTATACTAATACTTTTGGTTGATCGATCATCTCGAGGCGTACCACATTTAGTGCAACACCATCATAGATTGACATTTTATTAAAAAAAAAAAAAAAAGGAGGAAAAAATAAAAATGAATAACAAAAATAAAAGAGATCTGAAACTGGTTAATAGAGTTCCAAGTTGACATCGATATTGGGTAAAACTGTGTATATTAAGCTGTCACAAAAAACCGGGTACTGATTACTGGACCAGTTGACGACTTAAATTTATGATTCAGTACAGATTTTATACTTACTGTACTTATGACCGACTAAAGTCAAGAAAATTAATTTAAATACTACAAATTTTGTAACATTATACATTGTAACAATACTTGGTTCTAATTGGTATACAGTTTCAGAATTGAAAACCAATGTAAAACTTGAGTCTTTTAATATTCTTTGCACTAAATATGTGTGGACATAAATTAGCTTTTTATTTACGTGTAGAAAAAAATTTTGCTTATTATTTATTGTATATTTTTGTTATATGGTAAATATAACAAAATATACTGTGTTATGAAAAAGATAGTTATTTCTATTTCGCTGGGTAAAAACTATATCCTTAATTTTATTGTAAAATAAGAAAATATATTATATATTTTTTTCCTAATTTTTATTTTTTTAATTAGTAATATAATTTTTTTAATTGAATAGTATAATAAGTGAATAAAAGTGTAATTACTTTTAGAAATATAATGTTTTTTATTATTTAATATTTAACTTATTATTATTATTATTTGTACCTTATTTGTTGGTATTTTTTGTTTCTGGAAAACAAAAATATTGTTAGGAATTTCTAATATTAGAGATTATATTCTCTCATTTGATAGAAAAAATGTTTGTATACAAATGTATTATCATGCTTACTTCTTTTAAAGGTCTTCGAATAGCCTTTAATTATTACATAGAATTTAAAATTGAATGCAAAAATTAAAAAAAAAACACTCATACGTCAGAGCCGAATGCGAACTAATATATGTTATTAGACAAAATTAAAAATTCTAAGCTGTGTACATTGCTCTATACAAAGTATAGAGGATTTTATACAAGGTAAAATATATAAAATGTGTATCTTTTATAGTTAACCACTTAATTTATCGAAAAATAACATTTTTGTTGGTCCTATTACTTTCATATTTTTTTAAATTAATTAATAATTTATTCCTAATAGCTTATAAATATGTCAACACTTATAATTATGTATCTTATTTAATAAATAAGATATAATTAAGAATTGACATATTTATATCTACGTGAAATTAAGTGTACGAGCAGAAAATTTTGTAAAAATAGCAGCACTGACTCTTAAATTTCAGCCAATTATTGTAAATTGTTAATAACTTTCGAAATACGGTTGGGTTGACTTTAAAATTAAAAATATTATTCAAATATTAATATAAAAATTAAAATTTTAAAAATATTTAATTTAAAATACCACTGAAATTACTAAAATGTCTAAGACTTAAAATATGTGTTAAACGTTGATAATGGTAACATTGTTTCCGAAATACGACTTTTTAGTCATTTTTGTGGCTAAATATTTTTATATTTTTTAGTCATAAATTATTATTATAAATATATTTTTAATTTTATATATTATTAGCCCCAATTGATCAATTCTTATATATTTTTATAACTATAAATAGTAATAAATATTATTAATTTAATTATTTATAAATTTGTAAAAATTCACTATAAAAAATAAATTTTAATATAACAAATATTTAATGCTTTTTTAGGCTTTGTAATTATTTTGAATTCAAAAATATGAACTTTATCTATAATTAAAATAAAATTATCCAATCAAAATTCTTACTTCTTTTTTAGACTCCTCAATAGCCTGAAACAAAAATTTTATTTGAAATATTAATATAATTAGTTTAACATAGAAAGTAAAGCTAACATAAAATAAAAGAGTTTGGTTGAGTTGGGTTAACACTAACTCATTTTTCTAAGATGTCTTTAAAAAATAAAGTTGTTAGGACTTTTTAAAATATGTTTAAAATTAAATTTATAAAAAATTCGTAAAATAAAAACTATTAAATGTTATTGCCTAATTTTTATTTGTGTAATCATTAAATTTTAAAATGTTAAAAGACCAAATAAATGAATTATTCTTTAGTTAACAATCAGACTTAGATCTATATATAATTATTTATTGTAATTAATAACCTTAAGTAAAATATTTTAATATGGAACTTAAACAATTTATGTATGGGATTATATGCATGGGGTTATTATGATAAGGCAATCAGAACCCTTTACTTTTAACAAGATAGTGACTATTTAAGTGTAGGGTTATGTTAGGTTATATTTAATTATTAAATATCAGACTACCATAATATTTTTATATCACTCCTGTTATTTTTACTTTTAATTTCTTGTAAAATATTCAATTTTTTTTTTAATGAGTCTTAGCAGAAGTTATAATTTTACCAATTATATTTATTGTACTTTTATTATAGTCATTGAGATCCTTCGGGTTTTAAGTAAGATAAAAAAATATTTTTAATGGCTTGAATGACTAATCAGTGCGCTGGACAACAGTGTTATCGACAAACAAAAGACTACATACACTATCACCTGTCTCTTGATCTTTACCTTTACCCTATCAATACTTTGCTAGTACAAATAATAATGTAAACATATTAAACCGATTTACACTATTCCAAATAGATAGTTATGATATCGAAACCAAACAAACTACCAAAACTATAATTCAAAATTTGCTGTCAATATTAATAAAATCTTAGCTCAATTATTTAAAATTTTGTGAGATCATCAAAAAAAAATTAGTTCCAATAAGTTCACTTGTAAAATTGATACTTAAGGATTTAAATCTTAGTACTTCAGAATCATACCGTAAAATCATGTGCATTTTAGTAGAAAAGTATGTCAATTTCGATACTTTCCAAATATAACAGAACAAATCATTTCGTATTACCATAAAAAATCATTCTACAGATATAAAATTGATTGAAATCGAATTTGAACGACTCATGTTTAATGTAAAACAATTAGTAAATGTTTTGTAAAAACAATTTATAAATACCCTTCCAATGTTTTCTATTGATCTCGAAACAAGTGTTAACAATATTGATATCTTCAAAGTAAACTCAATTTGTTATTCTTCTTCTTCTTCCTCGCCATAATCCCAACTACTTGGGGTCGGCCACCCTTATCCTAAACTTCCATTTGTCACGATCTCCCACATCATCTACGCTCACATCGCTGTCCTTAAATTGCATTCAATAGCATCCCTCCATCTCTTTTTTGGTCTTCCTCTACCTCTTCTTCCTTCAACATTCATTTCTATAACTGTTCTTACAGCTTCCAATTCTTCTCTCCTTATAACATAACCAAACCATCTAAGTCTATTTTGTCTCATCTTATCCACGTTTGACGCTACACCTATATATACCTCTTATATGCTCGTTCCTTATCCAATCTTCTCTAGTCACTCCATTCATCATCTAAGCATTCTCATCTCTGCTACATTCATTCTCTGCTCTACTTTCTTATCAACCGCTCAACACTCTGAACTATACATCATAGCTGGTCTCACTACAGTCTTGTAGAATTTACCTTTCAGACTCATTAGAACTCTTTTATCACATAAGACCTCAGACGCTTCTCTCCAATTCAACCACCCGCACTTAATTCTGTGTCTTACATCCACTCTTTTGCACAACTGACCCTAAATACTTAAAACTCTCCACCTCTCCAATCACGTCCTCGCCTATTGTCACTGATCTCCTAATTTCACCTACCTCGTGTTCTCCTTTGTCAATCTCGTACTCTATATATTTTATTTTACTTCTGCTTATTCTTAAACCCTTTTCTTCAAGAGCTGATCTTCACACTTCTAGTCTTTGATTAATTTCATCCCTATTTTTTCCTATTAGCACTATATCATCATCAAACAACATGCACCACGGCACCTCTCCTTGTATTTCATCCATCACTATAGAAAATAAGTAAGGGCTTAAAGCAGAACCTTGGTGCACTCCTATTCATACCCGAAAACCTTCTGATACTCCTCCTACACTTTTTACCCTTGTACAAATACCATCATACATATCTTCCATTATATTAATGTACCTTTTCAAGACTCCTTTTCTCATTAAAGCCCACTTTAAAACCACTCTCGGCACTCTGTCATACGCTTTCTCCAAATCTATAAATACCATACACAGCTTTTTCTTCTTTTCTATTAGTTGCCTCACACAAAATACTGGCTCCATTGTTGACTTACCAGACATAAATCCAAACTGGTTTTTAGATACCGATGTCTCATTTCTTATTCGCTTAAGGATAAGTATATCCTTTGCCCTAATTTTCATACTATGACTTATGAGCTTTATGCCTCTGTAATTTCCACACTCTTATATGTCTCCTTTACCTTTAAATATCGGCACTACAATACTATTCCTCCATTCATTTGGTATTTTCCCTTCTAATAAGATTTTATTTAAAAGTTCCTTCAACTACCTTTATACCAACACTGCCTTATATTTTCCATATTTCTACTGGCATTTCATCTGGTCTTACTGCTTTATTCTTTTTCATTGATGCCACAGCCTCCCATACCTCTTTCTTACTAATTAAATCTACCAGTCCCTCATTCCACGAGATATCTTCTAATGTCTCTTTTGGGTACTCCTTATTCAATAATTTTTCAAAGTACTCTTTCAACCTTTTTTTTACAACATCATCACTCGAAAGTACCTTATTATGAACACTTTTTATACACCTTATATAATGATAATCTTTAGATCTTTTCTCTCTTATCTTTGCAAGTGTATAAATTTCTTTCTCGCCTTCCTTTGTTTCTAGCCTATCATACAACTCATTATACCTCTTAAACTTCGCCTTACTTACTACACACTTGGCTTCTTTGCACAAGCGTATATACTCCATCCAGTCTTCTCTCATTTTGCTCTTCTGCCGTACTTTGAATTGCTTTTTCTTACTTTCTATGATTTTTTTGAACGTCCTCATCCCACCACCAGATTTCCTTCTTTCCTGGCATTCTACTCCTACTTTTACCAACAATCTCCTTTGCAGTGTTCTTTACACAACTAGCAAATCTATTCCACATATCATTTATGTCTCCCTCGACATTCATCACCGTCCTCTGTTTTACCGTCTTTACAAACTCTTTATTCTAAAGTCAAATTTGAAATAAACAATAACCCTATTCAGTGCATTTGCTGGTAAAATTTCAGTTATACAAAGAGATATTGTAACTGCGTACTCCGATGTGTATTATGGGTAAGTTCACATTTATCCGATGTATGCAAAAAACCTACAAATCTGTCCCTTAATCTACCTTGTGCAGAGATGATCACCATGCGAACTATAGAAGCTGTTCAGTATATTAAACAGAACAACAGTGCAGAACGTCGAATTGAAGATCAAACAAAAACATTAATAATTTAAATCATAACATAGGATATAATTTTTTTAATAATGTTAAAGTCCCTACTAGTAACACCTACAAAAAGATCATGCAATAATGAAACTCAACAATGTAACTATAATAACAATATTTAAATTGAAAATACAACTAATATTAATAATAATAATCAATTTAAACGAATTTAATAACATAAAAATAAATTACAAACTGTATCAAACAACAATAACATTGACATAGCACTAATTTAACATTTATAACATTTATATTTTGTACAAAACTGATCACTATGATGGTACAGACCAACTGGTACTGGCTATTTTAATATTAAACTCAGTACATAATGAAATCAAACTGTATTAAGAGCCATGCATTTGAGCGACATGTGTGTCATTGAAAATTAATAATATTCAATTATTATTTATATTTATTTTTTGCAAAGAAGTCAAATTAATATAATCGACAACTTTTTAGCTCTCTGTCAATGTCCCTTCAGTCCAATCGAAAATATATTACCTACTTCCATGCTATTTAGAAAATAGTCATACATAACGTCAGTCAATTGCATACACAAAAACTATTTGAAAAATACTTTTAAAACGAATCAGACCAATCATTCAAGAACACGGTATAACTCCTAATAACCAATTCGGGTTTCTTCCAAAACACTCCACAGATCCATGGATCAATGGATCTTTCAACCCATCAAATTCATGGATTGACAGACACAATCACTTCAATTTTTGAAAATCAATAAAAGCGTACTGATCTATTTCTTGATGTCACTTAACTTATATTAGAATCCTTCAATAAAATGCATGAACATGACTAATATTTTATTTACACTTCGTTTTTTTAATATGTTAAATAATTTGAGCGACTACTTGAATTTGTAGAATGATCATGAAATAAAAGAAAAGTAAGTGGATTTTTCTGCCTTTTTATTTGAAATTTAAGTCGTTAATATGTGCAAAAGTGTCATCAACACTACTGTCATTACAATTATATCATATTATTTTATGACAAATTTTATTATTACATTGACATATAACAATAAGTCATTAACAATTTAAATTTAAGTCAATAGCTTGAGATGAGGATTTTGCTATTTTTATCATTAGTCGTTATATCGACTAAACTCATCCTCACGCCTAGGTATAAATATTATAATAAGTTCCAAAAGTTGATCAGTCATTTTATTAATTAGTATATTATCTATTTAATGAATTATTTAAATATGTATGTTATCATTTAGTAAAATTCATCATCCAATTAATACTGCTTTATACCATAAAATTATTTTTAGTGCTATTAAGCATTATATCTACATGAATATAGTACAAATTAATAGTGATTTACCAAAATAAATAAATTTAAAAGAGCACACAATGTAAAAGGATACACAGACAAATATACCACATTACAAATGATACTATATTGAGATGTCTATGAAGTTGTTATATGTACTTGTTGATTCCATATTTATGGCCATGCCAAATAAAAAGTTTCTACTCCTTGATGGGGAATTCGTAATACTGCCAATGAATGAGGTTAACAAAGATGTGATGGAATTTTCGAACATAACCGTACAGTTTTCATTTCCTAGACCGGCTTTATATATGGATACAGTGTATATATGGTCGTTCTATCAGTTTTCTTTTTCTTTGTCGGTTCTGCTCATTACCTTGCGAATTGTATAATTCACGTACAACTTGGGTTATAATATAATCCGCATTTATGTAAAACACTACCGATATATTTGTTGTCAATATACGTGTTCGCCACCGGACTCCTAATGTACGGTTGGTCCGTATGACTAATAGTAACGCACCGACAAATCACAATAATTGGTTTTAATCATTAAAAAGGGAAAAAACAATAAAAGGAAAAGGCTACCATTCATACAATTACTATAGTTTTAATAATACAATTTTCGTATAATAACTGAATATGGACGTCCGCAACAGAGTACAAATATGTTAACAAGAGAAAAAACAATCAAATATAAATGAACTATAAATTTACATACAATGAAACGATATACTCCAACCAAGTCATTCCACGGATTCGATGATTACATGGGGTACAGCTTCCAGGTTGATTAACGAAGTAATCACGGACTAAGTGATGCGTTCTTGTAAAGATGTTATTTGAGATTGACAGTTGAACAATTCGCAACAAAAATGACGATGGGCCGTGGAAAAAAACACAAAAAAAATTAACCACCGTTCTATTACTGGCTACGAGTCAGCACAAATTCCACGGAACGACTTATCGATGGTACACAAAACGTGCGTACTACGTAATAAATAAAAACACGCCAGATCACTGATCAACGAGTCATCAGACTCAACGGTAAGGCAACACTTCAAACACGTCCACAGACGTACTAACTTAGGTGCCGGTAGTGACGGACACGTTCAATGTTGTCCACTGCGTTGGTCAGCCATACTCACGGACCGGTTTACCCACGCCTCAAGCCTTTTAAGTATTCTACATAACACCCGGCTCGGACGAGGAGGTAAGCCGGCCATCAGCTGACTACTCAGTGCTGCCCAACTTGCTCAAACAATACGTATATATATATATTACCACTTGTGCCATTAGTACGTTCTTGTAAATCACCTATGCGGCCTAACATTAGTGTATCTCTTGCATTTGTTTGTTTTATAAATTACCTGTGTGGCCAACTAATTGGATACGCGTTATCGTATTTAGTTTAAGAAATTACCCTCAAAAATTAGGATTTTTAAAATCGATAAATTTCGACATTTTTTAAACTTTTTTTTCTAAAAATTACCATAACTTATTGAAAAATGAAAAAATCAAAATAATGCTTTTTGAAATTGAAATCATATGTATTTCTCTTTCATTTGATATAAATTTTTTGAAAATCTGACCCTTTACCTTCCCATAGGAGGGATTCAAAATAGCAACTTCTGCACAAAATTTTTACTTTTTTAACTTAAGTTTTCAAAATTTTTTGGAAATATTCCGAGTTTCAAACATATGTTAAAATAAAATTAATTTTATGCGCTATAAGTTTAAAAAAATTAATTTTTCCCGACGACTTATCTTCTATGCGAAAACTGTTGCCGTAGTTAAAAAACATGTAATTTTGGTGTTAAAATTTACAATTTCATATTTTACTTTTTCAACTTTAAATTACTAAAACTTTTTGAAAAATGTATAGATCAATACAATTTTTTTTCATAAATATTTTATTTTTACATCTTTCGAGATATATTGAAAATGGTTATCATATTCAAAAATATGTTATTTTTGTGTTAAAATTCTTAGTATTCTATTTTAATTTATTTTTCCTTAATTTTTTTTGAGTTAAAATTTTTCTTTTGAATAATACACCAATTTCTTAAGATTAAACAATATCTACAGATTTGCATCGAAGCGTTACTAATGATAGTGATTTTAATCACTGATAGATATCATCTATACTTGTCCCAATTATTTTTTAAATTAATTTGTTATGTCTAATTACTCGTTATTTACTAATTATTAATGATCTCATAATCTATGATAAATAAAATCTAATAAAAAATCTATCTAAAATTAGTGTGAATAGTAGTATATTTTCGTCTATTATGAACTTTCTGGTAAATTTCTATAAATAATTATTTTTATTAACAAGAAACTTAACCAATTCATGTATAGGATTATTGTGGTGTGGTCAAAAGAATCCTTATTTTTACACTTACACTTTGAACAAGATAATAGCGATTTAAGTATTAACGCCAATAGATAATAATATTTTTTATTTAATATAAGTGATTAAACTCACCATGTCTAAGAGAGCCTATAACATAATATAACGATGAATTATTAAATGGAATAAATTTAAGATATTAAATTTATCTTTAAGGGAAAATTAAAACTAATTAATTTTACAATCTATAAGATTTAATATTATACAAAAGATATGATTGAAAAACTTCCGAAGTTAAAACGCGTATATGGTTATTTTTATCATAAAATAATACTCGTTCGCACTCTTCCTCACGTCTTGGTATAAAAATGTGATTAACTTTACAAAAATACAAAACAATTTAAAAATAAAACTATTAAATTATATTATAAATTTAACTATTATTTTCCAATTAAAATTCGATTTTTTATTATGATTAATTCTAACTTTTATTAACATTATTGTTTAATGATTTGATTATTTAGTAAAAATATCAAACATTACACAATTGTAATGTATTAAATTGTAAACTATTATATTGTGTACTATTAAAAAGTAGACTTACCTTTTCTAAAAGTTCCTAAAAGAAGAAAGAACATAATTAATAAAATAAAAATATAATTTTAAATTTGGAAAAAATACACTCAAAAGAAATTTTTAATGTGACTTGTCTGATGATAATACACAGCAACTGATAAATATAGAATATTTATGCAACGGGTTTCTATTATTCTCATTGTTTGTAAAAGTTGGCCCGTTTCCTTACTCACTGAATAATCTATGTATTTATAATATGTAGGAAATTCTTCAAAAATTTATAGCTAAAATATTTAACCTAATCCTACCAACGACTCAAACTGTTTCCTGTATTGTAAACGATTGAAAGTAAGCATCGTCTCAAACTTATGAGCAACTTCGAAATAACTTTACTTTGATTTCGATACATATGGATATAAACCACCAACTCAGTCATTTTTATACTGCTTGACAGTAATCAACTATTTTTCACAATGGTCAAAGATATATTCACTCCAGTACATTTAGACAAACGTCGTGACTAAGGAATTCCTTATTTTTTGAATTTTTCGTTTTAGTGTACTTCAATATATCACAACCAACAGGAGGCTCAGTTTGTTTCGGTTACTTTGAAGACTTTAGTAAAACGCTTTGGTCTCATAGCTCTATTACCAATTAGCATCCTGCAAGTTTTATTCAAAGAGAATCTTAAAGCAAATTCGGACAAAATAATATTAAGAAAATCACTGACCCCTGTGATTTTCTTATCTGATACTCAAAATCGAAAATAATGAAAATATGAAATTATTCATTTTTCTATGAGATTAAATTAAAAAATTGTAAAAACCCAACGGGCAGACACAATTGAAAATTATATTGATCAGTTCGAGGAACAACAGGTTGTCGTATTGTTGATATAGACTGCGTAAACGAATTCGACGTGCTAGTCACAGATGAATTTGGAGATAAGTGTGGAAACTTATCCTCTATTATAATCCTCTTTCAACAACCACAAATAACAGATATAATACATAATCCGGGATTGTCTTCAGCCACGAGTACAAACTTGCGTTGGGTTATATTCAGTTCGCTGCAAGAGTCATTCGGGTCACTTAAATCAATGCTTGAAGAAACAATTGAAGACTTAGAAGAAAAATTAATTATAATTAAAAGACTAACATAATAATTAGGTATTAATTGCTTTTTTATGAAATTAAGATTTGAAAAAATATAAAAACTCCAAAAGAGACATACCGTGAATGAATTTTTAAACTTATAATGGTTTTAATTTTACCTATTTCTTAAAGAACTAACAAAGACGAGACATAACTCGACGAGTTATTGTCCAAATAGTTGAGTCAAACAATATTTCACTATAATAATTGGCATATTTTCTTATGCTATGATAGCAAATCATTAATATTAAAAATATAAATTTAGAAAGAAATATAAATTAATAATGTTAATAATTATTTTGTACCTGTTCTGAGTTTTCATTACTAGTCTAAAAATGGTATACTACAATTAAAAAAGGTTTGTAATCATCAAGAATATACATAGAATAGTTACATAACGGTCAAACCCTCAGAAATCTACGTCAGAAGTATTTTACACTTTCAGTGTAAAATTTCAGTATAATCGTCAGGTAATCATGACGATTATAGATAAAATTCAATCTATAATTGTGGTTTCTAGCTTGATGAACTGATTGTGTTATAATGAGGGAATTTTTTAATTTTATTTTCATAACAATCTCTGCCGCCGGATAATTATGTCCTGATGCATTCTATCTATAGCAGTGGTAAATATATTATGTTTAAAGTAAATCATTTTGTGTTATCAATTATTTATAATCGATAAATCTAAAGATCTCAAATTCCATATAGTGATATATTATGACACATTCTAAAAAATATTGTTGTGGGTCAAGTGGTAATTTTATAATAATAAATAAATAATTACTCTGTCAAATAAATATTATTTAGCGTATATTTTCCGTTTTATGACAATATCAAAATACAAAATGAAAATTAAACTTTGTTTTTCATATGTGTGTCTATGACGGTCAAAACGTGAAGATGATATTGATTATTTTTACTGTTAGTCGCCGGCGGCCTGGACTGCTTCACGCCGCCCGTCGGCCACTCCATATGGCGCGACCTACCGGACGTAAAGAGGAAGCGCCGCGATCGCCATCCAGTGGTAAAGCTGGCGTCGCGATGCGACCGCGACAATATTAAAATATTTTATTTTATTTTCTTTGTTTAAAAATCAAATAAGTATGGTTATTTAAATAAAAAGAATCAATAATTATTTGTTGATAAAAAAAATCTTTTAAATAGAAAATTTTTACTATTATCGATATTATATCAATTATAATTTTAAAAATTATTTTAACGACTTTTCTTATATCTATAATAATATATAAAAAGTAAAAAGTATACTAAAAACTTATGTAAAAAATATTCTTTTACGTAATCAAAACTGAATCAAATTGAACACTTTTTTTGTACTACGTGATTTAAAGATATATACTAGCGATTATTATCTTTAAGTTATTGGCTGTAAAGTTGGCCATAATGCATTTTTTTATGAATGAGTTATTATTAATTTGCTTTATTTGAATAATGCATAGATCAATTTTCAACAGTAATATATAACCTTACTTTCAAGTATATATAAAAATCAGTCCACAATTATTTGAACAATTTCAATTCTAAATGATGCCCATGTTCTCACGTCCTTTTTTTTTATCCGAAATATTTGAATCCTTATACTCTCTAAATAGTTCTAATCTAATTGTATTTTTTTCACTTTGTAAATATGTAATTCCCCCTCCACTTTACTATGTATTTAATTTTTCCTTATTATCTAACAAAAGAATATTGGCTAAATCAAAACATAGTGAACACTCTACATAATATTTACATATATAGATAGTTTAATATATTACCTGTTCTTCAGCCAATTTTAAAGACTAAAATAAAAACAAATAAGAGTGAGTAATTTTTAATACTATAAAAAGTTATCAAAAATTTTTGTTATTAGAGGAAATTAAAAAAAAATATTTTTAAAATGGAGGTATTAGGAGCTCTACATTTGATTACTCTTTTGGTGACTCTGCAATGAGTACAAAACGTCAGTTCCAACTGTAAACATGGATACATCCTTAAGCACTTCAAACTAAAATTGAACTGTTTCTTTACTTACTCAATACTCTATATATTCATTAGATGGAGATATCATATTGGTACAATACAATAAAAAACCCTTTTCATTACTAACTAAACACCCTTTATAATATTTACATGTATTATTTACTCATATCTAAATTTTAATATACAAATAAACAATACACAATTACAACAGGCCTGAGAATTTTGTTATCTTAGAATTATCGTAGCGTCCAATAAAAAATCAATACCAGACATCAGAAAAATAATAGCATTGACAAAACAAGCATTTCTAACCAAGAATTAGCTTCTCGATAATAAATATCAGAGCATCGGCATACGTAAAAGATTCGTTAAAACATTTGTCTGGAGTGTGTTTTTATATGGCAGTGAAACATGGAAAGTAGACAAGATAGACAGAAACAAACTAGAAGCACAAGATTTATGGATATAACGAAAAATGACAAAGAAAATATGGATAGACAATAAAAGGAATGTTCAAGTGCTAGAAGAAGTGAGAGAAGAAAAATAGCTCACGAAAGTGATTGAATCAAAAGAGTTAATTGGACACATGAACCGAATAATTGACTTTGTAATCATTATAAATCATTTATACATCATTTATACATCATTGAAGGAAAAATAACTAGGAAGATACTAAGATGACACCCGAGGAAAGAAGAATTTGATGTCAAACATAGAGAGAGGAGTGGTTTCAATTACAAAGCATTGCCTTGAATAAATGATATCATCTGATGTTTTCCTGATTTTTAAAAAAATTATATAACTTCTCAGTTATCAAAAGGTTCTGATGAAACTAATACTTAATAACTCAACTCAACTTGCCAATTTTTCTATTCTTTTCGAAATTATCGGTTAAGTAATACTCGATTCATTCTATATTATTTCAATAACAGCTTGATTTTTGTAATAATTAAGTATTATTCATATCATAAAAGAATGATTAAACAAAAAAAAAAAACGTTCTAGAGACTTAATAAATAAGTATCTTTTAGCTTCGATGTGAAGCTGAGAAGGTATTGGTTTTACTATAATGTGTTTTTTTTTTTTTTTTTTTTTTTTTTTTTTTTTTTTTTTCCCTTTT